GAAACCGAAACCAAAACGCTATCATCATCATCCTTGTGGGATAATGATGATAGCGTGCAGCAAAGTGGAATTTTCCCACCCCTTTCTATTTTAGCAAAGCGAACGCTGGAGAGGAGCTCTGCTCTGCCAAAGTGGAAAGATGTGGGAGGAACTTTCACTGCTCTGACATCCAGCGAGCTCAGAGCGCATACTACTTGGGTACAAACGCTATTCATCATCATCCCACAGGGGTACAACTTGAGTTTCGCCTGCAAATAAAAAAATTCGCATTGCAGGATAAATATTGCGGAAAATATTTGCTTTTCGATGAACATTCATTTTGGGAGATGCCTGTTCTAACCAGGTAGAAAAATTAAATGTTTTCCCTTAGGTTTAGGGTCATTTAAAAATCAACATGCTTTTACTTTGGTATGGTTGGTTGGATTTACACCAGTAAAATGTACTAAATCAAAGTGTACTTGAAATGTACAATACTAGTTCCTTAGTTTGCGCGTTGTATTCACTAACCGATGGATTGTTCAATCAGTCCGTCCCGCTTAAAAATACATCCAGGGTTAAATATTTTTTTTTTCTTTACTGCAGCGACTCGAATCAAAATAATCTGCGTAAAACAATTAAATCTGATTTAAATAAAATAGCTCTGACTTAAATCAGATACATTTAATTTAAATCAATTAAAACATAATTAACGTAATAATTTTTTTTTTTTTTTTTTTTTTGCATGGTTTTTGACAGGATTAGAAGGGAAAGGTGTCTGTTTCGGGCGCCTCCAGCTTGCGCTCGCCGCCTTCCGCCGTACTCTGGCTGCGCGGTGCACGCTCGAAGCCCAGGGAACGCCGAAGCGTTACGGAAGGTAGAAGTTCGCGCTAGTTTACGCTTCAGCGTCGCTGTCGACACGTCTCGCGCTTGTCGAAAAACTTCCGTTTCTGTCCATGCGCCGTGCGTCGAGCTTCACCGCTACGCACCGGTGTGTTAGGAGTAGCGGCCGACACAGGGGCTGGACTTTGTGGAGAATACATGGGTAAATTACTTTCAAAATGTAATTTAATTACAATTACAATTACTTAGCTCCCAAAGTAGTTTAACTACAATTACAATTACTACTACGCAAAAGTAGTTCATTACAATTACAAATTAATTTTTAGAAGTAATGCAATTACTTTACAATTACTTATTTCTGCGAGTTACCCACCTCGGGCCATATAACTGTAAACAAGTTATATGGCCGCTGTATAAATGTCACGCATTGTACTTTCTTTTTATGCAATTTTTTAAATGGATTATAGAACTTAATAGTTTGGAGTGATGAACTCCTGCGTTCTTATATTCTCAAAAATAAAAATAAATGGCGACAAAATTCACAGGTGCGAAGTGAATCTCCTTAGAGCTTATGCAAATGGTATCCAAGTCAAACCAACAAAAAAATTAACTTAAAAATAATACAAGGAAAAAAATATGCGACAGTACTGGTATCATAAAACTCACGTAAAATGGCTAATAAGAGAAACTTGTAAACGACGTCAAACATTTAAAGAATAAGACAACTTACGAAAACATTTCAGCCACGATGATTCGCCGCCTCTCCCTATCTGTGGACTTGTAACATGCCGGATGTGGGTAATTGTAGCACGCAAACTGTGGTTACTTTCGCAAAACTAGTGTCACAATAGCAGCAACTCTATTGCCAGGGATTCTGGGTTCATTCAGTGCACGGGAACACCCGAAAAGCTCCTGAGATAGATAATAAAGTTAGGATCGTCATGTAGCTAATCATTAGGGTAGCAATGATTGTATCGATGTTATGCGTCTCATAAAGAAGGCTGATTTGAATTTAGCATGGCAAGAACAACCTCGAAAAATTCGGGATACGCTGTAAACAACTTTATTTTCGCGAATCGCCTACAATTCGCGAAAAATAAGTCCCGCGAGCAATTCTGGTAAAATGTAAACACATTGGAATCTATATTGCGTCGCAAAAATTAGAATCCGCGAATTATTCCAAAACTGCGGCCTCTTGGACACCTCGATTTCATGATTTACTTGAGCGTGTTTCAGCTGAAAGATATAGGCGAGCCATTATTTTTTTTTTTTTATAACTGTAAGTATTATTGAAAGTGACAAAAAAGTTGCCTACCTGCAAATGTTTCCGCAAACTGGAGGTCGCCTTTCGGTTTGTTCAATTTGTTTTCAGAGACTGTGCGGAGAATTTGCACCTCATGATTATATTTTTTTACGTTGCTGCTAACCTGTTTAAAGAATTTTTCGTAACAAGGCCCCGTCAGCCTTTCCTTTTCCATAATAGATAAGACTGTTGCAGGTTCTCAATGCAAAGCAGAACTGCGTGCCTCGGGACGGTTTCACAGGCCAGGACGAGAGGACAACGCGTGGGGGGTCACGATAGAGGTGTAAAAGCAAAGTGCAAGCCAAGCCCTCTATATAAAAAAAAAAGAAGCCTTCAACGAACAACAAATGTAAAAACAAGATCCCTACAGTCTAAAGCCGCGGTTTGTAAGTTTTGGAATCTCATCCAATCAGGCTGACAAACGGTTGAAAGGGTTTGGTAGAGCGAACACTAAATAATTAAGATTTATACAAAAAGGTAGACGAGGATTGGGAGAAGGAAGAGCAGTGTAGCAACAACAGTTGGAAGTAAGGCAGGGTGAGTCGTGTTAATGAGACCTGCTGTTTCTTTGCTTCTTCGCCTCGATGAAAGGGTAGCACGACTTACTGCTAGTGGTACCAACATACGAGATAGAGGAGAAGGACGTGAAAAACTCATAAAGAAAAGAGAATAATTTCATGAACAAAAAAGTCCCCAAACTTGACTGAAATATGTAAGTGAATGTGCTAGCGGCGAAGGCACGTAAGGAGAGCCTCGAATCTCCCCGCCTCGACCGGATGATGTGATCGGAGCCAACCAGCTCGACTTCGACCCCCGATGCCCCCTTGTGGGAATGACAAAAAAGAAAGACGTACCCCTAGAAACAGGAGCAACAGGAAGCGAACGAGACGAAGAGTCAGATTCAACTACGACAGGAACGAAAACGGACGCGAATGTAACCCTCATTTATCAAATTATTTCTCAAATTCTTCATTAAATTGTTTTACAGTCTACAAAATCCTTCATTCTGTTCTATCCCAGCCTCTCTTTCCCATCCTTCTTTTCCCTTTTTTTGAGCAGGTTGGGAGACACTCTCTCCCCTGTCGCTTTGGCTGTGCTGTCGTCTCCATGGCCAGGGGGGAAAAGCGCCGCCGCCGCAAAATCTTGCAAAAGTAATTGTAATTGTGCCTGAAATTTAGCAATTACTGACGCTAGAAGGTAATTAAATTACAATTACAATTCCTTTTAGCCAAAAGTAATTATTACAATTACAAATTACCAAAAAAAGTAATTAAATTACAGTAATTTAATTACTGTAATTGAATTACTACCCAGGTATGGAGTGAATGGTGCCAAACTCTCCGCAGCCCTCGTTTATTGTAGAGCGCAGCTCTTAGGTGCCCGTTTCAGGGTTGAGCGACGTCGCCGTTGGCGTAACCGCGCGTTGCATTAGGGGACGTTTCCCCGATAAAGTTAGCGATAAAGTTAGTCCCGTTAAATATAGCGAAATTTTTCCCGCCAAATTTAGCGGCAAAATTTTTCCGCTTTATTTAGCGAGGAAATTTTACCCCTAAATTTAGCGGGGAAGTTTTTCCGCTAAATTTAGCGGGGAAATTTACCCACTAAAAGATGTTACCGCTAAACTTAGCGGGAAATTTTCCCGCTAAATTTAGCGGAAAGATTTCCCCGCTAAAACTAGCGGAGAATTTTTCGCTATATTTAGCGGGAAATGGCAGGGAAAGAGAAGGGGAGGGTACGGAAGGGGAGGAGGGGCATACCCTCCCCTCCTCTTCCTCAAGAGCTGCACTCTACTTTAATCGTAAACGTCTTCCATTTCTTTTTTTCTTTTTTTTCAGCGGTAGTTGCTAGTGTTAAGGCGAAATCCATCCGAGGAGCGGGCCAGCGCGTCTCGCTGAGCAAAGTAGACGGAGGGCCACAGAGGCACGAGAACAGCGCAGGTCCCTGCATCTCCTCGACTAAAAACGAAGCTCCCGAAGCAGATAGCCTAAAGCACATCGACTAAAGGCAAATCTTTCAACAACGCAACAGCTGTCGCTGTCAAACGCAGCACACGTTGTGCCACCCTTTTTTCTTTTTTCTGCTGAAAACAAACAACTTATTTCATCAGCGGCGTTTGCTCCATGCGCAGCATCGGTGACATCGCGCGCATAGCGAACGTGCTGCTTGTCGTTGTTCGCCACATTTTCGCTCCACCGTGTCCAGCCTTTATAGGTCAAGTTTCTTTTTAATTATTCCTATAGACGGGCTTTAGTTTTAAGGAACAGCTAAAAATATCGTCGACCTACGAATGTTAGTTCTCCGCAGCTGTAAAAGACCACATCGATACATGGCCTGTGCGAGTGTTGCTTCCTACCTCATCTCTAAGCCCTCTTGAGTGTTATCGGTTACGTTTTTTTCCGGGACCATAACTTCTCCTTTACCGCGGTCCGCTAAAGAAACGTATCAACCGGGTTCTCTCGCTGCATTTGTTAGCGACATTTCAGGTATGCAAACATATACGGCGACTTCCGCCTAGCATTCTCCAACTTGAAATATCCGATACTTTTGGATTGTAGGCTGTCATAAATCTTTGTTGGAGCCCCACAAGCACGGAGATGCAAGAAAGTCTTCCAGTTTGACCTTTTCGAAGTTCCTTGCTTTTCCAGTATGCTGAATAAAACAAGTCGGAAAAGGACTAAAAAGGGAACCTCAAAGTTCCCGAAAATGTTTCACTGAGATACTTTGCTGTGCTCCAGCTGTCCACACCTTCGACTGTAGTAATGGAATCTTGAAGGGTATAGACGCACACTCAAGAGTCAAACCCTGCTTTCAAATACCCAAGGTTCTTTTTGCATGCATTTGAAATACCCTGGGCAAGTAAAAAAAAAAAGAAGAAAAGAAAAGCTAACAAAAATTAACAATATTTATTCGCCAAACGCTGGTACACCGCACAAAGAATATCATCATTCGACATTTGCGTTCAGTCGGAACAGACGCCCAGGGATGAAAACTGCATCGAGTTTTCTTCCGACTCTTACGCATTGCTATGGACGGAAAGAACAGAAAATGTCACCTAAAATTTTAACTTTCCCCACTTCAGATCATTATATCGCAACTTTCAAGATCGCGGCAGATCAGCAGTCCCGATCATCCAGCTAGAATTGTTCAGACTACGAGATTCTAATCGCCGACAAGTCGTGTCGCGTATTGCTGAAACAGCACTGTCACACTTAGTGTTAGACTAGCGCCGTTACAATTACTCCCAATTTTAGCACGAAAGAACCCAAGCAGTCACGTAGATCTGGGCACCGAAAGTAGACAAAACACCAAGGCCAAAATAAAAAAAAAAAAAGACTCAAACGGGACTTTTGTGGTGCCTATTCCGGCTTGGCCCGTCACAGCAACTTGACAGAGCCCCTGTGAAACACAAAAACAACCCGATTGGCTGTTTAATACGTTCCTCGTCGCCGGTGCCTTCGCTCAAAAATGGCGTCGTGAAGCCAGGGTGAGAGCATGCAAGAAGGGAAATGATTTTTTTTTTTTTTGATAGCCCGTAGGTGCAATGACACCAAGAGTTACTTCAAGCTGCTTAGCCAAATACAACTAGAGTCCAAGATTATAAAACAGTAGAAAAAAAAAAAAAGAGCACAAGCTTAAGGATTGTTTTCGCTCCAGAAAAATCTTGTTAGTCTGTGCTGCAGCATGGTTCGTTTTGTTTTCTTTTTCGCTTTTAACTAATTTATTTAATAAAGGTGACCTCGTCAATAACCTATTTAGGTCGCAAGTGTTGCTCCACAGCTAACCTATTTTCAAAAACTTTCAAACTCCGCCCCCTTAGAAAAAGAAATAATATATACATATCATTTTTTATTCAAACGTGAACACTCCACTCTATGTGCACGATTTTACTGCACATATTTTGCTCGTCTACCATGTGCTTGTGAGGTGCGCTAAATAAGAGGCAAACACTCGCTGAAAAAGGGGACACCAAACAATGACTAAACAAGGTGTTTTGAAAACATGCAATACTGTTGTGCTTTGCACTGCACAGAAACAACATGCACCATCAGGGCTACAAACATTGTTTCAGTCATGTGGTGAACGACCACTATGCTGCTAAGCAGACAATGAAATATTATATATCTCATTTTTACATATTATTTTTCTTATCTCTATTGTATCTCTTTAATAGAAACCATGCCTCATGATTATTCTCACACAAGACATGTCATTTACTAATCCAGTACTGCAAGCAACTACTAGCTGCAATGAATGAATAACCTTTGTAGTGGTAGTGGATGCACTGCATACATCTGATTGTCGACTTGCAGAAGAAAAAGAAAAATGTAGTCAAGGAAAAAGAGACGTTTGAATTAACTTGATTTACACATCTTTTTTCCCACAAAAACAACCACTGACACTTATTATATGCTTTGTGATTCTGGAGAGTTTATATTGAGCACTAGTGAGTCAAAAGCCGGAAGTCATTTCGTGCTTTTTACGAGTACAAGTTTGAATGGGTCCTATACCGCACTGTGCCCCGAAACACGAAAACGACCTCCAAAAGATAGACCAGCTCTGGAAATCGCGTTATCTGGGCTCGATTTCGCTGTTTGGACAATGACGAAAAGTGAACAAATTCTTTTCCTTCAAGGTCAAGTTGACCACTCCACTCTAGAAGTGATCCGGTCTGTTGCACAACCAAAGATTAAAAAAAAAAAAAAAAATGACACCTTAATTCTTGCTTACTGATGGTAGCCTAGTTGCAGGTAATTGTCCTTTAAACCACAAAAACACCCCCAAAAAACAGGACATGTTTCACATAGCTAGTACAATACACTCATTAAAGATACTTGTTCAACTTTGTCCCAAGGGATGGGTGAGCTATTAAAAAATAAATAGAATAAAAAAAGATGCAGACTATTTTTGCAGGCAGCAGTACCGCCCTGGCCACTAACTATTCAAAGCAAAATAAAAAAAGAAAAAAAAAAAGAAGGCTGCTAATGCTTTATAATTCTGTGATCACTACAGTCAAGGTCTTCGAGCATTTACAACTCAATAAATAAATAAAGTCAGCAGCCTCAGCGGTGGAATTTACATTAGGTGCCTGCCTTCTCATAACACAGCACAAGCTCGCGAGTTTTGGATTCCAGCAACTTCTCGAGCCTCACCGCAAAGTAAGTTGCAAAAAAAAAAAAAAAAGCCTCTTCAAGATTGCAACAGTGGCGCTCGAGCTTTTGCTAGTTCTGTCGACAATCACGACGGTATCACAGTCTTCAAGAAGAACTGACGTGCCCATGAGACTCACCGCAGCAATGCGACAACTACCGGAGTTTGAAATCGATGCTCCCGATACGACTATTCTGATATACAATTGTGACCTTCGATACTGCATACAATTTGACATATGGAGACGCAATGACCGTCTTGGCGAAAAAAGACATTCTGAACCCCTGGTAGAACTTCCGAGCGTTCCATCATCTCTCGGCGAGCGATGTCCCGTTGTTCAGAGCTTCGTTGTTGGAACGGGCACTGTTGCGTCAGAGGACGACTCTTACAGCAATAAACTTGACACGCATCCTGCATTAATGAGGTGACGATATCCGTCCCTCAACTCTCGATCTCGGTCTGCAGGTTGGAGGTGTCCCCGTCAATTTCGGCGTACAGCGATGCCTTCCTTAGCTTGTGGTACAGGTACCTGATTGAAAGAGGGAAAAGAAACTAAAGTTAGAGGAACCATGAAATGAAGAGTTCAATGCAACATGCACACCCGGATTCTGATGGCTAGCTCGACAGAAAAAGCAAATAGGATACGAAATAAAAAAAATCTGCCATTACAAGAGAAGACATGGCAGGACCTGTCATCATCTATGCTTTGCCTGTTGATACATAACTTGAGGATGGGTTCCACCCACAAACTACAATTCTGTGCTCAAAGAGCAATGTGCCAAGGTACATTGGGCAAGGCTTTGTTTTTGTGGGCGCCAAACTTGAAAAAAGGAGCGCCGACGGATGTTCCTTTGTCTTTCTGTCTTTCCTGGTAAAAACATGGTCAAAGATTGTGCCATGCCTCTATTTCGTAGGAAGGGCCAATGTTTCTGCATGAAGAGAATATGCATCTCATTGTGGTGTTTGGCTTTTTGGGACACTTAGGCGTATAGATTAAGCTACCACCATAAAAGGACAGACTCGAAAACTTCTTTAGTGCATCTTTAATGGCATCTTTTGTGCTGATGTTGTAGCTTTCCCTAACGTTAACTGCCTCCTGCACTTTTGTGGAGAGTCTCTCGTATCCACGCATGTGTACCAGGTTAAGATCCGCCCGCACACGTGCCGGCGCACAGGCAGCAACACGCGACAACTCACCCGAATATCACAATGGAAATCAGCTGGAGAGCTGCTGCAAACTCAAACCCGAAGCCCTTGAAGAACTTGGACGTGGCTGGGTAAAGGCCGTTAAACAGCAGGGAACCAGTGAAGAGCGCAAATGACTGAAGAGCGCTCATCATCGCAAACGCCTTGCCTGAAACAACACGAAAAAACAAGCTCTGTCATCCAAGTACCGAACGACCAAAAGACTGTACCACTGTCCCGCACGAATAGAAGGACAAAGTGTGATTCCAGTTCAAGTACTCAACTTAAAAATTGCCCAGTCATGCGATACACCCCTCCCCTCAGTGTTACTGCAAACAAAGTTGCCTTCTGCAGTGCTTTGCTGCAAGGATATTAAGGGAATCTAATTCCTTGTTTTCTTGGCTGCCTGCCATTCAGAGTAGAGTTCCCCAATATGAGCTCTTCGCTTTGGGTTAGGGACGGCTGAGAAAATTTTGGAGCTGGAGAATTTCCGAGGGCACACCAGAGACCCGCTGGGTTCGTAGAAAGCCAGTTTGAGAACCCACGTTCTAGGAGAACAGGTCGGGCATAGAAGTTAAAGTAGGACCAGCGCGTTGGCTAAAAAAAAAGAATGATCCTCGCACCTTTTTCGTCAGCAGCTACAATCTTGGACAGCATGGAACGGATGGACGGGGTGGCAAACTCCGAGAACACCAGAAACACCGGCGCTGGAAAAGGGTGTTAACCGCAGGGGTCAAGATTGGATCCAGACGCACACGATGTCGCAAAGTTTCACTCTTTTCCGAAGCAATGAACAAACTGGAAGCTGGAAGGAAAAAAAAAAGTTGGCGTTTCCTGGCCGTGTCCTGAAAATGAACAGTGGACGCAACCGAGACCCTGCACACTCTGCACCACACAGTTACACTGTCTTTTTTAAACTTAGCAGACTTCTGTTCCGCTAAATTTAGTGGAAGGTATTGATGTGACACTGCCACGCCACATGACACCGCATTACATTGTGACAGTGCATCATGCCACATGACATCACCTGATGTGGTCGGGTGACACCAAACTCGCGCTAAATTTATCGGAGAAATTGTGAAGTTGCGTGACATTTCGATATTTCCCCAGAAAACTTGGCAGCGAAATTTCCCCACTAAATTTAGCGGTAAAATTTCTCCGCAAAGTTTTTGTAGAAAATGTCAGTGTAATGAGACTTCGCAATTTCTCGGCTAAATTTAGGGTCACATGACTAAGTCATGTGACGTCACAGTGTCACAGAATTCCCCGCTGATTTTAGCGGGGAAATAGTGACGTCCTGTGACACTGTGGTTTCCCCTAAATTTAGTAGAGAAATTTTCTCGCTAAATCTGGTTGGCCCCGACAGAGACGCAAACACAACCCGGGATCCGACGCCTCCAATAACAGCCGTCGCTGTAAAGTTGCTCGGCACTCACTAAAGTAGACCATGGTGCTGGTGGAGCAGAGTCCGAGATAGAGGAGTCCGAGGCCCCTGGAGAGCGATCCGAGAAGTCCGGCCAGAGGGTCTGACATGCCGAGGAACCGGTAGGACAGGGGCAGGACCACGAGGAGCGCCGCTCCCTCCAGCGCAATGTTGACCCCTTGGAAGAAGCTGTAGTGCGTTGCGTCCCACCGAAGTGGCTCGTCGGTCAGGAAAGTGTAGGTCAGGTAGATCTGTGCTGTTGACCAAAAAAGACAAGAGTCGAAAGATAGAAGGTTGGAAACGATCTGTGGCATCGCCCGGATGGGAGTCGCCTTCCCGCACTTATTGGCGGCATTATGGTGAGAGTGCTAAATTTAAAGATGTTATTTATGATTTTGTTTTGTGCTCCGATCAACTATGTTTCCTTTTTGTGTGTCAGCCTGCCCAATTCCTGGTTCTGTGTATGCTACTCAGACATTTTAGCCCACTCCCCTTTTAAAAGGCCCCTGAAAAAAAAAAAATTGTTTTAGAGCAATACTGATGGTGAGAGATTTAGATGAAGTTCTGCGCGTGAAGTCCATGACGTCAGGCGTCATTTTGGAATGACCATCTCAGTCCTGAAGGCGAAGCCAATTCACCTCTCCTTTACGTGCCCGAAATGCCGAGAGAGAAAACAAGTGGAAAGGAGGTGACTACCGACTAAATCGCGTCTCGCGCCGTCAATATTGGTCTAAAAAAGATTTTTTTTTTTTCTTGACGTAAAATTATTTTTTTTTTTTACATGTGTATCCCAACTAGACTCTTAAAAAAAAAATTTTTTTTTTTTCTTTTCAGGGGTTTTTTAAATGGACACTGTCACCCTCCAAAATTTTTGTTTTATTTTTTGCCAGGCGATTCATTATAGTGTCAGAAGACCACCCAATCAATATTTTGCTAGTGTCACATATATTTTTAATAAAGTAAAAAAAAATGTGACTGCTCGACACCAAAATTGGGCTAGGGAGGACGAAGAAATATTGAAGCCACAAAAAATGGGTATCATGTTTCTTTTATATTTTTAATATTGACTGTGTGCCTTCGATGACCCACGACTTTGATTATGCTTAGTTGTTGTGTATCAACCATAAAAAAGAAGCACGTTGCCACAAAAAAGAGAGTGAGCGCAACTCAAACTGTCCAGTTCTTGATCGGCGGTTTTCGGGCGGAAAGAAAACAAATTTCGAGCCGCAAATTGTGTACTGGGTAGTTGGGCTCTCATATGTCATGTACAAATAAAAACCTTGGGGAGCATAAATAACCTGTCAGTGTCCCTTTAATGCCTTCAGGCCCTAGAGGAATAAGAAAAATAAAAAATAAATAAACTCCATGCAGACGGTTGCTTTTTGACCACAACTGTCGCACGGCGATCAAAAAGGCGTCGTGCCACTGCTGCGACTCACAAACACGAATGTGCATTGCCAATCACTAGGGGCTGGTGTTCCAGACTATTCTGCAAGAGTACTCAATGTTCATAAAAAGATATTTGAATCTTTTTCACTACAAAAATATATTATGCATTGTGCACATTCAGCCTCCAACCAAATGTAGTGGTAGCGGTCCAGACCAGACGACAAAGTTTCAGAGCTTGCCATTATATCTACTCTAAAAATTGTAAGCAATATTTTGACATTGATGTTTCCACCTATACGTGGGCCTTGCTCACCTCCTTCTCTTCACTAAAAATATGCAAAAATCGCTTAGAACATTGGACGATGGCAAGCCGTGAAACTCTGGCCACTGTTCCAGATCGCTAGCACTGAAATGAAGTGGAGAATGAGAGTTCGGTAATGCCTAATTCATTTCTGCAAAAAAAGAAAAGGAAAAAAAAAAAGATTGTAGACAGCAGGCACATGCATTTTCACATCATCTCCACTTCAAGCCAAATGAAACGAACCTACATCGTTGAAGTCGATTGAAAACCGTAAAGTTCTCACCAGCAAGTCCATAAAACATGGCCGTCGCGGCCAGCAGCAGTAACAGGATGTGCCGCCGGTGTCCGTTGTCCCGCGCCCGGCACACTGTCAGGGCCATGTCCACCACGTGGCGGAATGTAAACAGCCCGGGCCGCCCCGCGGGATCCCCGCCCTCTTGCACTCCGCTCTTCTCCTTGATCGCTATCAATACGTAGAAGACTGCGACGGCGTAGATGACGAGCTCGACGAGGAAGATGGCCTCGTACGTCGTCGACTTCAGCATCCCGCCGACAAGGTACATGCCGCAGGCGCCGCCGGTGAAGACCATGGCCTCCAGGATTGCAATCCGTCTGCTCCGCGCCGACAGCGGGACCACGTCCGTCAGGTATCCGAAGCAGCTTGACACGACTCCGAGCGATCCAGTCGAGAGGCCCACAAGGACCGCGCTGATCATGACAAACGACACGTGGCTGTCGAGGAAGTGGGACAGCACAATGAAGTTGAGGACGGCGGCCATTCCGCCGACCAGCGGAAACAGCATGGGCCGCTTGCGGCCAAAGCGGTCGTTCCACGAACCGACCCACATGCCGCAGACGAGGGTGAGCACGGACAGCAGGCCGTAGTAGTAGGCGATCCACGGCGATGCGGCGGTCTTGATGGCGGTGCGCGTCTCGTTCTGCGCCGAGTGGCACAGCGTGAGGTTGGTGGTGTTGAGAAGAGAGAAGCAGCACTTGGTGTTGATGAGGTCCTGGACGGCACTCATCTCCAGGTGCATGGTGGCGAAGAAGAGGAAGACCACCGGCTCGGCCGTCACCGAAAGACCCATGTTTTTCTTTGTGTGTTTGGGGAGGGGCAATCTGATGTGTTGGGACTGGCTTCGGACAATGCCTGGAAAGATAAGGAGGAGCTCTGAAGGCGACTGTTAGAGAGGTTGGCTGTAAAGGAAGGAGGTATAAAAACGCTGGAAGGCTATAAAGCTGAAGGAAACGAAACAAACAAACAGAAATTAAAGTTTTTTTTTTTTCTTTTTGCTAGATTTAGTTTTTTTTGTACTGCGATCGGCCAGGTTTAGCCCCACTATCCAATCTAATCCACTGTGTGTGTCAATCACACATTATTTTTTCTGTATTGCTCCCCCTTACGTAATGCCGTTGTTGGGGCCCCTGAGGGTATACATAAATGAAATGGATATGTTTGTCTACTTCATTAGAGCAAAGTGATTGAACAGCACCCTGCTTGTTCACTTCATCTACATGTCCGTCTTCTAGCGCCGTTATTATTTATACTGCACGCAATATCCTAGTTCAACGATGTACCATATAGTACAACAATTAACAATTTCCCTCGATAGCCAGAGACTGAGAATACAATAGTGACAAACACCCCTTACTGTAGGAGTTATTAGCACTTCGACACTGGGCAATAAAAATATACAAACTTTCAGGACTTTGTGCAACAGATCGCCTTCCAGGTGTTTTCAACGACCAGTCACAATGGAACCGAATATTATGTCCTGTTTGAACTGAGGCACTCTCCAAGACTCGGTTCGTCAGAAAGGATCTATTTGTCACAAGATGCGATTCTAAGTTTTAGAAACAATCTCTAGAAAACTCGCCTTGTAGTGAATGAAAAAAAATATTCCGGTCAAACTAACAGCGGTAAGAGAACACACTTTCCGTGTAGTTGAGGTGACATGCAAGGCACGAACACTTAACAAATAAAACAAGATGACGTTTTTACAAGTTTCACAAGAGCATGCATATGGAAACGTTGGTCTACGAGACACGGATCGCCTTCGAAGCAACTGGGTGGGTGACCGCACACTCGTGCGCCGCGAAACTTGTTACGGTGACCTAGATACAGACAACTTTCGTTTTTGTTTTGCTCAGGGCACCCGAGGCAAACGGTAGCCATACGCAGCTTTTACCGATGCACACACTATGTCTTCATTTTTTTCTTGCCTCGCAAGCATGCTTCTTCATACAGGCGTGATCACTTATCGGTCAAAACACGAAGAATCGCGCAAATCATGCCTCCTTGCTCGCACCTTACTAGTCGAACTTATCGGCAACACGCGCTTTAAGTTCAAGGCTTATACTCCGTTGAGACACGACTTGGGGCGGTGACTCACCTTTCCTCTGCACCGTGCGGCTGGAATATGCAAATTCAACAGGCCGTAAATTACGAATTTCTTTTTATCATGCAAGACTGCGCGTGTCAGCAGCACGGTCAGCTGTCAGCCTGCGACACCCGCGTTGCCCGCGTCCCGCTGTGATAGCTTCGACCGCGCATTTCGAAGCGAGCCAACCCAATCCGTGTATTGAGTCGTTTGTCCGGCAGAGGCGCAGAGGTGGTAGCAACAACAAAAGTACAAGTCGATCGTGCACTCGCGCGGCTGTGCTGGAGTACTTCTTGGGGATTGGACATAATTTAATTTAAGGTGCCGAGGAACTTGAGACCGGATCCACGAGACCATTTGAACACATGTTTAGCTTGCGGTCGAGTCGAGTCACGTTCATTTTCAAAAAAAGGTGACAACAAACATCCGCGTGACTACCGGCGAAGCCACAAAAGGAGGTTAGACCACTGATCTCTATGACAATTGAGTGGGTTAGACCGTTAGACGATGGATGGAAGTTATCCGGGGAAAATTGATTCAGGCGGTAAAGAGGGAGGAAAAATTGGGACTCCCTCCCGCGTGGCTCCGGCTCAAATCACTAAAATCTCAACGGCTCCAAGTTACACCGGGTCCACTGATCTCAATGATTGCCATAGAGATCAGTGACCGGGTCACCAACCAGGTGGTTGAACTGGCGACTCTTTCACCGATGCGAGGAGTCGGGGGGGGGGGGGGGGGGGGGGGGGGGGGGGGGGGGGTAACGGTTTTAATTAGTAAAAGAACCCGCAGGTACTTAAAAAAAAACAAAAAAAAAACTGTTTTTAAATAGCCCGACGTTTCGCGGCATAGAGTTATTATAATGTACATTATAATAACTCTATGTTTCGCGGCCTGCTCGGCCTCATGTTCACGGGTGACTTATTTGGCTGGGTGATCGAACACAGTTGATACGGTTGATACCTGCAGCCAACGTTGCCTGCAGCTTATTTTATTAATACTCACCTAGCCGGGCAAATGTCTGCCGAAATCAATGGCCGAAATGTTCACTTTGCACGTCTTGAATTTTAAACTTTTGGTTTTTAATTATTAGGTTAGATGGCAGAAGCTGCCGCCCGTTATTAAAGGTACAGCATCCAGCAGACTCGTATATATCTGACATCCATCCATCTATCGCTTGCTTGGCTTGCTTTTCCCCTCTCTGGTTTGCGTCGCTTCTCTCCCCGTATTCTAGCATTTTATTAGCTACTTCGTATCCGTGTGTGTGTGTAGGTTTTGTGGTGCAAGTGGGTGCCTGCAATGGTCGGATAACAGGTTCCGGGCGGCTGGTTCAGGGTTGTGATGTGGCCTCATGTGCTTCTAAGTTATTAAAACACGTCGCCCACATCGCCGTGGAAACCCTTCACGAAGCGATGTGCAATTCCTAAAAACAATGTCAGCGAAGGGAGCCCTCGAAGCACTATGGAGTGCCTACCAAGTCAAGGTGATCACGTTTGTTGTGCTCCCCCAATTACGCCGTAACCCGATTCATTGCGGGCACGATGTCTCGATCGCGGGCTAGGCGAACACGCCGAAAGCTTAGCGGTGTTGGGTTACCGACGAAGTGCCGCCTATCCCTCACACGATCGGTTTGTTTTGTTGGTTCGCTGAGCGCGAGACATCGGAATTTTCAGACTTCCTGCCTGAAGGTGTGGTGTGGGAGGGGACCGCTCTAGTTAACACGGGTTGATTGGCGACGAAATTGAGGTAAACGCGAGAGACGCGTGTTTTGAAGAGTGGTGGTTTCGTCGTGTAAACATCGCCGATGTTTGCGTCAACTATTCTCGCATAGTATGTCGACACCTGGCGTGAGTGAGTCTGTGCTTTTGCTTTGGTTCTTGTTTCTTCGTTCGATGTTAGTCGTGTCGATATATCCTGATAGGAAGTGGAAGGGGAAGTAAAAAAAAAAAAGGTATCGGAAACATATGACGTGTTTTCCATGCAAGTTCTAGTCACGTTCTTTTTTTGGTAGAGTTGAAGGTAGGAGTGATTCGTGTTTAGTGATGGCCAAATACCTACGTAAGTATACATCTAGTCCGGAGTTCGTTCTAGTCACTAGGGTATCATTTCAAACTGAATTGTAGTATGGAAACAACTATGACTTACTGGAAGTATCTACATAACAGAGCACAAATAAATTTATTTGTTTCTTTTTGAAGCAGATGCTGTTTCCCCATAAAATGCAGTAGGCGCCTCAACTTCGATACCCTGGATGACTGGGGAATCACGTTTGGACTGTTACTTCACAACACTTTGTGCGGAGTGTACAGTGACTTCTGACATTTCATATCCAGAAGTCGACCAGCGTCTGCTTTCTAGAACCGCTTTCTTTTCATGCGTCATTATGTCGATGTCCCCGTGGCAAGAGGTAGGCTGGGTGGAAATTAAAATGACTGGAGAATGGGACATCGTACTTGTGATAATCCTGCATGCACCATCTGCATTCAGCATCATCACGGACTCTTGTCGTTTGAACAAATCTAACATTGAAGACGGCTGTGTCATCTGTGTCAGCTAGCTGTGCTTCAAGTCGTGCCACTGACATGGGCAAACATAGAAGTTATGTCTGTTGCCTATATTATCTCTTTTGAGTTTTGCAGGTTTGCATAATCAAATTGAGCTTAATCCAAGGGGGTCATACTGGCTGTTTTGTATTGTTTTATGTGATAAGGGCCGTATTGACACCAAAAAAGGCTATGGTTTGATAGACAATACTTTGCAGCTTCCATAAACATTACCAGTCCTGACTAATAATAGTAATAACCATACTTCTGCACGAACTGGAGAGCTCTGCTATGAGCCTAACTTGGAAATATCTTTGTTCAGTGAACCAGTGATAGAGTAGTCACTTATGGCTTGATAATAAAGAACTACATTGTAATAAATTTTTTTTTCCTTACAATAATCAGTGACATCATCCTTGCAGCTTATTTTAATTTTACGTTTGTTGCAGAGAAATGCCACTACACTCTCAGAGTACATGGTGGAATTTCGGCGTCAGTACGGAGATTGCTTGAAAACCGATCTCCAGGTTAACCACAGCAGGTGAGCTGAAAATGAATTTTTCTAGAGGAATCGTGAAACTATTATTATTTTCTTGTGGTTTACCAGTACCAAGAATTAAGGTGTGCAGTCATAAGGCGTCGAACAGGAACAATTGTTTGTCTTTATGCTTTGGTTGTTGCCAAACGAGTCTTTCCGAAGCTCGGACTTAATTCCCCCTCTAGCCGACGCCTCTTACCGAAATGCGTGAAGAAGGGATCATCTCCTTGATAGCAGGTGATCCGTCTCATGAGGCTTGCTGAAGCTCGAATGCAGACTACAAACGCCAGAAAGAGAAGAGCGAAATTCATTCCGTACGGTGACGGCGGTTATTGGTGAGGTTTCGTGACGAATTCCCGGCCGCGTTTTCCGTAGGGCTGTCATGGCTGGGAAATTTCTTTGCCGACTTCAGCGGGAAAACTTCCCCGCTGAGCATTACGTGACATCACGTGACATCTCGTGACTTTGTGTAGTCACTGGCAGGAAGGAGCTTCAGCTGCCCCGCCTCCAGCGCCAGCTTCCTACCTTCGGCGACGCTTCAATGCCTCGCGTATTTTTAGCGCACGTGTGCGTCCGCTGGAGATATGCGAGGTTTTTCTGGAACTTTCTTTTCCGATGTCCTTCGATTAATTTACTGCGCGCGCGTGTTCGACGTTGCAGGGGCGGTTCCGGGAGCGGTCCCCACCTGATCGACCTCCCCGACGGCTTTCTGCAAGGGCTCGAGACGTACCTCAGGGAGTGCAGCGATGACTGCAACACCGGTGTCACCGTGGACACCGTGCACAAGGCCAGCGTGGCCGTCCAAGTGCTCACCATACTGTCACGGTGAGGCGCTTTATTGCGGCATGTCACTTCGTCGCGGCGAGGCACTTCGTCGTGGCATCCTCGGTTCCTCACGCCTCCAAAGCGTTTCTGTTGAAGTCAATTACACGAGGTGGGATCCAAAGCAAACTATGTATGGGCTTACCATATCTTCCAACTATAGTCCACACCCATTATATAGCTTTCAGTTTCCTGTCTTACCAGCATGCCTTCGATCCGAAAGATAGCAGTCACCACTTAAATTAATCTTCAAGAGGGGGATCGGCGGCCGAGTGGGCTAGTGCGCACCAGCTCGAAGCACGTGGAGCGAAAGCTCGCGTTGCAGAACCCAGGGATCCTGGGTTCAATCCTCACCCCTGCCCATTTCGATCTGGATGAGCATCATACTAGCGTGCGGTCGTGTATCACTACTGCATGGTGCACGTTGAAGACCCCAGGCTAGCGGTTGTGCTGCTCTGGCTAAATTGCTCATCTACAGCTGGGAGACTCGTCGCCCTTTGAGGCAAACCAAGTTCTAGGCTGTATAAACACACACACAACCCAATATTTTTTTTTTCATCTTCAAGAGGAAGTGTAACAGTCTATTAATAACAGTGAAAGCTTTTTAGGGTTCCCTACATGCATGAATGATTGCACAGATCTTTGAACTTTCAGAATTTCTATATCAGGTACAACGTTTTGTAGAGTTAATTTTCTATTGTGCATGTGTTTGAATTAGCACATGTAGATTGTCTGATGAAACTTTCTCATTCTCTCTCCAGCAACTTCAGCAACATTCCGTTTGTCTCAACCAGTGAAGCAGTGCCTCTGACCATTGTGATTTCTTCAGCTGTAGCCAACCAGGTTTGTGACTGCAGCCCGAGTACATGCATATTTTTGTTGCGAGAAAATTGTTAGTTCGGTCCTGTGCCTCCAAAGTAAACTATTTTTGACCGTATCACCTTTGCAAACGTGAACCGCAGACTTTAAAGATTTCAACTTCTGTAATGGGTGAAAGCATGTTTTTTGTATGACAGCAAATAAAACTAAGGGTTTCGAATCGTGACTTTATAAATGAGTTGAAGGATATTGGAACCATTCTGACGCACTTAAAATACATTGAAACATAAAAAATGAAACCTCTCTTTTAAATGTAATAGAAAATCTAATTAAAGATGTCTTACCAATCACTACTTCTCAGGAACCCTAAGAATTATGGCTGATTGGGGCATCTGACTGATTTCTGTCAAATGTTTGCATTCAACTAGAAAATATTGTAACATTTGTTGGAGAATATCAAGTGATTGGATAGCGTTCCAAATTCCGAAGTTGCCCTAAAATTACTTGCTTGCACTGTGCTTTTAGGGCGCTACATGCTTGCTTGCGTGCTAATAAAAATACAGAAAAAAAAAGTGCTGCTCCCAAAGTGATCCTAATCAACCGGCAGATTTTGCCATCAGATAATTTGTTGTTGCCAACCTATAACCCATAAAAATTGTGGTGTGGCCAGAGTTTGGCTTCACGGCAATACATGACCGTCACGCGTCGAAGCCAATCCTCTCTGCCTTGACCACCAACTGCACATACCTCACACTGCTAATCTGAGGCATAGAACAGAACAGTGATTGGACGACAGTTTTTGTCACTTGTCACCTGCAATACATTTGTTGGGGGACTCATAATAAAACTAATGTAATCGTTTTAGGTTCATAATTAATTTGTTAAAGGCCGACGACCAGTTCTGAGATTCTGCAAGGCAGAAGATCCTCCTCACCGTGGGGGAGAAGGCAACAGGCAACGGTGGAGAGGGTAGAAGGGGGGAGAGGAGGAAGCGGGGGACAAGTGGAAAGCGCGAACTGGTCGTCGGTCTTTAAGACCAAAAGTGTGACTAACTGGCCTTGATGTTTTTTTCTTTCTCTCCCGCAGTACACAAAACATTCTAAGGATGCCACAGACCAGAACACGGCTGGCTTCTTACTCTCTGTGCTCACTTTTCTCGAAGTTCTTTATGACCCTCACCTCATCTGGCAGATGACCTGTTCAAGGTGGGTGGTGGCTGTCGTTGCGACAGCTCATGTTGGTCTGGCCAACATGTTGGTTTAGGACAGGGGTTCTCAAACTGGGTTCCGGGGAACACAGGGGTTCCACGAGCTGGTCTCATGGGTTCCTCAAACACCCATATTGCAACCCCCTCCCCCCCCACGCCGCAGGCTGCACGGCAGGACCATGCAGAGCGCCTTCATCTCACTTTGTACTGACATCGCGATTGATATGGTGGGGATATATGGGAAGCAACACAAGCAAAATTGCCTACAATTGTGCATCTGTTGGTTCTCGGTCGGCAAATATGGAGGGGGGTGGAGTTTTCCGCGGCAGTTTTTGAGGCTTCCTGGGGTTCCGTGAGACCAAAAAGTTTGAGAACCCCTGGTTTAGGATAAGACGTTTAATAAGACACATCATTCTGGATGTGATGCATAGAATGCGATAAGGGGCAAGTGGAAAACGTCGCGCAAGAATTTTGTATGTTTTTAATTTTTAAGTTTTGCAATAAAACCCTGATAGCTGCGTACGGAACACGTTTTTCTATTTACTAGGTTTGAGTTTTTCTGACGAGGTATTTGTGTGTGCTATATTTCGACCGTCCAGGAAAAAAATATTTACTCGGCGGTTGGCTCTTTAATAGTTGCATATTTTACGACGGGCGATAAGAAGTAGATGCGAACGCAGAAGCAGACGATATCTGCTTCCGCGCTTGCGTCTGCCTGCTACTGTGTATTATTGACATTAGTACCATCTGAGAGATGCAGCAGAAGAAAAACAAATACACTCAACCTGCTTTGGCTTCCCAATGGCACCCTCTTGTAGGCAAAATTAGAATTTTGCCTTAACCTTTTACTCCTCGAACCCTAGTCTTGAAACCTTGCCATCTTATCCATTGGATCGCGTTACGTTGCGTTCTGGCGGAGTCCGAGCTTTCAGCAATGCACAGCTTATTTCTGGAGTGCCAAATATGCAATTAATGTTTTCTCGCTCAACACCTCGTAGCTTTTGCAAGCTTCTCAAATAAAGCAAACCGAATTTTTCCAGAGTTTCAGTGGACACAACGAAATGCAGGGTGAGCCCATCGCACCTTCATCTGGAGGTCATCCCTTTTTTCTACGGTGAGTTTGACGCTTGTGAATGTTTGGTTCAAAGAAAGTCCCGAAAACAGTTAACGAAGGTGGGCTGCGGTGACACTTTGTAGGTAGAGAAACCATGGTGGGAATTCATTATGAGCATAATTAATATTAAGCAAGCAGCGACTGCCTCATGAACTTCCTTTATGGGATTAAGCACATACACAGAATGTCTCGCATGTTTTATTTTTTGATCGGAGCTTTGGAAAACTGTGTTGCTGGGGAATCCGAGGCTTTGGGATTTGGTGTTTCAGGCTTTACATCACCTCTTTCCCTCTGTTTATTTGCTAATTAATAAAATTAGATGCAAAAAATTAAACCTCAAACGTTTTCGTAACTGGCCGCCTTGAGATAAGAGCCACAGAAGCCGTAAGTTTGGCCCTGTTTTCGTTTCCTGCTTCCTGTTTTTCTCGTAGCAAGTTGCACCTTTGGCGTTCGAAAGAATGAAAAACTTCCCGTTACGACAGTTGCGTCTAATTATGCATTCCTCGTTTGCCGTTTCCAGTAAAACAAAGTTCAGCCAGCGCTTTTGCATATGGCGGTTGTGTGAGCCTTTCTAACCGAGAGCTTGCTGCACGCAGCTCCCGAAACGTGGAGCGACGGAATATTTCACGTTGTGCGAACTGTGCCGTTCCGCAGATTGCCTCTCGTCCAAGCCTTGCTTTCTGCCTGCCGCGGTCCAAATGAAGCTCATTCATGTCTTTGGAGCCATCATTTGTGGAGCTCAGGTGAGCGCTTTGTTTTCATTTCCCATTTTCCGTTGGGGGGTTTCTCTCTCCTTCTCTACGAAGTCTGCAAGAGAGGTTTGTCTTGTTTTCTTTTGCAGCACAATGCGCAAGTGGCAATAAACCACAACACGGTGGACATCCTGTTCCAGCGTCTGAGGGAGCAGGAGTGTTCGCTCGAAGTGAAGATGACTGCGGTGCGCTGCATCATGCAGGGAATAGTCACCCTCTGTGCCTGCGTTCCTGAAGCCGTAAGCATCCCAGCCCCCCCCCCCCCCCCCCGGCCCCCAACCAAGTCTGCCAAAAGCAGAACAGAGTCTCCCTGGCGTCCTTTACATTGCATAGTGTCCACCTCCCCCTTAAGTCAGATTTAATCTCACTTGGGTGCGATTTCATCTCATTTAAGGGGGGACACTACCTGGGAATGTCAACGTTTGAACTGCTTGCTCAATCGACGTTGATATTTGGAGGTGGTGTTTGTGGCCGTATAGAAGGAAAGCATGCAAAGTTTCAGCCCTGTGAACCAATTTTATGAGGTACTATAACCCCAGAATGTAGCTTTGCATGGAATCTGCTTAATGAATCTATTGTTGAGAAATGGTGTTGATAACCACATAATTTTCTGGTGGAATGCATACTCCAATATTGGTTGCCGGTTGCTATGAAAAAGAAATTTCAGAAAATATGCATTTTTTAAATAAAACAAAATTAATGGAAAAGAAAATTTTTTTTTTTTCATATTTACTATGTTTTGCAGATTACAATTTTTCATAGTAAAAGAACATCAAAATGCAAAATCTAAGTTCATAGTAACCGGCTTCATAAAATTTCGGCAAACACGCCACAAATATAAAGTCTCGGTATTTCAGACTGAAACAATAGTTTTATTAAGGCGGGATTTATGCCAAAAAGGGAACCGGAGAAAAATACATTCAAAGTGCTTGAACCTCTGCCTTTTCTTTAGCATTGGTGGACTGAAAATAATTTATAAAAAAATAACTAGGGACTGTAAACAAATGAAACTTTCTGGGAATACTCTCTAGATGTTGGCAAATGTAAAGAGGGCATTTTTCAAAATCAACCTTTTCTGCGGAAGCTTTTTTTTTGTGGGTAGTGTCCCCCCTTAAAGGGACAATGAAGGCAATTTCGAACATCTTTTTGGTGATTGAACTGGGTGCCAGGCACGTTTTGGGCCACGTTGCCCAAATTTCAGATGAAACCGGTGCTTGTGTGCCGCGCAAATCAATTAAACAGTCGCGATAATAATCATACCGCGATTGACTGGGGTGACGCCCCAAGAGTTGCTGGAGAAGCCAGGAGAAGCGGAGCTCACGTGACCGATGCGCGGCCAAGAAGCGCGACGTCACAAAAGACACGTCAGCGATTGGTCGAAACGAGAGACGTGCCCTCGGTCACGTTTTGGTTCGCGACTTTTAGAAATACTGTTCTAATTTCCGCTTGAATAACCATGAAAAGTATAAATTGGACCGGAAGTGATTACTAAACCGTAAATAAAGCAGCATAATTGTTTTTTTCATTGCTATGCTGGACGCGAAACGGCCAACGAGCAACTATGGGCACTTCGGCATGCGGGCCGCTCGTTACTGGCTGGGCGGCCTCCGTTGAATGATGGCGGAGGCCGCCACACACATATTCCCGTTCCGTTTGTGTTGGGTCACTGAACGGAAGCTCTAACTCGCTCACGAGAGCGGCATTGCCGTGTCTATGTTGATAGATTCGACGAAACGACCGCGCCACCGTGCCACCGCGCTGCTATAACCCACCGCGGTAACCAGAGTCTCGATCTCCTAAATACTACCGATACCGACTATTCACACTTGACGTCACTTTCTACGTCCCCTCCGTTTTCCGAGGCCCAGAAATGAGAATGGAGATTGTTCAGTTTCGGTTTCTTTACTTCTTTTGTAGGCACAGAAATACGGGTCACAAATGTCTACAAAAAATTGGGCAGCATGCTATGTTCCCAAGAAGCATGAAAACACCATTTAAAAAAATTTAATAAAATCGTCTTCATTGTCTCTTTAAGTCAGACTTCATCTCGCATTTCGTCCACTAATTAGTCCTAAGTCTGCAATATGAGTTACAAGCTCCAAATCGGAGTTGGTAAAAGTTTTCAATCTTGAGTAACGGCTATTTTTCTTGAACGACGGCCAAGAAACACCTTACCGCTCTCAGCATTGCTACAGTGAAGAAATGCAGAAGCCCACAGATTTAGTTAACGATGATGCACACACTGGGGAGTGCTTTGGCTCATAGGTGTGTATCGGTGCATGGCTCAGATACGTGAGAATTGTGCTTAAACTGGGGGGTCCACTTAGGGGCTAGGGATGGTTGCAAAAATATAAGTGCTTGAGGATCCTAGGGATACATGCATTTTGACAATTTATACTCTACTAAAGCTCCATGCAGCAATGTATTAATTTTATGTCGTACCTCTGCAAGGGTTTTAACCTGTTCAGTGCAATGGGTCTGGTTATATTGAGGCTGAGATGTATCAGAGTTCAGATTAAATATAAACAAATTCGTAGAATGCATTATACGCTTACGGAGATGGAGGGAAGGACATCCAAAGCTGCAAAGGATGTGCACGCAAGTTTCATAGGGTCGACGCATAAAGTAAAGGCGTTTTGTAACATTTTCGCTCCAAGGGCCGAGGGCAAGATGGTTTTTTTCAGCATAGGAGTAGTTCTTCATTTAAACTTCTGAACGGTTAAGTTAAGCCTCACCTGTTTTCATTCTCGGACGTGCTTTCATTCTCGGACGTGCAATATTTTTGGTGGAGGTGCGTTACAATGTGGGTGTTTAGAATATATTTTAGTTTTTGTGATGCAAAGAAATGTGTTCATCTTGCTTTTTGCACTTCGTCTCGCATCTCCAAAGCCATACCAGCAGCACGTTCCCTACTCGTTGCAGCTGCCTAGAGACGGCCCCTCGCGTGCTCTTGTGTTCTTGTGCAGAGGAAAGTGGACCTGAACGAGTTTGTCCGCGAGTATCTAGGAACTCTGTCTCGGCTGATGACGGAAGAAGAGAAGCCGACTCAAGTCGACACTGCTCAGTGGATGATGAGTACGCCGACGTTTTGACCTCTCCTAAGGCCCGTTCACACATAGTAATACTGCAGCGCTGTAAGTGGGCATCGTAAATGGTGCTGATTTTGCTGGTGTAATGCCGACTTCACGCCATATTAGTGATACAGCGCTGCAGCAGCGTTGTTTCTAGCGTTGATTTTGTGCCGCGATGTACAGTGAAACTTGTTTGGAACGAACCCACGTACAACAAAATGTTGTGGATATCGAACTTACAAAAGATTTAAATAAAAATGCATGTAAAAAGTACTTTTTATAATGAACAACATATTTCATTTATTTCATTTATTATTCCCTCAGGGCCCGAAGGCATTACAGAGGGGAGTGGGCGGTCGACAGATAAAAATAACATAGTTGAACGAGGCAAAAATACAAAAAAAGAAACACACACACACACACACACAGCAAAAACACGCGCTACGCATCATCTGTTAAAAAGTTGGTAATAGCATTTTTAAAATAAACAGTGTTAGTTATTGAGACTATATGTGCGGGAAGGCGATTCCAATCAATGGAGGTTTGGGGGTAGAAAAGAAGCATTAAAAGTGGATGTGCTACAATGGGGAATCCCTACCTTTAGGTCATGGTCTACACGTGATGATATGTACGATGGTTCTAAAAACAATGCTTGACGGAGAGCGGGGTTAGAGTAATAAATCTTGTGAAATAAACATAGACGAGATATTTTTCTTCGGAGAGAGAGATCAGGTAAGGAGAGGGACGATTTCATGGAATTACACTGGCTGTACGATGATAGTTCGGGAGTATGAAACGGGCAGAACGATTCTGAATAGATTCGACAGCTGATGCAAGGGTGATACCGGGGCTCCAGATAGAAGCTGCATATTCCAGTTTAGGACGAACTAGGGTATATAGAGGAGAAGTTTTAACGAAAGAGGAGCAAGCGAAAAGTTACGTTTGAGATAGCCCAAAAGCCTATTTGCGTTGTTAGTGACATATTGGACGTGGATATTCCAGGAGAGGTCGTTGGTTATGTGAATGCCGAGATATTTATAGGAGGACACAGAAACTAAAGTAGAATTGTTAATAGAGTAGGAATTGGCTATATCAAACTTTTCCACCGGAAAGTCTTCCAAAAACGCGCAAACAGTCGTCTTCTAACCTGTCCCTTCCCTTCCAACAAAAAAATAGGAAAGTAAGAAAACTCCAAAAGCTCAAGCCGCAAACAAAATTGAGCGAAAAGGACCGATTCAAAAGGGGAGAAAGCTAAAAAAATAACTGCATGCACGCACACACACAAAAAAAGTCTTTTCATCCCAAAGCAGTTGTTCACGAAGAGAAGCGATTCAGAAGGGGAGATAAGCTAAAAGAACAAACTCTGCATGCAAGCAAAAAACAAAACAAAAATACTTTCTAGCGCTTTGTTACAAGGCAGAAGCGAAGAGATGAGAAAAAAAGAGAAGCTTTCGCCTTACAACGAACGCATCGGGGATGTTCGTTGTAAATGTTTTTTGCTACATCAAACTACTTGCTATATCGAACTGATCGTAGCGTTTCCTGCTGTTTGTTATAAATAGGTTTGACTCTATATATGTAAACTGGCCTTCTTTGCGGGAAGTCTTTTTTTTTAGGATGATTTGAAGGGGATGTTGCAAAACGTTTTGTTTTTGAGCTGTTTTCAAATTACAGTGGCTGACATTTTGTTTGTGCAGCTGGCCTTCAGGAACTGTTGTCAACGAATGGAAACGCTGCTCTGAAGAAGGTGTTTCACAACAACGAACTGATTGAACGCCTTATCCGCTCGCTCCACGGCACGAGGGTTGGTGGCACTTGTTCCTCATGCAATTTCACTTTCTGCTCGTCATCCGAGTGCCTCTTCTTTAGTGTCGCCACAAATGAGGCAAAACTATGGCATTGCTGTATCATGAGTCGCTGTCCCGCACTCTTAGGACCTGATTTTAAGCTTACTGTAAAGTTCCGAAAAAACGTCCACCCAAAATTAAGAGATTAAATGGGGAAAAACATGGCGTGGGCAATCTTTGGGGATGTCACAGCAAAACTTTATCTAAAATTAACGATAAACACCCTGGCACCGGCTACGAACCACGTGATGCGGGAACTGATACCGCAGATCACGGACACCGCAAATTCGCGTTCCACGGTGCAATAAACACGCGGTAATTCGCTACAAACTTCTGTGTCATGGGAAAGGATAACGCAGGTTGCAGACGCAGCAGACTTGCGTTTCATGGTGTGAAGGACCCGCAGAAACCCGCTGAGAACTCGCATCACACGGGAAGAAATACTGCAAATCACGGACGTAGTAGATTAAACCAGGGGTTCTCAAACTGGGTTCCGGGGAACACAGGGGTTCCACGAGCTGGTCTCATGGGCTCCGTGAACACCCAAATTGCAACCCCCTCCCCTCACCCTCCCCCCGCCCCCCCCCACACAACGCAGGCTGCGCGGCAGGACCATGCAAAGCGCCTCCATCTCACTTTTTGCTTACATCGCGATTGATATAATGGGGATATATGGGAAGCAACACAAGCAAAATTGCTTACAATTGTTCATCTGTTGCTTCTCAGTCGGCAAATATGGGGGGGGCAGGGGTTCTGCGATAGTTTTTGAGGCTTCCTGGGGTTCCGTGAGTCCAAAAAGTTTGAGAACCCCTGGATTAAACTTCTATGGTGCAAGAAACACGCGGGAACCCGCTGCAAACTTGCCTGTCACGGGAACCCATATTGTGTGCGCAGATTGCGAAAAAAAAAAAACAACGTGGGAATCCGCCACAAACTTGTACGTTACGGGAACAAATACTGCAGATCGTGAATGCATCAGAATCGTATTCCACGATGCAATATACACGTGGAACCAACTCACATGGCATCGAGATTGCGGACAAAAACGCAGGAAACTGCTGTGAACTCGCTTGCCAGACATGCCGGTACAGCGAATTGCGCGGTAGATCTGATTTTCGTTGTGAAGTCCGACGGAAATCGGGGTGTGGGCGATGTTTCGGAATTTTTATATTACAAATATTTAGCCAGAAAAATGGGATGGATGATCTTTCAGGGGCGGCCATTCTCTCGGCACTTTACCGTAGTTTACAATCTCTTACCTCCTTCAGGGGCATTGTATCATATCTACACTAATAAGAACTTTCTAGAAATTTCTAGTACTTCCCAGTGCTGGAATATTCAATCTCTTCCCCCGCCCGTTTCGACCTGGATGGGCGTCGGACTGGCGTGCGGTCTCATGTCGCCACTGCGCGACGCACGTTAAAGACCCTGGGCTAGAAGTTGTACTACTGCAGCGGTTACGAATTTCTCGTTTACAGTGGAGACACTGGACTTTTGCTGGGGCTGACTTAACCTTCTGCTGTCTGTCTAGACGTACACGGAACAGAACTGCTTTTCAGTGGTGGACCTATGCGGAGCGCAAGTCTGTCTGCCTCTTTTTCAGGAGTTGTGGTGACGTCAAAACGTTGAGCTCTGATTTGCTTTGATTGAAGAATAGTGGGTAAACCTCAAGGCAGCGCGCTTTGAGGTCTACCCATTATTTGTCAATCAAAGCCAATCGAAGCTCGGTGTCGTTCTTACGTCACCACGACTCCTGAAAAAGGAGTGGACAAACTTGCACTCCGCATATACTTTGACTTGACAGGCTCAAAGTGCTTGGTCCTTGAACATCCACTCTCTTTTCTTTTGGTTGGTGTGGCTTCCGACGCAACTTTGGGTCTCTTCCAGTTAAAGAGCAACAGTGCCCAGAAGATTGCCGCGTCATCCGTGAGGCTGATTCACGTCTTCCTCTCTAGGTTTCCCTTTGCAAAGGTGAGCCCTCTCCTGGAAAATAATTATCCGTTTATCGTAAAAACTTTTATCGCTAATTAAAGCATTGATTGACGGCGATCAATGTTCTCTCTCTCTCGTCGCCTGCAGAAGCACTTTGCGAGCATGCAAGGTTACCGCACCCTCTTCAGCACTCTCAAGACCCTGGGAGAACCCCACCAGGCGACCCTCGAAGCTCTTCTGGAGTGGGTGAGTAGTCGTCGTCTAGTGCCAGACTCGCACGGTGTTCGTTACGAGTGATCAAATTAAGTTTAATCAACTAATTTTTTGAGTAATTTCGTAATTATTTGAATATTTTTAAGAGGCAGAGAGGCAGTAATCGCAACAGTAATCTGATTACATTTCGAAATACAAAAATTACTTTTAGCCATTTTTTTTTCCTACTGTTTCTAATGGTGCGCTTTATTTGTATGAGTTTCCTGCCAAGAAATTCTCTAACCAAATCCGCAACAGGGGGATGGTTTATCAAAAGTGGTGGATTAAAGGGGCACTGACACCCCAAAGGTCGTATTTGGTTTTGTTGTCAGAAACGATGCAAATTATAGTCATAGACATGCAAAAAAAAAAAAAAAAAATGCAAAAAGGAATTTTTTGTTTTTTTTCTTTTGCTCTTCACCTCCTCGCTTCTTTTTATTTGTGACATAATCAATTATGAAATTTATAAGTTTTGTAAGCGACATTCCTATAATATATGTATTTAGTATCATAGAAAGAACTGGGACGAACAAGGTGCAAACCTTGTTTCTCCGCTTGGCAATCACGTGCTTCGCAAACTCCACCACACGTGCGGCAATATCTCGTGGCAGAATTTAACCGATTCCGTTCGGCGTGCTCCGCAGCTTGTCGAAGAGACCCCCCGGAGGGAACGGAGCTGCACTCCGGTGCTGCGGAACCTGGACGTGATGATCCACCTGCTCCACTGGCTGCCTCAGATGGAGTCGCGCGGAATGCAGCTCTGGCTGGTGGAGCAGCTGGAGGGAACCGTGCAGGGCTCCCTCCGCTCCAGGCTCGACTGCACCCGGGCCGGAGTCATTTCGGCGCTCATCCAGGTCCTGGGCCGGAGCACCAGCCTCGGCGGCAAGGCCGTCGGTCCGTGGCGAGACCTTTCTCTTTTAGAAATGGTGTTCGTTACGTGGCCGGCGCTTAATGCCGCAGTCACGCTGCTTACCGTATTTACTTGCATAACGAACACACTTTTTTTTCCTGAAAAAATCTACAAATTTTGGGGGGGGGGAGGCATTCATTACGCGAGGTAAAATTTGTGCGTTTGCGCGCTTCGTGCAAATGTCATATTAGGTGCCAATACGACACGACCAGGTACTGTGGCACGTCTCCACTGATGGAGATGCACCCACGGCTGTTCGGGGGCGCGCCACAGTAACCATGCTTTATAAATTACGAACCTTTTGAGGGCGGCTTCGGCATGCTTTTTGCCGAAGGAAAAGCGCCCTACAAAGCTCACTTAGCACGGAGAGCAACGTGATCGTTCTTAGGCCTAACCCCTTTCACGATTTCACTCTCCAAAAGCGGACCACAGACGATGGCGTGTTTGTTGACATCAATGCATGACCCAAGCTTTGACTCAAGCTTCCCCAACTGTACGCGCCGCTTGGTTTCACGGTGGATCACTTCTGCAACTACGCACTTGCAGCCATTACGAGAGCGGCTTGGTTTGGCTTGACTCGATCTGACCGCTTGGCGGAAAAAAGAAAATTGGCTCGGTGGCTAGCTAAACTGAACGTGATTCGAGACTCGCAGACCCAAAAATTGTAGGTGCGTTCATTACGCGAGGGGGGGGGGAAACAAAAGTCAAAATATTGGTACCCGTTGTGGGGGGTGCATTCATTATGCGAGTAAATACGGTATACGTCATATGAAAGACACAGTGTTTGCTGCAAACACGATGATAGGATTATCCGTGGATGCGTCTCGAGCAGATTCGAAACACATTTGCTTCTTACATAAGTGTGCTTCTAACACGTTGTCAAATAGTTTTTGTATGTCCCAGGTGACAGAGGACCATCGTACAAAGAAGAAACACACCTCTAACAGTGTCTCCACGCCGTCGTTTCCTACGATCTGTTAGTGGCATGGCCTCGGCTTAACAATCCCCTGTTTTCCACCCGCGGCGGAAGCCCACAATTGCTGTGTCAATGTTTGGCTGGCACCCACCTCCTTTAATATTAGCCCCACCTAGAAGCCGATGCAGTATGCTTGTCCAGTTTGCGTTTTTAAAGCACCTTTGGGACGTATAAAAAATACGGGGAGTTTTTTTCGGTTGGCGGGCAAGAGTTGGCCGCATGACGACCATCAGAGCGGGACCCAGGTTCGTGAGGTCGGGCAAATCGTTGTGCGGTCTCTCTACGGCAAGGTGACTTGTGCCCGTCTTTTCCCTCCGTCTCGTGCGCCGCCAGGACGTCTCCTGCACTTCCTGGTGACCTTGGGATCCTGTTCCATGAGCACGGCGGAATTGAAGGCGCTCTTCCATCTGCTAAGGCCCGACGCATCCGGAGAGCAGGTGACTTGCACATTTCTGTTTCCTGCCTTTAAAGCAAAGCTTTCAACGAAGCATAGCTAGACTTGCTTGGACCCTTCGCTGCACTTCTCTGCCGTTGATCCGGGCGGTTTTAGGTCTGTTGAAGCGCCACTGTTCTTTGTGCTTGTCGATGCATTGCTAGAGACTCGCCCTCCTGAAAGGAAGTGGCTTTTCCTGTGTGCATCGATGCACTGCAGGGAAATCATTCTCCTAGGAATGTGCTTTAACTTCTCTGCACTAAAGCATTGCAGGGAACTCATTTTTCTGGGGAGGTTTATTTTTCTGCATACACCGATGCGTTGCAAGTATTTGTTTATTCCGGGTGCAGCGTGGCATCTCTCCTTCCCCGTCTCCACTGGTGCACTGCAGGGAAACAGCACAGCTGAGGGCCTTCTTACTACTTCCTTGTATCAGCTCAGTTGAAGCATCCCTTTTAAACAAGCGTAAAGTTACAATTGTAGCTTGTGAAACATCTTCAAGTAGTTCATTGCACAATGCATGTAATACATACAACGTATTACATGAGGTATAGTGTGAGCAGGAACAGTATGAGGTACATTATGAAGCTTGGTGTTAGTGTAACAGTATCCTTTTCTTGAAGGTCACTCTAATTGATGTTTATAAGGCTTCGAAAAAGAAATAGGTCCGTGCAAATATGTATAAATCAATGAAAAACAAGTTTCATGATTCACATGTTTCACTTTTTCTGTTTATGTGCAGCACCAGTACACATTGCCGTTGATGTATGCCCTGTCAAACATGGTCAAGAGCGACGGTTGGCTCGGTGCTTCGCATTTTTTCGACTTCAGCGATCCAGATGAAGTAAGCTGGTTTCCTCACTTCCTTCGTGGTTCTGTTTCGAAACTAAAGCAATGTTTATTTTATATGACTTCATTTTTAACCATCGTAGTTAGTTTAGAAATTGTTTAAAGTAAAGTTTTGATCTGTTCCACTCCCAGGGGATTGTCATTCCTGCCATCCGAAAGTGGCCTGGCTCTGGCTTTGGATTCCACGCTTGGTTACGCTTGGACAAGCCGGATTCCCGAAAGGACTCTCCGTCGAGGAGACACCTCTACAGGTAACGTCTCATCTCCGAATGCCCTTTGTTGCTCAGCTTGTTACTTTATTGCGTAGTTGCTATCTGATCAGTCTGAGACTCGAACAAACTTTGGGACAGGCTAACTCAAACTAGTATCTTACTTGAACCTGAAAAGCTACTCGAATGAACAGGAACCTTCATTATGTCATGCTACTATCACACTTTCACTCAAAAAATCTGAAAAAGATTAGTTTTCTTGCAGCAATCGGCATTAGGTGTCACCACGGTGGGTATAATGGCCAGAGCCTGTTTTCAGCATTCATTCAAGCATACAGGCTGTCAGTTCTGATTTTTTTGTTTTACCAAAGTCACGGCTAGAACATGCTGCCTAATTTTACAAAAATGAAACAAACAAAAATAGGAAGAAAGAACATTCCGTGTATCCGACTTTATGTCTCTTATTCATCTTGTACCCCTCGTTCCTGGTCTATCTTATTTGTGCTGTTTTATGTGGGATGTTAATTAAAATAATAATGATTCTGCATTTCAGCTTCTCGACTCCAAATGGATCTCTAGAGGCCTTTTTCACCGGCGGTGGAAAACTGGTGGTTGCAGTGTCGACAAAAAAGGAATACTATGCGGTCCCTGTAGAAGGTGCCTCATTGGACGACGGGACCTGGGTAAGGCCTGCCTCTCCTCTCCATGGCCTATAGCGAGCATATTTTTAAGAAATCGGAAGTTCTGCAACTTGGCAAGAATACCCGAAAAAGCTCGCCATCTCACAGAACACTCGTAGAAGTCGCATAGGTGATTTCGGCTATTATCTTCAGTGACACCGGAGGAGCCTGTGGCTGATTTACACTTTTGTCGTCACCCGCGCACACTCTTGCACGCGTGCCGGAGGAATTGCATGTGGCTGTCCACGTCGCATCATACATTTCAGTAGGCTGTTTTGTGGCGGTGAAGAATAGAAAATGTCTGGTAGAATTCTGAGCTTTGGAGGCCACTTTCGATGTGGAGAGCAGGCCTCCTTAATTCAATATTTCGGGGGGGCAGGCCAGAAATGATGGGATTCATTCACAGCGGGCAGGCGTTGCGTAGAGTGAAATGGCGCCTCAAATAGTGTCGTATCTGCCTGTTTGTGGCGCCATTCGTGAAGCGTATGCTTGCATGATATTCTGCTTTGTGTTTCGGAGTTTTTGGGTTGTTTTCTTACCAAGCTGTTACCCGTTTCCTTTGCAGCATAGTGTGGACATCTGCCATACAGCGGCACGTAGACCGTTCATAAACAGCACCGTGATAGTCTACATCGACGGGAGGCAGCGTGCAAGCGTACAAGCGAAGCTGCCTTCGTTGAGTGAGGTTTGTCATCCAGACTTTTATTAGCAGTAGCATCTACCTAGCCTTCTGTACACTCCCTTTTTGCGTTTTGTCCCCTAAATTTGGATCGCACAATGCTTTTATGGCCTGGTTTCTAGGTCTAGAGCTTTGTAAAGAGTTGTGACGAAAACATGATAACACGGGCTCACAATGATCACATGGTCACATGGTCACATGGCTGGTGCCACTACCAGTTATGTGTCCTCGTGACGTGATGTCACTGTGTTACATGACCATGTAACTTGGCATAACACAAGCGTATAACTAGACATTGTAGCGTCAAGTGGCCACGTAACTTGACGTCACTGTCACGTGACCGCGTAACTTGACGTCACATTGTCACGTGATCATATAGCTTGACGTCACTGTGGAGAGACCACAGGACCTGATGCAATGGTGTCGCCTTACTACATAACTTGATGTCACAGAGCGACATGACCACATACCTCGATGTCACATGACTACATAACTTGACGTCACGGCGTCACGTGACGTAAGTGACGTCATGTGACACAATCACGGAGCAGGCGTTGCGTGACCACCATCCCTTAAATGTAGCAGGAAAAAGGGCGTTGCAATATAGCAGCTTCTCAAGTCCGCCCTCTGCATAATTTGAACCTCCTACGTAAGGTCGAAGCGATTTTTTAAAAATTTATTTGGCAGCATTCGTGATGTTAAGACGTATCCGTCTTTCCATACTCTTCCCAGTTCTCGCACTGCCGCGTGGCTTGCTGTAGCACGGGCAACGACGCAGCCGTGAGCCGTAGGACGAGCGGGGGCTCGGGCGATTCTGCCACGTCGCCGGGGGCCCCCACGACTGAGGGGGGACGCTTTGGCGCCTCTCCAACGGACCCTGGCAACGCAGCCGGCGTCAGCTTCCTGAGGAACACCACCCTGGGTTCTTTCTTGAGCGGCTGGGATGCCGAGAAGATCTTCTCGATGGCCCCCAGCGTGCCGGCGAACCTCCGAAGTGCCTTCAACGCGGACCCGGACCCTTCGATCGTCGTCACGCCCGTCGACTCGCACGAGCAGGTGGGGGAGACGAGCTCCCGAAAATGGCAGATCGCCTTTCGCGTTAGGGAGGGTTTATTCGTAACGTCGATTACGGTTTTTTCCCCGTAGCAACGGCTTGTGGAACTTAACCCCGTAACGAGCGGTTACGGAACTTCTCTCGTGACGGGCAGTTACGGAGCTTGTCCTATGATGGCTATTTACGGAACTCCTCCCGTGATGCTAAGTCGCAAACGATTCATTTGTAACCCCAGTGTATGGAGTCCTTCCTGAAATTCTAGCTTATGGAATTTTTCTCGAAATGTTAAGTTGCGGTGCATTTTCTTTTTCTTCCTCGTGGTTTCAAATGAACATTTGCTGTTCTGGACGGGGAGGATGTTTAAGATATGTCCCCCTCTATTATGAAATTTCCTAAATCTCCAGGGTCAATCGACCGAATTTGTGCCCATTAGAATCTTTGAAATGGCAAATAGGTACAGAATGATCACCGCCCCATTACAGAAGGCTTTCTAGCTCTTGCTATGACCCGTTCGGTGTAGCGACTTAGCTTTCACCTCTAAATGATGGTATGTTTGTAGAACTAATATTTTGAAAAGGGAGTGTAAACTGGTTTTAATACCAGCATATTAATTACAGTGGTAATATATCTCGTGGAGATATATTCGGGAGAATGAAGTCACTGTGAAATATAGGCTATTTACAGCATGAGCTTGTTTGCAAGTGCTTTAGGCTTTTGCGAGTGTTTTATTATTTTTATATTAGAGTCATAGCACCCCACGTCCCATGTTGCCATCTTCCAGGTCTGGGGTACTTCCGAAGGTCTGAGGGGCCAAATTGGTTCGCTGTGTGTCTTCAGTGAACCGCTGCAGGCATCTCAAGTGAAGATCATGTACACTGGAGGTTTGTCATCTTTTTCTCTTATGGCCACCGAATGTTTCTGTTGCTTTATCCCTATTATTTTAGTCAGGTTTATTTAGACTTATTGTAAAGTTTTCAGCTCACTGTTTTTCACAGGGTAGCCCAGAAGGTGCTATCTACAGCAGATCTTTGTCAGTGAGTCAAATATTGAATTAGAACATGAATCACAGTTTGAGTATCGCTGAGTATTCTTTTGCGAATTCGGCTTTACGCCGAATTCGCAAAAGTTATCAGAACAAATCTGTTATTTCTTGACTCCGACCACTACACTGGGTACAAAGTGCCATTTGAGATGCATAAAAACAAAAGAACTGGTAATTGTTTCTATAATTGTCAGGAAAGGACAGTGTGACCGAAAAATATAGCTTGCAAAAGAGTGTTAATATTGTCCGGATGTATTCATTTCTTGAAACAACATGAAACATGATTTGGACCTAAGCAAACTGATGGCCCGAGGCGTGGCAGAAATTGTGGAAGCATTTCATACACCCGGTACAACCAGCGCCGCCTCTGACATCTTCGTTTCGCTTGCTGCGAACCCAGGTCCCAAGAACTACACCCTGTTTAAGAACGAGGACTCCGTGGAGGTAGCTGACCTCTTGGCTAAATTGGTCGTGTACTACGACGCAAAGGTAAACGGCGATTTCTTTTTTCACTCTCTTTGCGCACTGCTCTCGTTTTTAAAGCGACGGCTTCGTTTGGGAAGCCTGCACAGACCTTGCCCGTATGGGTAGCGTCGCACGGAGGGGGGGTGTAAGGGGTGTGCAAGCACTCCCCTCTTTCCCTCTCTCTCCCTTTCGATTTACGGTCTGTCTTCGAGCAGGCTTCCGTGGATGGCGTCTGCACCAATCTGGCACCGACGCTGTCCCAGTACGACGGCAGGGTGACCGGCCGCTACTGCCACACGCAGAACGTAAAGGTGAGGATTCGCGAGCCCCCTTCTTTTCTGCTTTTGGCGAGCGCTACTCAGAGCAGACATTGCTGAAGCGTTCTTACGGTCCTCTCTGACGTGCCAGGACATCATCAACCTGATTGGAGGGTATCCCACACTTTACCTCCTGCTCGAGAACTCTGGCAAGCCGGTTCCTAAAGGTTCGCCGAGCTTCGAAACGACTTCGCCCCCTTCTAGCAACAGACCGTCCGAGGAGGTGGTTGACGACTGGATTGTGGTACCCTCCGCCTCGTCTTCGTTCTCGGGCAAGTCGACGCTAGTACCCCGTAGTAACATTAATTTGTCCGTGTAAGCGCATCATATGGTTGATCACATGCTCTCCTATATGCTCTTGTACAGCTATGTAATATCATCAGTTTGTTTTTAACGTGCAACATTCTTTGGCTAGGCGTTCGACATTTCGTGAGGCCCAGATAAAAGCGTGGCCGTGAGGCTTGACACTGATTGGTTGACGGGTGGAGCTTGGGAGTATGGAAAGCTCTGAAAGATCGCCAGGTTTATCGGCCCGATCAGCGATAGTATCGCTTCATTCTAGGAACAACTATCAAGTGTACACATGGTAAACTATCTGATGAAGAATGCCGTGAACGTAGGCGTCTGCAAGCTCGGAGTATCGTCAAACAATATATTTGTGATGCTAAATCCACCTAGCAATTTACCGTACATCTTTATATACCAGGGTGCAAGGCTGGGTTGTGACCTTGCGTTTGGAAAGTCTGCGGAAACTTTTGTTTTGGGGAAATAAAAGGGCGTTGTCCTTACATTACCGAGAGGGACACTTCTTCTAGCAGCATTGATGCACCACGGGGAAATAAAACTGTTCTCTTTGTGGGTGGAGGGGTGTGGGAGGGGGATATCTTTCCTACCATGCACCGATGCGCTGAAAACGGGCGGGTGTGCTCCTGCGGGGGTGCTTTGCCTAGGTGCAACGGTGCATTGTGGGGGAGTGACAATGCAAGAAGCCAGGATGCTGATTTTGTTTTTATTATGCGAGCACCTAAAAGCAAAAGAATTAGGAATAAGAATTTTCTTCTTGAGAACTTTTTCCAAGCTTGGAGTGATGCCATTAGATGAGCATAAACTGTGGTGCCCAACGTAGACAATCTAAATTTCATTATGAATTTTAATGGGAGCTTTGACCCTGAAAAGCGGAGGCTCTTTTGTGTGACTTATGGTTCACAATAAATACAATACGTTTATGTTTCGAGAGGCTGGAAATCAATGTTTGCTTGAACTAGGCAGATCTAAAGATTATCGTTGGAGCCCATTTGACACCTGAATTTGCTTGTTGCATGCTGTGGCTGCATGTGGTTTGAGACGAGGTTTGAATCGCAGTGAGTAAAACTGTGTATATTGCATGCTTGGATTGCCTCAGGGTCACTTGCTTTGTTGGAAGGTGACCGTAGCGCTTTTGTCACGGGATCCTTATAGCATGTTGGATGTCGCCTAATAATTGTCTGGTTTTGCATGCACAAATTTTGCCGAAATGGCAAAAAGAACCTTTGGGATTTCTATTTAATGCTTACATAACACTCACGTGGATACTTTCAAGATAAGTAGCCAAATAATCTGCTAATAAAGTTCATGTACAAGGTGTTGATATATAGTAAAGATGTTTGTATAGCCGACTTATTAAATCATCTTAGTTTGAGAAAAAGCTTTCTCTGCAACAAGATATGTAAGCAGTTAACATATTTTCTGGTTTATTGTGCAGTATGAGCCAGGTCCACTTCTGACGGTTGTGATGTTCATGGATACCTTTGCTTAGTTATGCTTAGATGTTGGTTGAACTAGGTTTAGATTAGGGCTTATTTATGGTTTGGACCTTTCTCTGCTTGGCTGTAGTCGGCAAAAGGTAGGTTTAGGCTTGGTTTATTATAAACCAAGCCTAAACCTATCTTTTGCCGACTCTTCCGAATCCCAAGAAGATTTATATGAGTACTACATTGAGTTATGCTGGGCTAGTATTAAACTGAATTTGGCTAGGCTTAGCTTACTGAGGGTTCTGCATTCTCTTATGCTAGCATGGCTTTACGAGGTCTGGCGTAGGTAAAGTAAAAGCTAGGTTTCATTTAAATTTTATGTGGTACCAAAAAGTTAATTTAGCTATTGAAGAAAAAAATTTCAACTTCACAAGATTGTGAAAGTTGTCTGCTAATAGTTAGTTAAAGAAACCTAATCTACTTAAGTTAGCCAGGAGCCTGCTTTTCATGAAACAGAAAACAATGCACTGGAAGGACAAGGTCACATTGCATTGTCTGTTTAAAAAGTCTAAGCTATCTTGCTTTTAAGGATTCATCCAAAAATATGCACAATGTTAGCTGGGTCCTGCATTTCACGTGTTTTTCTCTCGCACCTGTTTTGATTACACAAGCATGACTGCAATATCTGAAATGGCCTTTGCTTTACACACTGTTGCACCGATTGTGCCAATTAGGATGGCATGCTGTCAGTCATACCGCCATAGTTTGTTTTACTTTACGCGCAAGTGAAGCAGAAGCTGCAAGCATGAGCATGTCACCCTAAACGATGCTTGCTCTGCACAGGCCTGCATGCACAGCCAGGACGCTGCAAGCCACAGCTCACTCTTGTGGCTGCAAGCCACAGCTCACTCTTGTGGCTGCTGCTACGCTTGCGTTAAAGTGAAACGAATTACAGTCGAAGCGTGGCAAACTTTGTAGTCTTGGTTGCCGACGGAATGCTCTTTTGTCTTCACTTAGGGCCACTGGCATCTCTTCTGCTTGACGTGCTGCCTGTCCCAGGCGCCCTCACTAAAACGATGACAAAGGGTCAGGCACACGTAACAGTACCTAGCTTCTCTTTTAACCCGCATCACCACTGTCCGCATCAACCCTGTATGTCCGCTTCAACCCTGTATGTCGCTTCGCGGTCGTGTCCGCCGTTTTCTTGCACGTTTCGTCCATTTATTATGTGGAGCATGAAAGCACGAAATCACTTTCACGAACGGCTTTTTGGATTGTTGTTACCATAACGTCCCGAGAGATGCCCCAACCCGAAAGGTGACACGGTCCTATTTTCGTCTCGATTTGGACCTTGGCATACTTATCGGCGACATGAGACAAGTGAACATTGCTGACTGGGAAGGGCAGTTGTCTTTGGTTCGTCGCCCCCTTCCCCGCAGTCGCAAGTTTTGCAGGTCACAAAATTTAAAACCAGCGTTTTTTTTTCAGCTTTTTTTTATCATGCACCGAAAGTTAGCCCGCCCCCCTGTTTTCATTCGATTTGCATTCGTTTTTGGGTGGGCTATCTCTTGGGATATAACGGTATAGTTAAATGCCGGTTCCTACGTTTGCATTTTACCACGGCCGAGTGCATTGTGATTTCTTGTGACTGCTTACGGCGAGAGAGCACACCGTGGATCAGAGGAGCACACTGGCTGGATAGATCTGGAAGTGTGTATAAATAGACTGGAGGTTTTGCAATGTCTGCAAAATCAAATCTTCATCTATGAGAAACGTTAACTTACAACAAAAGTTCCGTGCTTTCGGATAAATCCGAAAAATTTTGAAAAACGCCCACCGGTAGAATTTTTGTCAATTCAAATTTATCCGATTCACTCCAAATTTCAGTGTACCAATGCAAAAAAAATTGACGGTATTTCGCATGTAAGTCTGGTCAGCGGACAGGGTTAATGGTTCTGGGAAAATTCCACCCCAGTTTTCTTTCAAATCTCGGACTGTCGACAGAAGGGATCTTCCCGCTGTTCCGGTTTCCAGTTTGGGCCACACTATTTGTGCTTCTTAGAGGAAGGAAGAGCTGTGTTTCTGTAACAGTGAAAGCTATAAACCATATAGATTTCATACAAGTGGGAAGAGGGGGTGGGCAGTTGAAGCTTCTATATTACACCCTTTACCACTTCACCCCACGTAGCCGTGGAGCGAACTGATGGATACGGTGCAATGAATACTAGCTTCCCAGCGACTGCCTCTGGGAGTTCATTGATTTTAAGCTATCAGTGTTTATCGAAGCAGCACTTGTTTGCAACTGTTGCCGGGGGACAAATTAGTATTGCCGGCGGTAGTGGCACCAATGCTGGATCCAGCTGAACAAAAATCAGTCGATACAAGGGCATTCTTTTGAATCTATAGCACACGTTTATGCATGGATATTATTTATTTTTATTGAAAAAAAGAAAATAGAAAACACTAAAGTTGAGCTTCGAATTTCGGAGGATTGGGAATCAAACAAAAATAAACTTACGACAAGCTCCAAATTTTCACCACACAATAAACCCCAAAAAACAGCCTCCGAACTTGACAAGAAATAAGCTCCGAAAACGCAGAATACTATTTATAAGATTGACAAAAAAGTATTTCAAGTCTACGGTGAAACCATGATGCATAAAGAATTGGGAAATACTAAATGCAGATTTGAAGTGTTCCAGGGTCTGCCAATAGATGGCGCCATTCTGGCCTCGCGTTGTAAGCAGTCGCAAGAGGTCACAATGCTCGGTCGCAGCCAAATGCAAGTTTGTGAACCAGCCTTAGCGGGGACATAAATATTGAATGTGCATAAATGTACCTAAAACGAGGATCACCATAATTTGTTGCCATGTCTATGTTTGTGTTTATTTCGGGTGATTTACCTCTTTCTGTCGCTGTGTCACCCGTCTCTTGTCTCTGTCGTCTCTCTGCCATTCTTTTCTGAACTATGTGCCCGTCAAGTGTTGTCTGCTGCCATGTTAATTTTATTAAGTTGATCAGTGTCTAAGAAACACAAGGTGTGACTGTCTTCAGATCCAGAAGAAAAACCAAAATAGGGGATTTTTGCTTTGAAAAAAATTTGAACCAAAGAAATATGGGCGAAATTAATCTTTTCTCTCAAAGGCGTTTTGGCTCGTGGTACATTAAATGAGCTTAGGAGCCACACAATATTATTTTGGAGAAGTTGTAGAAAGTGATTGCAATGTCGCTGTCATTGCCCAGAGTTATAGAGCCTTCTTTGTCTTAGTGAATCAGGAGTGAATTATTTCGAAAATGTTCAACGAAGATATGCAAGTTACAAAATAAAAAAAAAGGGTAATTGTACAGGACATAATTTTATTTTACCGGAAAGACGAAGATCAGTCACAGACGGGACCTCAACTACCACAGTCCATGCACTTGTGAGCAACTAACTACATTTGAGTGTGCATCTTACAGAGCTAGGCCTGTATGGCCTCTTCTCCGTCGTTCTGTCCTTCCAGACTTGAGGCTTGCTCAGAACCAGGTGTCTAGTTTTCTGGTGATAGTGCAGCATCTGATGAACGGGAGCTCTGAGAACCAGATGCAGCTCCTCGCACGCACCGGAATACCAACCATCGGAGCTCTGATGCAGAGGGTGGGTCTTTCATTGCATTCGCTTTTTGCGTGACTTTCATTGTTTTTAATTGCAGAACGCATTTTAACGGAAGCGAAGTTGGAATTTGTATAGCTGTCCTGTCGCTGTCACTGTAGCTGTATTATGCCCACATCAACTAAATTTAGTGAGCTAACTTAAGGGGGGACACTACCCAAAAAAGTAAATTTTTGAACCACTTGTCTGATTTAAATTATATTTACAGGGCTTGTTTCAGTTGATGTTGATAACATTTCTGCTAATTTTTGTTAACCTGGGTGAAGTATAAAAAAAATTGCAAACGTTCAAAGACGAAAGTGGGCGTGTCTGCTTAGGAAAACTATCGTTTTGAAATTACTTATAAATTTGTTGTTTTCATGTGTTACATTGCGTTAGGACAGTTCAGAGCAGATAACTATGGAGCTATATTTCTATGTTATACCATCTTTCATGACAAAAAAGCTACATAAACACAAATACAGTTTTTTTAGATTTCCATCTTTTGTCCAAACTTTTAGTTCTTGAGCATGAAAAATGACAAAAATAAAAAATACAAGCTCATAGTTATCTTCCCCTTAAAATTTCACCCCAGAAACACTCATAAAAATCAATCCAAGTTGCGTATTAACAAAACGATAGTTTTCCTAAAGTGAAATTTATGCCAAAAAGTGGAATGGAGAAAAATGCGTTCAAAGTGCTCCAACCTCTACCTTTTCTTTAGCATCAGTGAACCGAAAATAATTTATAAAAAATTAACTATGCAGTGTAAACTAATGAAACTTTCTGGCAATACTCTCTAGATGTTGGTGGATGTAAATATGACATTTTTCAAAATCAACTTTTTTTTGCAGAAATTGTTTTTTCTGGGTAGTGTCCCCCCTTAACATCTTGCAAAATATAAAGGGATGCCACCATGTGTCACATCATCATGTGGTTGGTGCCAGTGTGGGTCAACTGGTCATGTGGCCTGTGCCACTATGACTCGCATGATCACGTGACACTGTGTAACCTTGGGTGTCAAGTCACGGTGTAATGCGACGCCATGTCAAGTGATTACGTCGTGCGACGTCAGGTCACGTGATGTTACAGTGTCACATGACATTGAATGACACTGTGTCACATGACCTGACTTCAAGCAACGTGATCACGTGACAACATGATGTCTCTTTGCCCAGCTCTGCTTGTACATCTCTAATCTGTTCTGCGTGTGGGACGTATGAGCTGTAGATCTAAGGGGCAGCTGAACTTTTTCAAAACATATATTGCACTTAGGGGGGTCTAAATAAAGTCAAATAATCATTTAGCCACTTCCCTCCAGAGCACGTGTGCTCTGCAGGGGCATTGGTTCCATCTACCTGCCATGTGACATGAACAGGCAAAAAGCAGCGGTCTAGCTTACAGAATAACTGTTGTGAACGCTAACTCGGAAGTAGCAGAAAGTTTTGGGGGCAGTCAATCCGTAGAAAGTTTATTGTGACACGACAATTGCGTGGCTTTTGCACGAGTGGCGCTATCTTACCCTACTGGCACAGTGTGTTGTACCCCCCAGTCAGGGTTGGGCAGAAATACTCAAAAATGTATTTGGAAATACAAATACTGGGATACATTAAAATAGTAGCTAAAATACTGATACTGAAATATATCTGTAAAAGTGTATTGCGATACGTATCGGAAATACATTTTAAAAAGAGGCAAAAAGTATTTGGAAATACAAATACAGGAATACATTTAAAGGAGGGCAGAAATACAAATACAGAAATACTTATACTGGAATACATTCTCCAAATTTGTTTGAGACGCCAAATGAGATGAAGCTAGAACTTGGAAGTGGAAGTTTTTGATCCTGAAATTACTTTCCCGTAGGCTTTCACTTTGCCTTGAAAGTAGTGATTTTGGATGACGAGGAGTCTTTAATGGGCTCAAAAAACAAAACAAAAAAACATTCCATCAAGGACTGACCGCGGTCCCTTCCCTGACATCCTGTCTGTCTAACGAGGGATGTGAAAAGACTTCGACCTCTAAATAAATTCTATGTCATCCTAATCTCATCAAAACGTCGCCGTGCCCCTGTCCAATAAGAACGCCCCCTTCAACATTTATCACATAACGTCACGGTGGAATGAACTGGTATACTTTATCTGTAGGTGGTGGCCTTGAACATGAAACCTCACGCTGCTGTATGAAAGGGCAATAAGTACTTTCGTTGTAGGTTACCTCGTTGAAGATCGTGCAGGCAGTGTCATTTGAAATTTTCGAGAATGGTGGGCCACCTGAAGCCTCCGGGAACATATCTCTTATCTTCTGTTACGGTTGAAAAAAACGATACGGTGGCATCCCTGTTGTGAAGGTCCTTCCTGTCGACCCTCCGCCACCGACGCATGGATTGCAGTCCTCAAGTTTCGCCTTGCATACTCCAAATAGAGACCTCGTGGATTGCGACCTGATATTTCCGGCACAGGTGCGAGCTCTCCGAGAAACAGCGTGCTCGAGACGAGTTGCAGGTGTACAAGGTCTGGGTCGGCACAGCGAGGCCACGTCTGACCTTCTTCATGGGTTTCGAATCAAACACCAGAGCAAGGGGTCACTTTCATGTCGGCTGATGACGTACCCTTGAGCCGTGCAATATTACGGGCACAGCCGCAGACGCATTCAAATATGTGTTGAACTTCACTGCGTGAGTCATCCAACTATTTCAAGTCAACCACCGCCAGGCTCATGCTGCTACGGGATTGTGACTCGGTTTTGCCGGCTGGGTGTACTGTGTACGCTAAGGCAAGAGAGACGGTTAGCAGCGGGCTTTGGATGCCAGCAAACAATGACTCAAGAAATCCCTACCTAGGGGCCTGCGGCACAAGATTCTATGACTCCACTCCTGGCACGCCACCTGGTTCGAGTCTTCCAATACGCAACACTTCGCAACAGAAGAGGACGCATAGAAAATTAGTTTGAAGAATCAGAAGGAACCTTGGTCAGCATGGTAACAATGCCTCAGCATCTCCTTCACCTTGGTGCCCTTAAAAGTAAAAAAAGAAAATGCGTTCGAATGTATTTTTTTTGGGGGGAGGGGGGGGGGGAGGGGGGGGAGTGGGAGTATTTCTCAAGAGATGTAACGAAATACATTTCACCCTTATTGTATCGCGATACAAAGGAACATGCAAAATGTATTTCGAGACAGGAATACAGATAGTGGTGAAAAAAATGTATTGCGTTACAGAAATACAGATACGAAATGTATTTCTGAAATACTATCGCGATACATTTGTATCGCGATACTGCCGAACCCTGCCTCCAGTTCACCTTTATGAGGCACAAAGACCAAACAATGGTAGCTGAACAGTTGTCGTTTGCACAGACCATGTTTCTAGTAATGTAGGCTTTCTAGCCTCCCTGCATTGCTATTAACTGCTTGACTATTGTGTAGCGGTAACAGATGCGGTGCCTTTTCTTTTCCCGCATTTCAGGTACCAGGACACTGTATCGACGTAAATGTTTTAATGGCAGTTCAGCTACTTGTGGAGAATGCCAGCAGTGCAGAGAATGCTCAGGAAATGCTGAAGCTGGTCTATCAGCACATCCTCTTCGATTTCCGGATTTGGAGCAAGGGCAGCTTTCCTGTTCGACTAGGTTAGTATTTCTCAAGAGGAGTGCATTTCATTTTAGTTCTGGAATATCATTGATTCAGTTACTTATCTTCGGTGGTTTTATCTTAAGATTATTCTAAAACTGTCAAATTCTAAGCACTCCAGAAATGAGTTTCCATATCTCCATCTCCATTAGTATCACTGTATTGAGTGGACTAAATCACCCTGTCCAACTTTAAATAAGCTATGAAAATAAGATTTCTATGTTAGAACACCATAATTCACCTTTAATTTTCTGGAGTGCTACAGATTGAAATGGAGCTTCATGTCTTTTTCGTGTCAAAGTGTTAAAACATTGTTGTAGGCCATTGAGGCATTTGGTTTGACAACAGGAAACGGTTCAGAAATATTTCTTTGACATTAGCACGAAACAAATGCTTTATCTAGCCACACTTTTGTGGTAAATTACGGTTTCCTAGCACACAAAACTAATTTTTGCAATTTATTTGACTTCGGTTTCGTCCATTTGGCCCATAGTGTAGATTCTAACTTCACTCATGACATCTTTCTCAAGTGTTGCTGTTGAAAATGTTTTCAATTGGGCGACTACGCTATCATTTGGTGCTTGACATCAAGTCACCCCTAGAAATATAATGGGTTTAATGAGTGTTTGACTGAAGTTCATGCCATGAAGTGGGTGTACCCTGTATGGTTGGGTTTTTTGGGGTTATGTCTGAAGTTATGAAGCTGGGCTGCTTACTGCCTTCTACAGTGCCAAGGCTTTTTTTTTTGTTTCTTTCTACCAGGACATATCCAGTACCTGACCACCATTATCAAAGAAGACAGAAAGTATTTCAGGAAGAAGTATGGTCCCAAGTTTCTGCTCGACATGGTCCAGATGTTTTATAGGTTTGTAGACATTGACTTTTCTTTTTGTAAGAACGATTACTAATATTGTTTGTATACAAGGTGCTATATTATTTAATGAACTGCAGTAATCTCTCGTTATAACGAAGTCAACGGGACGGCAAAAAGAAAGTCGATATAAGCGGTAATTCAATAAAAGCGATAGAGCCACATAAACAGTGCCAGTGGCCTTGAAGGTGGACTGGAACACTGCGGAACACTCTGACCGTATATTTAATCAAACAAACCTTGGTTATGAACATCTCGTGGCAGCTTTACTGACTAAAAAAAATAATTAAGTGGAGTTTGCTGATAATTGAATCCGGGCATCAGTTCTCGAACTGCTCCAGGCATTGCGAGAACACTGTCATTGCCGCTGCACTCCAGTTTGTTTCGATGCAGCCGTAGGATGTTTTGCGTCTCCGCAGTTGTTGTCGTTTCGCGAGGTGCCTCTCCGACGTTGCTTTGTGTTTACCTTGGCTGCATGCAAGCTCTACGATCGCAGCATCCATGACAGGAGCAACAACGGGAACGTGTGCTTCGACAAGCGCAAATGTACCAAAGTTATCCTCAGTGGCTTTGCCAGCATGTTTTCACACAGGAGATCGTTGCACCTTTGGAGGTCGTGCGTCGGCTCGGCATGCATGCCCACGAGAGAAAATTTGACATCCACGAAGCAGTTGGCCATCTTTCATTTTGGGTCACGGGCACGCTTTCTCCTGCATGAGAAACTTCTCGAACCAGTCCAATATTCCTTGCTTGTGCTGAAAAATGGTGGACAGTGTCGAACAGCCGATGCCGGAACGTCAACGTCTTGGTGATTACGGACTTGGGTCGGCCACTTTTCTCAACCTCGCAGATCTAAGCGACTTTCGGTAAACACTACCAATCTCCCACGTGACGCACGTGTGCGTGTAGTATGCCGCAGGCGCACCTGCCAGGTGTGCGTGTCGGGGCTCCCGAAGGTATGATCTCCTTCAGGCTTTGTCACTCCCTTGACCCGATTTCGACAAGAGTCAAGCGGCGTTGGCCGCGGGCGCCGTGAGTGGTGTCGGAATGTTGACGCTGCTCTTGCTGCTTCCTGCTTGCGTTCCCGAGTTGGCGCGTCGGCATCGGAAGCGGCACTCTGCCGGCTCTGCGCGCTCTGCCCTCCGTCACCTGTTTACTCCGTTTTCCCAGTTTGCCGTTTGCCTCGGTGGAGGAGGGGGAGGGAACCCAAAGGTCTCCGTGCGCCTCCGTGTAGGCTCGCATGCTTTCGGCACCGCGGCCTTCGTAATAAGTGTGGTCGGCCGCACATACACTTCGAATAATCCGGTTCAAAATGCGTGCATTTTGGTTGGGACCATGTTGAACTTCGATAAAAGCGATAATTCGAGAAAAGCAATTTCGTTATAACGAGGGATTACTGTGTGTGCAGTTCTTTACAGTTGTCAATTATAACAAACTTTTATGGTAACTATTAGGGCATAATGAAAGTGAGTTGCATTATGTTATAATGATGCAGATCTAATAGAAATCTAAAAATCAATATTTTGCTCGATGAACATTTTACCTGTAGTTTTAGGGTCGTCCTCTTAATACTTAAAGCAACGGATCTGGTCACAATTCCTTATGAAAGTCGCCGTGATATCGAGGCATAAACAAGAGTGAAATACCCTTGCCTTTGCGTGCCTCTTTGTGTCTTATTTTCAAATACGAACCGTCCACGTTATTGAGTAGTTAAGCTTCTCATGTTGCTCGCTTCTGCATCCCGCTGGAGCCTTTGCCTGTTTGAATGACGGCACACCCTGTCCTCCAGCGATTGCAGCCTCCTGTCGTCGGACGACGTGAAGACGATTCGGATGGCCGTCCTGGCCCTCGTTCGTTTCTACATGCTCAGAGACGTCAACATCCAGGACGTCAATGCGGTCGTCTCGTACGTCTTGTCCCAAAAGAAGGAAGAGTTGGTGAGTCTCCGCGGTCTCGTTTTCCGTCGCATCGCGGCGTCTGGAACGCGTCTCCAGCCGGCATGTTTGGCGTCTTGTTCCTCTCATGTGTCGAAGGCAATCTTGAAGCGGCAACAAATGACGTTGCAAAGGCGTTTTCTCTAACGGCGTTACGCCGTTGGAGAAACGCTTCAGGCACTGTAGCTCGAAGATAAGAGGTTGCACAAGATATGTAGAGGTTAGTTTAGTGTTGCAATTGTAAACGGTTGGTTCACACTTGTGATAGAGTTGTCCATCCGACGTCCTCGTGCTTCTTGCGTGTGTGTGTCGCCTGGAGACTGAAAGTGGACGGCTATCGGGGTGGATCCATGAGATGGATGAACGTGGCGGCTGAGCTTGTGGAATTGGGCGGTGGCTTGTGCCACCTGGCGATGAATCAGAAAGTGCAACATCACTGTTGCTCTGCCAGCCAACTTTTTTACAATCGCAACGTTTGCTCCCCTTTGTTGTGACGGTGGCCGACGGTATTATGCGAGTTTCCGGGGTTACCGCATCGTTGTGGGCTACGGACAGGGTCGATGTCATTTGCGGATATGGTTATTGCAGGGCACAATTGTGGAAATCTCAATGACTGGTGCTGTGTGTAGAGGCCTCTTATAGTAACCGCAGTCGCAGTCACAACCCAGCTGTAATAGTTTTTTTTATCACTACGATTATCTTTGTTTTTCCAGACTCACATTTTACTTTGAATGTGCGTAGTGTCTATTATGAGATCCCCTTGCATTTAATTAACTTGCATTAATGCATTAAGCATTTAATGTGCATTAGTAACAAATGAGAGAAGTTTTGCATTTCCAGAAAGTGTTGCTCTTTTAAACCCAATGAAGTTCTCAGGGCCAATTCAGCATTTTTTTAGCTTTGCTCAGTTTTGACCTCGTGTGATATTTCTCATTCGAAACTCTTACGGGCTCCCACTGGTAAGTTATATGCGGAGGATTAACTAGCTCATCGACCTTCTGGAAAACTTGGTGCTACTTTGTGATCTGTGTTGTGATCCTTTACTCACCTTGAAACTGTTTCAGGTGAAAGAAGTGGTCGAGATTCTGCTGCAGCTACTCGACGGCTCTGCCACGAGGGACCAGCTCGTTCTACTGCTTTACGAGCCCAATTGCGCGGAGCTCTTTTATTGCCTCCTCCTGAACCGAGAGTTCTCGAGCTGTACAAAGGTCAAGGTGCTCAAGGTAGGGAAGTCTCTCTTGCTCTTGTTATCCTTACAAAGCATGCATTCAGTGATGGATGTTAGGTGAAGGTATAATCAGTGTGGGGAAGCAATCGATACAGCATGTCGGGTGATATGCACTGGGAAATCAGCTAGAGAGGTGCTAATCTATACTATATGTCGTACCGCGTTCCACATGGCATCGTGTGTTTCGAGAACACCTCTGATCGGATACATTTTGTTTCGGTGCATTAATAAGACAGATAGGAAACGCCAGAAAGACAATGCGGAGCTGTGTGGAACTGTGTCCCAATACTCGATCGGATATTGGGAGATCCGGCGTTCATATCCCGGCTCCGCCAAAGATTTAGCCCTTTGGCGGCTTCATAGAATTTGCTTAATTCAATAAAGAATGGTTCATTCATTTGCATATTTTTGATTATTTCTACATACTAAGTATATAAACATACATTGCAATCAAGACATTAGTAACTCCTTTCATGAAATGTTAACCCTACTGTTTAACTACCCGTAATATCCCGAGTCATCGCCCATCCCCGAGCCATCGCCCACCCCATTTTTTGGGCCAATATCGATTTCCGAAAAAACACCGAGTCATCGCCCACCCTTTCAAATACCCCAGTGCGGACTCTGCGATCCGCGAACACTCATCCTACCCGAATGACGCGGCCGCGGACCTTACAGTTCGAGGACGTCCGTGACAAAGTAAAACAAAGAAGGGAAAGACACTTCTTTTTGTTTACCTCCGTGAGCGACCCCAAAGTGGTCGTGTATCCGTGCGAAAAGAAAACGATGGAGATAACAAAATAAGAGTTTGTTAATGTAACCGCGGAGTGTTGGGTCGAAGTCTGTCTCCGCCGAAGTAAGGTCACCGCGAACCCGCTCCTTCTTCCCGCCCGTCGCGACAGCGGTTGTGCAATATTTTAGGCAAAGCCAACGCGTAAATAAAGCTCTGCTGGAACGCCCTACACAGACGTTTGCAGAGCATCCCAACCGTGCATCGATAGCCTGCCGTGCACGGACGCACGTATGTACGCACCAAACAAAAAGTTGCGCAAGAGCTTGCAATTGACAAGGCGCCCGACTTGGCCCCACGTCAAAGTATTTGCCAACGCGACCGCCGGCTTTCCCGCTTTCCCAGCATTGCTCTTGGTCGCTTCTTTGGTCCGTCCGCTCGCTCGCTCGCTCGCTCGTTGCGCCTGGTCGGTTTTTCTATTTTCTTGTAGACTTTTCTTTCTTTTTTTTTTACTAACTAGGAGAACATAGTGGTGACATTCTTTCACGGAACAAACGTTCGCGCTATATGCAGATCGGCGGTGTTTCTAGCGCGTATGCAAGCAACGGACTTCACTATAGCAAAATATTCTTTCGTGAGCATTTTTTTCTATAAAACAAGGAAACTAAATCGAGTTTTGAGTTTGATGTATCTCTTGTGCATCAGCGCTAGATACGCAGAGAAAAATAGGTGGTTTTTTCCGCTTTTTTTCAAGTGTTTGTGCTCACCCACCGAGACATGGCCCACCCCACTTTTTTAATGAATTTCAGGTGGTAGGGGGGTGGGCGATGACTCGGGATATTACGGTAAACCGCTTCCTTATGTAGTTTCCTGCCTCCAGGGTTCTTAAAGAATAAAGATACAGGAGGGAGTTAATAAATTACGACAGTTTATGACATAGGTGTGTCTACAGGTTTTCCCGCTCATTTTAATCCAAGCGACGACCAATTTAATCCCGGGGTCACTCAATTTAATCCAAGCGCCATACAATTTAATCCAAGCGCCACACAATTTAATCCCGAGGTCAGTCAATTTAATCCACAATAGATATATATATATATGCACTCATTGGGGGTGTTCAGTGGTCGTGTTTCGCTTACACATTTGGTAACTTAGAACAATTGTTTATACAATTAGAATTTTTGGGAGGCAATTGAGAATTTGATCACTAATGTGATTACTTTGAGTTACTAGTCCCACTATTGACGAGGCTTAATTGATATGTTGGTTACTCTTTTGAGAGCGCAGCTCTTAGGCACCCGTTTCCGGCTTAAGCGGCGTCGGCGTCGCCGTCGCCATCGGCGTAACCACGCGGTGAATGATGGGTAAATTCCCCCGCTAAATTTAGCGGAAAAATTTCCCCGCTAAATCTAGTGGAAAACTTTCCCTGCTAAATCTATCAAAAAATTTTCCCAGCTAGATATAACGAAAAATTCGCCCCGCTGATTCTAGTGGAAAATTTTCCCCGCTAAGTCTAGCAGAAAAGTTTCCCCACTAAATGTAGTGTAAAATTTTTCCCACTAAATTTAGCGGAAAATTTTTTCCCGCTAAACCTAGCGGAATGTTTTCCCCGCTAAATCTAGCTGAAAATTTTCCCAGCCAGATTTAGCGAAAAATTTGCCCCGCAAAGCCTAGCGGAAACGTTTCCCCGCTAAATCTAGTGGAAAATTTTTCCCGCTAAATCTAGCGGAAAATTTTCCCCGCTAAATCTAGCGGAACAATTTACCAGCTAAATTTAGCGGAAAATTTTCCCCGCTAAGTCTTACGGAAAATTTTCCCCGCTAAATCTTGTGTAAAATTTTTCCCACTAAATTTAGCAGAAAATTTTTTCCCGCTAAATCTAGCGTAAAGTTTTCCCCGCTAAATCTAGCTGAAAATTTTCCCAGCTAGATTTAGCGAAAAATTTGCCCCGCAAAGTCTAGCGGAAAAGTTTTCCCGTTAAATTTAGTGGAAAATTTAGCGGGGACAATGTTCCGCAAGATATAGCAGAAAAAATTTTCCGCTAGACTTTGCGGGGCAAATTTTCCGATAAATCTAGCTGGGAAAATTTTCCGCTAGATTTAGCGGGGAAAATTTTCCGCTGAATATTGCGGGGAAAATTTTCCGCTAGATTAAGCGGGAAAATTTTTCCGCTAAACAGCGAGGAAAATTTCCCGCTAAATTTAGCAGGAAAAATTTTCCGCCTAATTTAGCGGGGACATTTTTCCGCTAAATTTAGCGGAGAAAATTTTACGCTAGATGTAGCGGGGAAAAATTTCCGCTAGGCTTAGCGGGGCAAATTTTCCGCTAAATCTAACTGGGAAGATTTTCCGCTAGATTTAGCGGGGGAAGTTTTCCGCTAAATATAGCGGGAAAAATTTTCCGCTAGATTTAGTGGAAAAAATTGTCTGCTAAATTTAGCGAGACAATGTTCTGCTAGATTTAGCAGGAAAAACATTCCGCTAGATTTAGCGGAAAAATTTTCCGCTAGATTTAGCGGGGAAGCTTTTCCGCTAGACTTTGCGGCGCAAATTTTCTGCTAAATCTAGCTGGGAAAATTTTCAGCTAAATTTAGCGGGGGAAATATTCCACTAAATATATCGGGGAATATTTTCCGCTAGATAGAGTGGGAAAAATATTTCCGCTAAATTTAGCGGGGAAAATGTTCTGCAAGATTTAGCAGAAAAAATTTTCCGCTAAATTTAGCGGGAAAAATTTTCCACCAAATTTAGCGGGAAAGCTTTTCCGCTAGACTTTGCGGGGGAAATTTTTCGCTGAATATAGCGGGAAAAATTTTCCGCTAGATTTAGCAGGGAAAATTTTCGCTAGACTTAGGGGGACAAATTTTCCACTAAATCCAGCTGGGAAGATTCTCTGCTAAATTTAGCGGGGGAAATTTTACGCTCAATAAAGCGGGGAAACTTTTCTGCTAGATTTAGCGGGGAAACTTTTCTGCTAGATTTAGCGGGGAAAAGGTTCCGCTAGATTTAGCAGTAAAAATTTTCAGCTAGATTTAGCGGGAAAATTTTTCCGCTAGATTTAGCGGGGAAGCTTTTCCGCTCGACCTTTGCAGGGCAAATTTTCCAATAAATCTAGATGGGAAAATTTTCCGCTGGATTTAGCGGGGAAAATTTTCCGCTAAATATAGCGGGTTGAATTTTCCGCTAGATTTAGCGGGGAAAATTTTCCGCTAAATTTAGCGGGGAAAATGTTCCGCTAGATTTAGCAGGGAAAATTTTCCGCTAGATTTAGCGGGGAAATTTTCCACTACATTTAGCAGGGGAATTTGCTCATCATGCACCGCGTGGTTACGCCGACGGCGTCGGCGACGCCGACGCCGCTTAAGCCGGAAACGGGTGCCTAAGAGCCTCGCTGTAAAAAGAGTAACCAACATATCAATTAAGCCTCGTCAATAGTGGGACTAGTAACTCAAAGTAATCACATTAGTGATCAAATTCTCAATTGCCTCCCAAAAATTCTAATTGTATAAACAATTGTTCTAAGTTACCAAATGTGTAAGCGAAACACGACCACTGAACACCCCCAATGAGTGCATATATATATATATCTATTGTGGATTAAATTGACTGACCTCGGGATTAAATTGTGTGGCGCTTGGATTAAATTGTATGGCACTTGGATTAAATTGAGTGACCCCGGGATTAAATTGGTCGTCGCTTGGATTAAAATGAGCGGGAAAACCTGTAGAACAAGATACATTATGCAAATCATATGATGCGGTAGTCTAAAACTTTCCCAAAAAGACCAAACAGATGTGGATCGAACAGCTGTCACTCTGGATATGTCTGAGCTTGCTTGCCGTAAAATTTGTCGAGCAATAAACTCCACAGAAGTCTTCGTTTTTCTCTCGGCTATATTCTAAATGCTTTTTCAAGGCGACTGTATGACTATAATGTGTGTCGATTGTTTCAGCTGATCGAAGTACTGCTCAAAAGCGACAAGGTCTACGAGAAGTCAAAGTCGCGGCTGCGGCTCTCCGAAGTCGGGTTTGCGTCCTTGACAGGACTCGTGTCGGCAAACGAAGTGACCGCCGAGGTCGCCAAGGAGCTGGTCAACCTCATTCTCCTGACAGGTAAAATCTAGGAGCTTATATTGAACAGTCAATTGAGTACTAATTTAAAGGGGAGCTCCAGCGGTTTCTTGAGCTACCCAAACTAACACACATTTTTAGACTTTACTCTTCCTGTCAGGTTATTCATTATTTCTAGATTCAAAATAGCTATTGAGAAAACGGCGAAAGGACCTCATGCCAAAACCAACATTAAAATTTTCACGTATACCTTGCAAGCCGAGCAGGCAGTTAAAAAAAAGACAAGGTATTTTGCGCGTTTTCTCTCGTTTTGCTGGCGTAAGCTTCCTCGGCATTTTTAACGCCATCAAACTTCTTGTGACTCGTAGGGAACAAGCTTCATTGCTGAAAATCTGGCCGGAATTATAGAACATTTTATTGTCACATTTTTTATGTTGCCTGTAGAGCCTCTCAGCCTCTCGGACCAAACTTAAAAAGTCAATAACTTTGCGAAAAAGGAACCATTTGTGTTACTAGTTCAGGGGTATGTAACATTCTATTGAACCAATTTTCAGCCAAATCACTAGCTATCAAAATTTGTCCTTAATTAAGAGGCATACTCATACAAAGAAGCAGATACAAAAAGAACACAAGTAGTATGGTCTAATCTAGCTAATTACAGTTTTCAGCTGTTTGTTTATGTGTGTCAAACCAGTCAAAGGAATTCTCTGTATCCTAGTTAATGGCTAGGTAAGATTGAATTTCAAACTGCATTTTCAAGCTTGTGCAATGTAGTGTCTAAGGCATACTATTTTGTTTCCCAGGAACGCTAAAACAAAAGGTGCTTCACCGCACGTCACAGTTTCGTGTAGCGCTGTTGCGCGACCTAGACAGCGGTGTGACATTGCGGTTTAGGGCCAGATAGGTTTATAAGAGCTGGAGTTGGCTCTCTGGTTTCATTTTCGGTGCAACACGCTTTTGGGTAACGCCCTATTCTTGGGTTAACACGGGGTAACATTCTGGAGTCCAACCGTGTGTTGTAGTATTTAAACAGATAGGTAGAACAGAGGTACAGACTGCAACATGGTTAGCACGGACAAACGATCGCCGGTTTTTTGTGTTTAGAATTTAATGGGTGTCATCAAAACTATTACTGCGGTAGAAGGGGCTCATTTGGAGTACTAACTTAGTAGGTCGTAAAAGTTGATGCTCTCCAATACTTTGTCCGAGTAAAGTGTGAAAAAGTATCGATGTCATATATACACTACCTGTGTGTCTTAGTCTACACACTGAAATTATGACTTTTTTTGTTTTGTTTACTGAATTCCAGACATATCGCAAGGTTTCCAAGGATTCCTTGCACTGCTCAACCTGATGAAGACCATGGACGTAGAAGTGAAGTACTATGCGGCACAAAAGGTGAGTCCAGATGCTTCGCTAAATGAAAGAGCAATTCATGATTAAGCAAATCAATATGGTGTACACATTCTGCTAACTTTCAGATATTGGGCAGGTATGTCGGGAAACAGACAATGTGTTAAATTTAGGAAAAGCTCACAAAGTATATATTTCCGATTTGTATACAAGGGAAAAGCAATGAGTGCTGAAAATTCTACCACTGGCTTCGAATGTAGCAATTCAATTTATTTCATATACAAAGTTACGTACATGTTAATGAGTAACATTGCTTAGAATGCAAAAGGGAACAAATGGTCTCTTAGTAATTGAAGTAAAGTATTTTATTTGCTCATGGAGATGTTTTTCTAACATGCGGTCGCTACTCATCTTAGCCTAAGGTCGCTGCAGATCTCAAATTCTGTTTCCGTGTGATTAAAAAAAAAAAAAAAAAAATGAAAAGTTGTACTTTGTTTTTGACAAATTAATGTGGTATCGACCCAATTCTAATATCCTCATATTCTAGCGTCACTTGCAGCACATTTAGTTTTGAAAACGTTAGCAAAGCAAAATACTCCGTGTTCGTGACTCCCCATTGCGGGGGAGGTCTGGTCCTACAGTTTGTTACAGCATAAAAAAGGTCTTGCTTGCCGTGATTGGGGATTTCCTTCTCTCCACTTGTCCCCTCTCCAGTATTTGCTCTGCTAAAGTAGAAATAAGGGAGGCTTTTTGGGTGGAGCCTGTCCTGCGTTTTTTTACGTTGCAGCAGGCTGTAGTGCGCATGTCTCATTGAAAAGAACCCAGAATTGCACTAGTGTTCGAAGCTGAGCAACCGAGAACTCAGGTTGGCTTCTCGCGCTTCAGCTGTTGTCGGCGCTGAACGAGAACGCCGCCTCGCTGCCCACGCTGGCTCAGCAGACCGGCTGGCAGGAGTGCGTTCTGAGCTTGCTGATCAAGGAGCCAATCTCGGAGGCAAGCTGCGCCAATAGGGCAACCCTGCCCAGCCTGGACCTGATCGACCTCAGCTCGCTCGAGACGGAGGCCGCCAATGCGGACTCTGAAAAGCCAGGTGGGCCCGCTTCACCGTTACATAATTTATTTATTTATTGGTATTGTCAGTCTCTAGCGGGGCTTTTAAATAGGAGTAGGCGAGTAAAACAATATGCAGCTTTTTGTCGCAGTACAAAGAACTAACGGCGACAGCTGTTATTGTGCATAGTAACACGGAGTTTTATGCATGTCCATTCTTTATTATACTGGATCACGCATAACACAGCCTTGTGGTCACTGAAGTATGTAGGAAAGGGAATGCAGTGCACACATGAGTGGGAGTCCCTGCCTAGTGCTAAATTGAGACAGGCACCGTTACGAGTGGTATCTGATGGTACATGCAAATTGAGTTCTGCAGTGAGGAATAAGCAGTGTCCCCTGCCAACTGTAAAAGAAGTAAAAGACACTGCCCCCTAGCAAAAGCCAAGTGAGCGCTGGGAAGTTCCTACAACAGCTATCGCCATAAAAAAAGGTGCACCGGATTCGACTAGGCGCGTCATTTCGTGCAATTGAGGGCTTGTGCCGAGCGCGGCATTTCGTGCCGACACTCATGTGTTGGTGTGTGGGGTGCGTGTTTCAGGGTCCCCTGTGCTGAAGCGTGGGACGCTGCATCGCCTCTCCCAGAGAGCCCTGGTGGCTCAGCAGTCCATCGAGGAGATCCTTCCGGGTTCCCCCAAGGCGGCCTCCCAGCTCCTCTCGCACCTCAAGGAGCACATCTTTGACTTCGAGATCACCCAGCTGCTCGGAAGGTGGGCTGCACCGCATTGTCCTCGCCCACAAAGCAGGAAGTCAGCTGTTACTGCGTGACGGAAGACCAGCCTATTTGATTTTACAGCGAAGCTGTTAAGGGATACTTTACCCACTATCGTGTCCGCGGACAAGCGGCGTGTCGACACAAAACTCGAGTCGGTACAGCTTTGCTGGTCTTCCATCTTCACCAGAGTGGAAAGGCTGAATTTCTCTAGATGTCGTCCTCTAAACGTCGTCCTCTAGGCGTCGTCCTCTAGGCGTCGTCCTCGAGGTCGTCCTAGAAGTCGTCCTCTAGGTCGTCTTAGGCGTCGTCCTTGAGGTCGTCCTAGACGTCGTCCTAGACGTCGTCCTCTAGGCGTCGTCCTTGAGGTCGTCCTAGACGTCGTCGTCTAGGCATCGTCCTAGACGTCGTAAAGATAACAAATCTTCGCTGGCCGACCATCTTCACGTGAAGTGGAAGGGATCTACAATTTCTTTTTATTTATTTATTAATTTATTTACAAATACTGTCATTCCTTCTAAGGAATGCAATAGAAATGGCGTCCTATGAAAAAAAAAAGAAGAGCTTTAATTGCAGAAACAAACAAATATGGTCATCTGCTTACATTCAATGCATTGCGATTAAAACTGTTTCGCAGTATATGTGCAACAAATCCAAAGCCAAATGTAATATGTGTCTGTTACATACGTGAGCATTGTCCTCCCCCACAAGGCAGCAGTTTGTACAAACATGTGCTTTTTTCATACATCTCACCATGCTAGAAAAGTGTGAGGTTCTGGCGAGTTGCTGAAATTGCTCACCTGACAGATTAATTTGCAATTTTAAGGAAAGGTGTGCTATACTTTGTCTCGCCTTACGATGTGCAGTAACGAGTGCCGTGAGCCTGGTTAGCCAATCAGTGCGAGCGTAATATTTGGTACGCCCACAAACCGGTAAAGATAGCATTTTTTTACCGTGATATTTGCTAGGGTTTTTACTGTATTCTTAGCATTATAGTCTGCTCTTACTGTATAGTTGGCATCTGGTGCCTAGTTTTCACATCAGAAATCCTTATACTACACAGCACACTACGACAAATACCTGTTTTATTAGCTCACAAAGAAGCTTCTCTCATGCAAAAGTTAAAAATATAAAATACTACCTATGTCTTTCCCCATATCCGTCACGTTTCGTCACAATGAACTATCTAAGAAAAAGCAATCATTGTATAGGTTGCACATATAGATAATCTGCACCGCTTAAACCTTCTACCTGTAAAGATCTACAGTCCAGAAAATATGGTATCTAGGCCACAGTGGATGACTCTCTGCAAATTCTGTGGCATGACAGATATATGGGCCTAGTTCATTAAACGCCGTGGCGATTACTCGAGTTAATATAGTATGTAGTTTTTGCAGGTTCATAAGGGTGCCAATCATTTTGATGGAGTACCGGCTGCCTTATCCCGGGGTTGCTTTAACATCAAAATTCTGTGTAACTTTTTACACTGTACTCTCACGTAGTGTACTCTGGGTGCAAGCCGAAACCATCTGCACGACTAACTTGGCTTTCTGTTCAATTTTGTGCAGCGGCCGATCACGATCCAACAGCCAGTGTTCGAGCCAGGAGGACCTCTCCCTAGCCGGTCCGGATGCGGCTCATCGTAGCAGTCCGATCGTGGTGACGCCGGCTCCGACGCGCAAAGCACCCGAGCTGAGTCCACGCGTCTCACCTGCACAGCATCTGTGAGTGACGCAGTTTCCAGCGTTCATTTGTGATAGGACTGTGCTTCATAAGTCAGTGTTTGGTTTCCTAAAGGTCAGTTTCAAAAAATTATGTTGCACTTCTGACAAGGTGTGTGTGTCCAGGCTGGCGAACCGTTTCTGCCATTTTTCCTATTCATTTGCGTGTAAGAAATTTTTTGCTAGTGTCTTTTGTGGAATTTTAGCAGATCCGAGGTGGGCGGTATGTGTACATTAGTCATGTGCAAATAGTGGATTTTTAGTTCGAAGCAAATTCAAAGCGATTATCAAATCAAATGTCAAACATTTTTTAGGAGCCTCTCATCACCGTGCATTGACGAAAATTCAGCTGAACTCGTGAAGGTTGTTCCCTACCTTCACTGGAGCTTTCCTAATTGGGTTTGGGGGCGAGGGGCAGGGGGTTATAAATCTGCTTGCTATATGCAAATATTCCTTTTTAAGTTTCAATGTGAGAACGAAAAAAACCATGCACGAATGATGAGCGCAGTTTGTCGAGATATCGCTGCCTAACTTATATACCTCTACATACTTGCGGTGGGATGTGCTGTGCACTGCGGAAAAGCAATACCCGCGGAACCTGCGAGCTCTGCGGGTGTTGCTTTTTTGCAGTCCACAGAAGCTTGATATCAACGGGGCTAACTCGCCGCGATCAATGCTTAGAAAAATATTAATACTGGAGTTTATCTCGAAGCGAATATCGAATAGCTTATTATTCAAAACCACCATTCTAAAATTCGAATATTCGCGCAATACAGTAAAACCTCGTTATAACAAAGTTGAAGGAGCGGTCGTAATTATTTCGTTATAACCATTAGTTTGTTATAGCCAATGTCCATTTCTTCCCACTATTAGCAAGCAAGGGGAATTATGATTGCTTTGTTATATCCTTTAGTTCGTTATATCCCATTTTGTTATAACGAGGTTTTACTGTATTAGCTCATGCTGAAGACAGAATTTCCAAAACTTGATTGGAAATTTGTTTTGATCGTAAGAATTCTTGATTTCTCCGTGTTTTTCTCTCTCGAGGTCAAAGTGTCAGCTCGTCTTACTCGCCGTCGTTGATTCTCAAGTGGATTTGAGCCGGATGTATGTCACGTGAAATTGCCTTGCAGCACTGAGCTGTGTCTTCAGCACATTATGTGCTAAATTTACCAATTGTTTTGCAGCGAAATATTTCGCAGTTGGTTTCTTCAACTCTTGCGTTAGTTAACGAATTTCACGTCTTCTATTCTTGTACTTATTGTCCAAGTTTCGGCGGTTCTCCGGCGCGAAGTCCAGTCGAGAACGGTACAGCTGGTGGCGGTGGCATCGAAGCTCGTCTGATTGAGACCGTGGTCGAGGCCGCCTTCCTGTTAGCCTGGAGAGGAATTGAGGGTTGTTCGAAGCATTCCTGGATGGTAAGTGCTGCCCCCTTTGATGCTGCCTGCTAACTAAAAAAAAGATATTTGTTCTTATGTTTCTTAGAAAGACATTCAAAAGGTTGTTGAGTTTTTATCTTTTTTGTGGCGACAATTCAGTTTGCACGTTTTAAACGTCCTAAATAATGAAACATTATGATCATGCATGACCTCCGCGTGATGTCAACTATTTTGTGCTATGCTGTGGGCATGCTCCTGCGCTCGCGGATATAGCTTTGATAGTGCGGGAGCACCGCAAAAGCTACGCTGTGCTCCTTGTCACTAGTTGTGTGCAGTATGGGTGAAAGCAACGCCAGGCGAGGGGAGGAAGGGCAAGCACTAGGAAGGCTGGGGAGGAGAAGAAAAACCCTCTCTCCTCTCTAATGTTTTTAGTGCTCTCCTTTTCTCCCCCTGCCCTCCACTGCCCTCCTCTCCAATCCCGCCTTCCTAGTGTTTGCCAGTTCTCTCATTGCCCGGCGTTGCCTTCGCCTGCACTGCACACGACTGGTGACACGGATATAGCCTCTTTTTTCTCTTTATGGGGAAAACAGTAATGTTGTTGCTATGCAGGAAGCTATTTTTTGACAAGTGCTGATTGTTGGGCAAGTTGGTATGGTACGTTATAGTACAAAAAGTATGGTATGGTACACAAAGATAAGACTATTAGAGAGATTATGGAGGCTGACGCTATAAATAGTTCCGGTACGTGTTGTGTCAGTGTGGCGTCAATTGACTTGGCGGATAAGGAGTTAGCGTACTTGTGGTCCGTGGCGGGGCCACGGATTGGTTGAGATGTGGTGCGGTGACGCAGTGTGTTTCTACGCTGAGGCTCTTGAATCAAATCAGTTGAAAGTTAGCGCTCTGCGGTGTCTGTTCTTCCTATGTCCCTGTCTTCAAAGTGCAATCATGTTTTCTAATGTATTTTTTTACATTGAGTGAACAACCTCATTAGTTACCTTTTTTTTATTGTTTTCACTAACAGGAGAGGGGTCAAGTCCTGGTATGCATCAACAAGCTTGCCCTGACCAACGAGCTTTTTTCGTCCCACCTCGACATCAAACGTCAGCTTTTCGAGAGACTGCTTCAGGCCTGCTGCTCCAACCTGCAGGAATCGGGTGAGCAATCGTTGGATTGATCATTTTTTCCTCTCGAATGTCACCATCGCCAGCTGCAACCTTATCCGGGTGCACTTTTCCTCAGGTCAAGCCAACGTCACCCATGCTGAAAACGCGTCGGAGCTCATGAAGCTCGTCTTCGATTTCGTCTGCTACGAAAATGTGGAGGATGAGCACAGGCTGAGCGAGAAGGTCAGTGGCTCTGCTCGGTTTCAGTTTCTGTTGCGAGTACTCCCTTCGATAAGACTCGTTTCATGAGGAAAAAACGCGAGGAAGGAATCGACACCTTCCAATTGGTGGAATCCTATTTTATGTTGAAATACCACCAGAAAAATTGCTTTCACGTATTGGTTTGTAGGCATCACTCTGCTGAGCAGCATGAAGCTTAGCCACTTTGCCAGAAAGAATCCGGCTCGAGACAAACAGTAAGGAATACACCACAGCGTTGTAATGTGATCCTTTTCATTTGTGCCTTATTATTTTGTGCTTGACGTCCCAAATTATGTCCGTCATCAGAAAGTAATTTGGAGTTGGACATACAACAGCTGTCAGTGATGGCAATACTCGGTCGAAATCTTCAGCGCGTCACTAAGCTGCAGTGGGGGCGCACACACAAAAACTACGCCTTCTCTCTGGCTGCTGCCAAAGGAGATTCAATGTAATTGCATTTGTGATCCTTTGCACCTCTGTCGAGCTCGGCGCCATCGGTCTGCCTCAGCGCGGCGCTGTTCTTGCACCAATTCAGGTCTTCCCGCTAAATTTAGTGGGGCAATTGAATCGGTGTATTCAGCTTTTCCCGCCGTATTCAGCGGGGAACAAATTTTAGCAGGAAGATTTGCCGTTGAGCAGTATGGACGGATGACTCAATCTCGCGGTTCGGTGGCCCCAGAAATGCTATTGCATATAAAAGAAAAAAAGGTATCTCCCCAGCTTCTCGAGAACATCCTGATGGTGATGGACCTCCTGCTGGTGTTTGGCGAGTCGCCCGTGGACGAGGGCTGGGAGGAGATGTCCAAGCTGGCGCTGGGGATCCTTCTCGTGTGTGCCGGGAGTCGCAAGCTGGAGCTGTGCGCTATGGCCACCGCGAGACTTCACACCCTGGTCCAGACGAGGCCCCTTGCGTCCCTCGAGGAGTCCTGCTACCTGCTCGCGGGCATCAACGACGTCCTGGCCAGGGCTGTTCGAGGTGGGTCACTGTCGGTCGCTGCTCCTGTCGCTGGAGGCTGGGTTGCGGCGAGGAGGAAGGGCCGCTTAGGAGATGGGAGGAGTTGTCCCGGAGTGGGGACCAAAACGAGTTCTTAATGTTTGGGGTTTGAATTGGTACTCTGTCGGGAAGATACTGTAGGGTGGCATGTGGCCAGTTCATCAGAAGAGGTCTCCTGGGAGGGTAAAGAGTGTGAGCTGGTTCATATCCAGTATACTGAATCAGTTTAGACCCCGCCTTAGCATACCACTTTAATCTCCTAGTTCATATTTCACCTTAGGATATGTCTGAACTTGTTCAGACATGTCTTAGGGTGGAGTGTGAACTAGCTTGGTGGAAGCGGTGTCTTAAGGTGGTATCTCAACTGCTTCTCTATTAACAAACAGGTATGGTCTGGACTGACTCTTCATCACAAAGATTTCACTATACAAAGGAGAAAGGAAAAGGCAGCGAGGAAGGAAGGAGGTGAATGAAAAGACGGCACGATGCAACTCTTTGAGGGGAATGCAAATTTGTTTTTTGTGCATTTAGAGCTTTACGTTAAATTAGATGTCAAGTCAAATACCGTTCGAATGTTCCTGGCTGTGTTCTGAATTCCCGGCAATCCCTTTCCCGAACGAGCGGTTGTGACGAGCCAGGCACGTGCGACCGCTTGCACGCAGAAGGCGACCAGGAGCACTACTCGTTTGTGATTCCCGTGGTGCGGGCGCTGCTGGAGAGGGTGGGGCTGCCCCTGCGCACCTGGCAGCACCTGCCACTGCTTCCCCACACGGACGCGGGGCCCTCCTTCTTCGACCACTTCCAGAAGTACGCCCTCACCCCGGAGTGGGCCTCGTTTGTCGCCAACGTGGTGAGTGCCTTACGTCGGAGCACGCGTGGACTCAGCTACGTATACAGGTTGTTTCCGAGTGCACTTTGGGCGTATCGAAAATCCATATAAATAACCCAATAGACGGTGTGCACCGAAGCTTTTCACGAAGGTGTCTTTGGGTGGTCTATTTATTGTACTAAAATTTCACGAGCGTGGGTTTCTGAAAAAAAGTGTAAGCCCAAAAAATCCACTTTTTTTTATGTTTTCACGGGGAGGAAAATGGTAAAAACCGTCTGTTTGAGGCTGCTACTCGCAGATCGTGGCGCACAATCTCAAATCTACTGGATCTGCTTGTGGGTGTTCGTCCCAAAGGAGTTTTTATGTTTTTGCTTTATGTAGTGCAATCTGTGAGTAGCAGCAGATGGGGTAGTTTTTACCGTTTTCCTCCTTGTGCCTTGGAGAAAAGAGGTTTTTTAGACCTTATTTCTTTTTTTTTTTTTCCCTTAAGACTTATGTGTGAAAATTTTAGTATGATTAATGCACCACCTAAAAACACCTTTATTACAAGTTTAATTGCAGTCAGTTCACTGCTTTTATTTATACAAATCCTTGTACGCCCGATAACCATAGCTCTGAGAAACGCCTTGCAGATCAGTGGAGTGTCAGGAGGAGTCCACAGGCAACGTGAAAGGCAGGAGGGATTGCATTCTATTTTTGTTAAAACGTTTTCATAGTATACGGTCAAGCGTGTAACAGCACCTGACAAAATCGAGCTGGGCGAACCAAACACCTTAAGGAATTGTGCCTCCGTCTGTAGGAATTGATCACACTTTGGTAAATCCTAATGGATGCATGCACGAGGGATGCAGTCAAGCCAGTTGCAACTTTTTCGCTAATCTTCTGGATGGCCCGAGCAACCATACGGGAAGCATAAGCAACCCGAAGAGCGTTAATTTTTTCTCGTTTTTTTTTAAGGGCAAGGATTGACGATGAATCTATCGTAAGAAACTCGTAACAATGTTTGTTTCTTCATCTGCGTCTTATTTCCTGAAGGTCTAGAAAGTTCGTGGAGTTTCAGAGTGGCACAGCTGTGGAACTTGTCAATTTTGCTTGTATGTCTGTCTTTGACCTTTTTTCTTGTCTCCCCGAAGAGGTCCCTGCAAATGTTTTGTTGTTTTTAAGTTAGCCTTTTTCCGTCCACTCTTCTTTCTTCTGGCTTCTTTCTTTCCTTCGTTTTTCCAGGAAAAACAGTTCTGTGCAGTCTGGGGGAACGTGACGAAGAACCCGCTTGGTTATGTTGAGAAAGAAAGGTTGTTGCATCATTAGACGGGTCTAGGTATTAGGTAGCAGTGTGCCTGTAGCTTTCTAACCCCCTTCTGTTCTATGTCGCTTAGATTGAGAAGATAGTGCCGCCGATTTTGCGAGATGCTGAAGGTTGCCACTTGGTAGTTGTGGCTTCTCTGCTTGCTTACTAGATTGGAGGAGAAAGCTGTGGCTTGGTGGCAGCACCTGATTTGAGAAATGCTCCTGAAGGACAGCTTCGTTGTAGTACATTGGCGTTCTGTGGCATAAAAATGTTTGCTACCAATGTTTTTGTGTTGGTAGTATGTGTTGTGAAGAAGGGTCTTTGCTGCATTGAGCCCTGCTTAGTCGGGACACCCTTGGCATAGGGCTGTATGGTAAAATGGCTTTGCCGCTGAGCAGATGTCAAGTAGCAGGCTTTTGCAGTCGAATGTCTACTGAGCAGTAAACAAGTTTTATGGTTCAAAAAACATATTTTTGAAGGTTGTTTGACTGTAGTACATGCAGTGTGCTTCAGTAGCTTACTTTACAAAGTTGTGCTTTGTAATGAGTACTGTTATCATGGATTAGAACCTTTAATTTGGGGGGTACTTCCGCCAAGCTCGTAGTGCGCTGCGAATATTCGTGTAATAAAGGCATATATACTGTAAACGACTTCATTTTCGTGCGCTCAATAAGGCAACATATTTGTGAATTTCAGAAATGTTGCAGGCACAAAATTTAGCGATTTGGAGGGATACGCTACGTACGGGTTGCCTTTGGTTGATATATTTACTTGATAAATTTTTCACAATATCTTATAAGTAGCGAATTTTGCAAAAATTTGGTTTTTTCATTTAGAATCATTAAATGTAGGAGATGTGGGCAGCTTCGCTGCAGAGCTTCAAAGTGATGCGGTAAAACGTCCGCTCGTACGACGCCCGAAAGGTTTTAGGTTGCTTTCGCCGTAGTGCAGTGAGAATGGCCAAGCTTTGCAGGTTGCCTACTGAACATTCGTCTTTTGTGCTTGCTGCTTTTCGTAGGGGATTTTGATTTTGAGAGCTCTGCGAATTTGTGCTTTGATGCGGAGTGTCGGCGACGTCTCTTGCCCTCAGGTGAAGCCGGCCCAAGAGCAGTACAGCTCCGTGCAGCTCAAGGAGCAACACGAGACGATGAATGGATTCTGGAACCAGTGCTACGAGGCCATCATGGTTGCCATGCACAGGAGGAGCAGAGGAGTCGGAGAGTGCAAGCTGCGCTTCCAGGTACGCACCCTCGCTTCAATTGGTCCGTAGAAGGACACAGTCCAGTTCACTTCAAGTGCCATGGATTCTGGAGCATCGACTCCTTATACGGTCGAATCTCGTTACTTCAAACTCGAGGGGGGTCGAAAATTTGTTTGAATAGAGCAAAGTTTGAATTATCAGGAGTTTCCTCCCATAGAGACGCATAAGATGGGACCTGCGTGTTAGTTTGAATTATCCGCAAGCTTGAATTAATGAGAGTCGACTTTAAAGTGAATTATAAACATAAGCGGCTGGACATGTGGAATGAGGGAGTTTGTCGCAAGGGTGTCTTGGCGATAGAAACTTCTGGAAGGTTCCTTTTCAAGTTTTCTTTCACTCCAATTTTTCCATGGAACATTTTGGTGCACTTAATTATCTATCGTAAATTAAGTTACAATGTGAGTGGGTGGACGTAGAACAAGGGAGTTTGTTGTGGGGGTGTCTCGAAGGTGGAGACTTTAAAAAGGTTCCTTTTCAAGTTCTGTTGTAAGAAATTTGGTACTGAATAGGAATGACGCCTTTTGGTGCGGACTGCAATGCAAACACTTGTGTGCAGCATTTTTGGTGTGTCCTCACTTATGCTGCCAGGCCCACTATAAGGGCAAATTTTAAAGCTTTTACTTTGGAAAAGTTTCGCTTTGCAAGGTGTGTCCATTGTAAATAAACTGGCATCTCTGCAGCAAGCTGAGCTCTCTGACAGTCTGCAGATATGATGCTATGCAACTTGTATTGTAAAAAAAATAAACGGTAGAACATCGTTGATATGTTCCCAGTTTTTACGTTTTCGCGGCTTTTGCGTTCAAAACCGCCGGTTCTGCCGAGCTCGCAGCCCCCCCAAGGGCATTCTCGTCTTTTACGTTTTTTCTTGCAATCTCCTGAGAAAGGTTATCCACGAGGTTCTACTGTACTGTGAACGACTTTATTTTTTGCGGGTTCGACATTTCAGGAATTTTTCGAAGTTTGAATGTAGCGAATATATCACGGGTGCAATATTTCGCTAGGTTTATTTTATTTATTTGCTCCACTTGGAGTGCGCCACAAAGAGCTCCCGGCCTTAATAGTGCGCACATTCCACGTATAGTGATGTTCTGTGTCTTCATTACCAGGGTAATATATTTGCATGATAAATTTTTTGCATCAATTTTTCCAATTGCGAAGTTCACGAAAATTTTATCTTAGAAAAAATTGAGTCATTTACGGTAGTATGAAGACTTTGGGGCATCCGCACAAAACCTTTTTTGTGCTTTTGGTGCGGCTAATTTCTTTGCTGCCTCTCTCGCGCGTGCGCAGTCTCAGATTCTGAGTGCCTTCCAAACGAGGCTGGCCGAAGAGCAGCAGAGGATCCTGGCCGTGCAGACGAACCTCCGGAACCAGCACCTGTTCATCTGCCGCCGCTGGAAGTCGGCCAAGCTTTTCCTCACCGGGCCGTGCGGCCCGTGGGCCTCCAGGCAAGTAGTCAGATCAGTTCACCGATTGGTTGATTTGTTCTCCACTTATAAGTTATTTGAAGTGCTACCATACGTTCTACGTAGTATATAAGCTCTGTTAGGGAAATAATTCACTATCAGAGCATTGGGCTCCAACCAAATATCGGAACATTGATCCTTCGGTTACGAGGACAAGTCGGTACCCTCTAGATGCGACTACACCATTTCAGAGCAGATCTAGGCATGGCGACAGATAAATTGCTGAGTCATTAAAGTACAGTCGAATCTCGTTCATTCAAACTTGCGGATAATTCAAACTATAGCATGCAGGTCCCGTCCTATGTGCCTCTGTGGGAGGAAACTAGCGGTAATTCAAACTTTGCTTTATTCGAACAAATTTTCGGTCCCCCTCAAGTTCGAATTGATGAAATTCGGCTGTAATTGCTTTACGGTGCCATACGTTTGTTTACCACAGTACTTTCCCTACTTTCAGACCGGCAACCACTTTTCAGTATACCAACTGTTTGGCACAAGGAAGCGTACATTGAGTGTTGCTGTAAAAAAGTGTTATGAAGTAAAAATAGAGATGTAGTAGAGCAAAGTTGGGGTGAATTTATGCTGTTATGGTCACTGTCAGGGTGGCAGGGATTTCTTTAAGCTTTTCCGCTTCCAGCATGAGCTACCTAACTCCGATGACACTTTGGCTTTTGTGAGCTTTGAGCATGCACTCGCTGTACAACAAAGGGCAGCAAGTGCTTGCTAGAGGCTAGGTATTCGAAAAAGATGCCCTGGGTGTTTTCATCCTGTCTAAGAAGCACAGTAAGACTGCTAGATTGCATGCAGCATAGCTGCTGCATAGTGGCCATTGCTCGCCCGTGGGTTGGTGCTGCTGTCACGTTCCGTCCTGTCTACGTATCGCGGGGGCTAACCCGCGGAAACATTCTCCCCTTGCAGCGCCACCCAGCCGCTCTACTGGAAGCTGTCCCAGCAGGAGAACTTTGCACGCATGCGGCTCAAGCTGACGCTCAACCAAAGCTTCGACAGCCATTACCAGGCCAGCTGTCTGAGGGACAACCAGGGTAAGTGGTCACTATGACTTTTGAAATCGTGTCCTTTTGCAAGCCTGCACAATTCTGAACCTCTGGAGTCTTTTTAACGTATAATCTGTTTTAGGGGAGACCAGGAAGGGAAAGGCAGACATAATAAAGTGGCGCAAAAGAACAACAACATGGGAGTGAAGTCATCGCGTCACGTCATCAGCAACACGCCGTCAGCGACATATCAGCACCACGTCATCAGTGTCGCGTCATCAGTGTAACTGACAACATTGTGTGATGCGGTCACGTCACTTGGTCAGTTGACGTGGCGTGTTGTGTCACGTGACCACATCACATGATGCAGCACGAGTTTACAAGTCTCGGTGTAAACACTATCAGATTGATATTAAAAGTTTTTCAGTAACAAATTGTGATTTCATTAGGGCTACTGTTATATTCCAGAAGGTGCACTTGAAACCTGCATTTCAGAATTAATTCACAATCATTATAAGTACGATAGAACCTCTCCACAATAAAGACATACCAAAGATATGAATGTAGTAGAACAAAGTTGAGGTACATTCGTAATATTGACACAGACATTTGAGGTGCTTGTATGGTGAAAATTGTACTCGAAAAAACTGACTTGACTCTAGAGATGTAACTTTGCCTGGGATGCATTCTTTGACAACTTCTTGTCTTCGTTTTCCCTGACAGGCATCTCTACCAATCAGAACACGAGCTGGCTGCCTCCCATCACTGCGGAGGCGCGTGCCATGCAGCAGAAAGAGGATGTGGTTGCGGAAGAAGACATCCTGGCACTTCAAGGGCAACTACAGGAGTGAGTCAGCAAATTTGGAACCCCCTCTCTCTAGCTCCGAAATTTATTACCTCATTTTGGACTCGGTGAACTTTGCTGTACTGATTCTGGTTTGAACTTTGTAAATGGAGAAACTAAGAGTAGGTCAAGAACGTGCTGTTTTCTATCTTGGGTTGGAAGACATTGATTGTGAACAGCGACAATAATCTGTCCTCTTAAGAGGGGGAGGGGAATGCCGTGGGGATGGAAAGGAGGGTATTGTTCGAGGCAATGAACCGAATCGGTTCTCCTCGGAAAGAAATTACGGAGACGTACAAACTGCAGGAAAGATGTAACCAAAATGTAAGAGATGAAGATTACATGAATTTTGGATCATAGTCAGTGACACCGTGTGAATGTGTGACTATAGTCGCTGACGAAGTCAGAACAGTGACGCGTCTCTTTCCGGTACCCGTGCTTTTGTTGCGCGTGCATGCCTGAGACTCACGAGAGATTGAAGTGTTGCCGAAGGTAGAAAGTTCGCGCCGGAGGCGGGACAACCAAAACTCTTTCCTTTCCTTCTCGTTTAAATTGCACCGACCCAGTTTTCTAGACGAGTCGCAAGCTGGCGGGTTGACTCCTTTCCAGCGTCGAAGCCCACGACGGAGCGGTCGACAAGAAGAAACCCGTGATCGAGGAGGACTGCGACCTGGTGACCTTGATGAAAGTGGTCAAGGGTCGCTTCGAAGTGACCGCCACCCAGATGTACTTCATCGACCTCTCGCCGGTCAGGGAAGAAGGTCCGTTTCGTTCTCTTCTTGGATTTTGTAACCCGTTATTTTGTGTTATATGTCAGTCGCAGTGCTCTTCACTTCTTGATGTAGGGTATGTACTATATTACTAAATAGTTTAGAAAGTAACGGAAAGCATTTTATTTGACTAATTTATGCAGAGTTGCTCCTATCACTCATATATGGTTGTATACATTAGGGCTCCCTATTGTAAGCACTACTACTATATATAGCAAATATAAGAATATTGTGAAATGAAGTAGAAGCATAATTTTATGGCAGCACATAGAGGCATTTGAGGTGTACAGATTCACCAGTAATGCTTAAAAAAAAAATTTTTTTTCTGAAAAAAAAAACAACAACAAAAAAACGCCCATTCCTTTAGAGACTGTTATGAGTAAACAAATGCATTTTGTTAGTTTTTGTAGGCCAAAGGTAGAGGAAAGTAGTTGAAATTAGGCTCGAGCTTATGTGCATATTTGAATGTTCGGGGTTTGTATTGTTTTGTGGTAGATGCCAGCTTTTTTTTTTACAGCTTCTAAGGTAGAGGAAACAACATTCTAAGAAGTACTGGCACTTTGGTGTTCTACTGCGAGGAATGCTTCATACCTTGGGCCTGTTACTCGTGCGAGTGGATAATTGTCTTTGTAAAACATTTCACTCTCAATTAAGAGCTTTTGCAGGGAAAGTGTTTCTAAAGTTCACCTTGGGAAGGTGAATGGAAAGCGACATAAAGGAGGAAGACGGGACAAAACATCTTTTCATATTTTTTTGTCCCGTCTTTGTCCTCCATGTTGCTTTCCTTTTATCCCTGTAACCTACCAGCGTGCTCCAATTCGTTGAGTCACACTTTATTTTTTTTTATATGGACAGTGTTGGATAGTATTGGCTCAAATGAAACCCTTAATCTTGGCTCAAACCCCATTTGTGGCACAGTTGCATTCTCTTTCTCTCTCTGCAACATATGGAAGTTTCAGGCCTAAACTTTTGTTTCTAACTGTAATGTTTCTACTTGAAGACATGACATGCTGCACACGTTAGCTGCTCTGTGTTGTGCACGCTCCCAATATGCGTGGGCGCACATTGCTCGACTCAAGCGGGAGTGTTTGAATTCCAGGCGAGAGGCACGACTTCACATATCCTCTCACAATGCTGAGGGAGGTGCATCTGCGAAGGTACAACCTCCGACGGTCGGCCCTCGAGTTCTTCCTGCTCGACCAGACCAACTTTTTTCTCAACTTCACGACCAAGGCAAGTTGAAATGAAACGAGACCTTCATTTTTCTTTGGCGGAGTAAAAGGCAGAGAAAAGAAGTCACCCTAGTGACTTGACAATTTCTCTGCCCTCGTACAGTGCGAGCATATACAGTGAAACCTGTTTAGAACAAACCCACATACAGAGAATTATTGTTCATATCAAACTCCTGGAAAATTGAAATAAAAATGCATGTAAAAAGTATGTTTTATAATGAACAACATATTGGCTATATCCAACTTTCTCCCCCCAGGAAGGCTTTCAAAAACATACAAACAATCATCTTCTACCCTGTCCCTTCCCCCCCAAAAAAAGTAGGAAAGAAAGAAAATTCCAAAAGCTAAAGCCGCGAACAAAATTGACAAAGAGAAGCGATTCAGAAGGAGAGAAAGCTGAAAAAACAAACTGCATGCATGCAAACAAAAAAAAAAATATTTCGGCGTTTTGTTACAAGGTGGAAGCAACGAGATGAAAAAGAAAGAGAAGCTCTCGCCCTACACCGAACGCATTGTGGAAGTTCGTTGTAAATGTTTTTGCTATATCGAACTGCTTGCTATATCGAACTGATCGTAGCGTTTCCTGCTGTTCGTTATGGATGGGTTTCACTGTACTGCATAAATATGATGTGTAAACAATCAATTACAACAGTAAACATATTAAACCAGAAAGATACACCCCTCAATATTTTTTTTTTTCTGTGCGGATCCTGAGGCAATACACAAATAATGTTGCGCTGCAAAGTCTCGTATTCGCCGAGAAAAACTAACACTCGAGCCGAAACCAGCGGGCCTGCGTGGAGGAATGTAGTGTCACACTCCGAATTGTCACTGGCTAGTTTTACTTCCGCAATTACACACTCGGGAGTATCTCGAACTTGGCGTGGCTCCAGGGTTCACGAAAATTATGCTTTGTGAATTTCATTATGTATTTTTTAGCGACAAAGATGTGCCTCGGACGACTTATTACACCCCAGATATATCTAGGTCTTTGTCATCGTCGCACTTGACTGAGAAAAAGAGAGCGGGGGGTCATTGTCTGTGGCTAGTTTTGAAGGAGCAGCTTTCACGCGCAAAAAACAGGATGTTGAGTTTAAAATATTTTCTTTGGATTGTTGGGCTCACATGGGCGGTGCTCCCCAACAATCTATAGTCGGTGACGGATTAAAAGTGCCACAAAATCTCCGCCTTCTTTGCGGCTTTGTACCTTCGATAATACTTTGGCGTCTCATGTGCACGCGCAGTCGAAGCATGATGGAAGACAACGAGCACGTGCCAGAGGCGGAGCTTTTGCGGCGTTCAACCGAGCAAGACGGAGAGCGACGAGACCAGTTTTTAAGCCTCTTGTAGCGACTTAGGACCTGCTCCGCAGTAGCGCTTTCGGTCCTACGCCATCGCAAGAAGCTTAAAAGCCGGTCTTGTCTCGGTTGGTCCTACTCGGTTGCAAGTGTGTGAACAGGCCTCAAGTCTGTCAGCAACTATGTAGGCACACATAAACACGTTGTCAGAGCCTCCTCAAGCCTCGTTGGTTCAGCTGTTCCGCAAGGGCGGAACAGCCGTGCGGCCTTCCCCAGACCTGCGTTTGGCGTCTTCCAGACGAGAAACAAGATGTTTGGGCGGATCGTGGCGCTGCATCCGCCCAACCTGCTCTACACGTCCGGGACCCGGTCTCCGGCGGAGCTGCTGCGAGCCTCGGGCCTGACACAGCGCTGGGTGAACCGGGAGATCTCGAGCTTCGAGTACCTCATGCACCTCAACACCATTGCTGGGCGTACCTACAACGACCTCAGCCAGTACCCCGTGGTCTGTCCCGGATCCTTACCATCCCTTGTTTCTCTTGGCGTTGTTCGTTCTCCCCGTTTTGTGCATTTTAATGTTGCATTTCTTTTATGACATTGCAATGTTTCTAGTCTCTTTTTCTTTTTTTTGTGATCTTACGCTTCCTTGCATGTGTTTTGCATTTGCACGCTATGTTTAGCATAACCTTGATACTTAGATTACTAGTTAACAAAGCCTAATCAAATGCTAAACATAAGTTAATATGTTTAGGATTTGCTTACTACTAGTAACCCAGGTATCGAGGCTACCTAAGAACGTGGCGGTCTGAAATTTAAGATATAAAATGAATTTGATAACTTAAGAAATTTTTATATTGAGATGTCTTCACGTTTGCGAGTAAAAGAAAATCTAGTGGTGCACCCAGCCAGGTTATTACAAAAGCACCGACTACACGTGCTTGAGCTAAACTTTTCGTTTTCAATTCACTTCTGGCTGTTAGTATGTCTTGCTCTTCTATCCCAGCTCAGAATAGAAAACTAAAGCATTGCAAGGCCTGGAGGATTCAGGTCTATTTTCTAATGCACAATACTCGCTAGATTGAATCTTTATTGTCTCTTCTTTTCGAGCCTCCTGGACGACTTACCGTGGCATTTGGAGAAGCCGTTTGAAGCCACAGAACGACGCCATTGATTCTCATCTAAGTGGCCCTTGTCTCTTCGATCTTGCTTCTCACGCTCCAGTTTCCCTGGGTGCTGGCGGACTACAGCTCCTCCGAGCTCGACCTGGACGACCCCACGATCTACCGCGACCTGTCACGACCTATTGGCATCGTCAACCCCAAGTACATCGAGGAGGTCAAAGCCAAGTACGAACGTGCTTTCGCTTTTGTGTTGGGCTCGTTCCTTTTACCTGGACGAGTCTGCACCGGCGGAAAAAAAAAGCGCAACGTGGTGCAGAAAAGTAGAAGACAGCATACTTCTGGTCCATGTTCTAAGACAGCCGGGGCTTGTAAATCAAGTTATGCGGCAACACCGGGTGTAGACCGGTGTAAGAGGTATAGGTAAATCGAAGGAGCCAAGTAACTCGGCTCATCCCGTTCACCAGGTTCTGTTGCTACACTTTTGCAGTTTTGCCACTTCCCCGTTGCCACACGGTTACGAATTCCGGTAACCCTGCATTAGGATGGCACTAGTACCAGTCTGTACCTTTAATACTAGGTTTGGGGATCAGTCTGGACCCGAGTTTCTTGTAGAGCTTTTTTTTTAGTGGGAGTTGTTTTGTGACTTACCGTATTATTGTTATTATTACAAGCTTGTGAAGACGGGGTTAAGCTGCACAGGTTTGTTCCAGGTGTTCAACTCATAATTCGTAGGAAAAGATCTTGAAAGTTGTTATATTGGTTTGCATTATAAGCATTTTTTTTTTATAACCGAGAGAGTGTAGTTCTGATCACAAGTATGGACAACCAGCTACCATAGTCTGGGCCAGACAATATTTTGGCAGACTTCAAATATCTTGCCTCTTAGCCCCGAAGAAGCTAGGTCCTTTAGCAAAACGGTGGCTACTGTTAATGCCCGTTCACACACTTGCGTTTGCTTAGGATCGAGTTTTTGCAGTCTCTTGCGAGAGAACATGCTGGCGCCATCTATGATATAGCCCTGGAATTGCATTTCACTGGTGCGAAGGTTTTGTGGTATTCGCGAGATCAAATGTACTTACTATCTGTGAGAAATGTTTGTTTATAACATCGTCACAAGTTTTTCCGAGATAAAAAAAAAAAGAATATATGGTAACTGCAAGTGCTTTATGGCTACCAAATGGATGACATCTGTCTGTTCTCTCATAGTAAGAGATTTCAAGAGGTTTCAAGGCACATCTTATGCAGTCTCAAGTGTGAGAACCAGCTTTAAGTTTTGCAAAAGGTTCTTTCTCAAGCTAGTTATCCGAAATCTTGGTTGTATCTGGCTGCCTTTGGTTGCCTAGATTTCCTGCTCTGCGTGTGCCTCGCATGATAGCTTATTCCCGCGCTTCGTTTTTGCCTAGGTACGACAGCTTTGTGGACATCACTGGGACAGTGGAGAAGTTCCACTACGGCACTCACTACTCCAACTCAGCCGGCGTGCTTCACTACCTCGTGCGCCTCGAGCCCTTCACGTCGCTTCACATCGAACTGCAGAGCGGCAGGTGTGTGCTGCGTCATTGGGGCAATTGATTGTGCCCTCTCAAAAACAAGTTGACCTTATCTGGAATAGAACCTGCGCATTCACTTCCACTTAGAGTAACTAGTGACAAGAGAGAGATGGAACTTCGATCGCGGAAAGCAATCCATATGAAACATTGAGCATGTTCCAGGCAGCATATTGCTCGCAACTTGTGGCTCACTCGAATAAGAAAGACCTCTACGGTCTTGTCTGTGAGATTGCAACAGCGTGGATGCTGTTTTGCATGGTACCAACCACCGGCATCCCACGTCGTCGTATGCTTTGTTTCCAGGTTCGACGTAGCAGACCGCCAGTTTCACTCGATGGAGGGCACCTGGAAGATGCTGATGGAAAGTCCCAACGACGTCAAGGAGCTCATCCCGGAGTTCTTCTACCTGCCAGAATTCCTCACCAACATGAACGGTATTGGATCGGCATTTCACGCACGTAGCCGAGGCTGTCGTAGTCATCCTTGCATTTTTACGAGCCCCGCTTTGGCCATACTTGGTCTTTGACCTTGACACGACCTTGGGTCTCTAGGGTTTGACCTTGGACGGCTGCAGAGCTCCAAGGAGCGTGTGGACGACGTGAAGCTTCCGCTCTGGGCGAGTTCACCAGAGGACTTCATCTATAAGCACAGAAAGGCACTGGTGAGCTTCTTAGTTTGGGTACCCACTTTTCCTTGTGTCCTACATTTGTGTGCGAGTTTCATCTGTCTGCAATGGAGCCCCGAGTCTTTTGGTATTGGATCGAAGGCTTGTCCTAGATCCTTCTATGTCGTGTGAAATGTTGCTTTTTAATGCCCTGACATTTTGTAGTAAAGAGGGCTCGGTACATTTGAGGCAACAGGTTAAGAATCCAGTAGAGGGGCCACCCGAGTAGTGGTCTTGCCGCCGTTGATAGAAGTCTGCTGCGCATACAACCAAAGCCTGGCGAAAGGCATCAAGCTCGTGATGAAGCATCTGCTGGGTTCTTATTGTGTCACCGACTATAGGTTGTAGACCTTGCTTGAAACTTCTTCTCTTTCTGCCCCAGGAGTCGGAGTATGTGTCCTCCCACCTGCACGAGTGGATAGACCTGATCTTCGGGTACAAGCAGAAGGGCCCGGCTGCCGTTGAGGCGCTCAACGTCTTCTACTATGTGTCTTATGAAGGTTGGTGAACTGGATCTTCGCCATTCCACGCAGTGCGAAATGCTTAGAAGCTGGAAACGCTTCCCGACTTGTGAATGGGGCCGGGGCTTGGATGAAGGGAAAACGGTCGCCGTGCTCGATTCAGGTGCAGTCGATCTGGACGCCATCAAGGATCCTGTGCAGCGAGAGGCCACGGAAGGAATCATCAACAACTTCGGCCAAACTCCCTGCCAGCTGCTCAAGGTTAGGGGTGGTTCTTCAGAGCGACTTCAGCGCAAAAACAAAATACAGCCTAATAGTTTCCAAGAATTAATGGATAGGGAAAAGGCTTTATGTTTTAGTACTATACCTTCTTTTCCGCCATGAAATTTATGCTTTGTGACAGGGTTCACACGTATGATATACAGTTGAACCTCGATTTAGCAAAACCCGATTTTACGAATTCCCCGATTTAACGAACAAATTCGAATTCCCCGCGCAGCCTATGTGTGAGGTCTCCCTTCCTCGATTTTATGAAGTTCTCGATTTAACGAAATAATACGTGGGTCTCGGTGACTTTGTTAAATCGAGGTTCAACTGTACTCCCCCCCCCCCCCCCCCCCTTCGTTTAACAGGAGACATAGCTGCTCACGCAACTGGCATGGGAAACTTTTTACGAATGACTCGCAAACTGGCCCAGACTTAAAATTAACGCAATTGTATAATAGTGCTAGTATATTATAATCGAGGTTTGTACATACGATGGAAGAAGTCGAGTTAACTTCAGGACATGTTTCCGAGATGCCATTTATGCCGACCAGCTGCGTTCGGAGGTTGGCATCAGTTAAAAATATTGACAGTCATTTTGCGTCTTTTCCGGCCAGCTCACGTCCTCGGGGGCAACTTTTTGCGGCATTTGGAAGAAGTGAAGAATGCGTGTGCACAGCTTTGATTGGCACTCGGGGTGCTTTAGCGTTTGTGCTCGTATATTTCACTGCATAGCCACAGAAATTTGTTCTGGAGCATAATCCCGAACCAAAAACGTAGCCGAAACGTTGCCGGAACTAGTGTCTGCAAAGAAGCCGGGCTTTCAGGTCTCACTCTTGAGCGGCTGTGCCTCCCGCGTCCCCAGGAAGGGAGGCACTCACTTGATCGAATGACGTTTTAGCGAACGCCCACGTTTCATCGAACGACACTTTAGCGAATAGTCGGATGCCGCGAAGCGGCGTTTTCGGGTGGGCCAAGTGAGTTCATATTTTTGTAATGAGTTGCCGCAGACTGTCGCCGCGAAGCGGCGTAAAGCGCAGCGCGACGGATGGGTTAACGCGCGCCCCCGTTATTCGCTAAAACGACCATTCGCTCAAATGTCGCCGTTCGCTAAAATGTCATTCGCTCTTGTGATATGGACCCCCCCAGGAACCGCACCCGAAGCGGCTGTCCCAGGAAGGCGCCCTGCTGCGGATGACCAAGTCGGACACAAAGCCCCCAAACCTTTTCCTCTTCCTGCAGAACCTCAAGGCCTACGTCGTGGAGGTGAGTGTTCTCGTGAGAAGGAGCACGTCGGAGAGTTACGAGATACATTTTAACGTGGACTGTGTTACAGGGCTGGGTTTCATGAGAAAGGGGACAGGTTAAGGCCCATTCAAACTCTTGCGACCTCTTAAAACGGTTCCTTAAAGGGGCACTGGCACCCCAAAGGTCGTATTCGTTTTTATTGTCTAAAACGATGCAAGTTGTAGTCATAAACATAAAAAAAAAAAAACGCATCGCGAAAAAAAAAGTTACTGCGCGTGCGCGCCTTTTTATTTTTGCCGTTTATATCTCCCGCGCTCACCTCCTTGCTTCTTTTGATCGGTGACGTCAAAAATCAGGAAATTTAGAAGCTTTGTAGGCGACATTTCTATAACACCTAATAACGGCAATCGTAAAACATGTTTTTTAACGCAATTGCGAATGCACTATGGCCTTTCTTTTTGAAATACCAATAATCAGATTTCGGTGTGATGTCGCTTCCTGGATTTGTATCCTCCCTCGGAAAACTTGGCGGCGCTCGAGCAGAGGATTATCGGCGAGTCGGGGAAGAAACCATTTTTTTCCCGCGCCGGCACCCTTCTATTCCACCTGCTCACCTCCTCCTCGCTTCGGGTCGCGGTAGCAACGGCGCTTCGTTTCACAGCGTGGTGCGGAGGTCCGAAAGAAAGTCGAGTCGCAGGAGACCGCAAAATTTGAATCACTGCACTGGCGCGGACCGCGCGAGAACTTCAAATTCGGCATTTGGAAATTGTTTTTTTAATTCAGAAATACTGAATTCCCAAGTTTCGAATTTTGAGGGTAATGTCCCGGCAACATTTTCAATCGTTTCGGATAACAAAATAAAATATGATTTTGATGTGTCAGTGCCCCTTTAAAACCTCTTATGACGAGTGGACACACTGGCGCCATCTATTGGATAGCAGTGTAAACTTGGCGGTCCAGCATATTTTCTATTTCTCTCGCGCATTATCCTTTCTTTCTTGGCTTGAAAAACTTTTGTCAACGTTAGGAACGAGCCTTTCTTATAGGTATTACACACATTTGACCTCGGAAATGCCTCAAAACCTTTGCTCTTGTGAAATGCAGTTCTAGGGTCACTGCATAGATGGCGCCAGCGTGCCAGTGTGTTTTCTCGTTCTAAGAAATTTTAAGAGGTTTTAACAAGTCTCGTCTCTCTCGGTTGCACTCGGTTGCAAGAGTGTGAACGGGCCTTCACACTCAAGCGATAATGTCTCCTTTCTCGCGAAACCCATCTCGACTGACATGCGGGTCGAGGTCGCAAAAGCAACGTAGCTCCATTGGGGCGGGCGGCATTGCTTATATATGACTTTGACGGTAGGGTGGCACGCGACGCCGCGACATCATATCACACCGTGATGTCGTGCAAGATCATGACATCGCAGGACTGTGACATCAATGTCACATTACTGCATGATGTTGAAAGATTTCAGGATATAATGTGACGTGATGTCACACTGTGACACTGCGCGACGTCACACGACCTCGTTACGTCACGTGACGTCGTACATGCGCAGCACGTGCCCAGCTCATTCGCGATGCATTCTGCGTGTCTTCCAAGTTTACCGAATATGAGGAAAACGTGCTTTTGACGCATGTTTTGCGTCGTTTGCAGGCACCGCTGAGCTGCCCCGTGGTGCACGTGAGTGTGCCGCGCTCGCCCGCCCGGTCGTTCATGCAGCATGGCCTGATGGACACCCTGGTGACGGTGGGCACGGACGGCTCTCTCGGGGTGCACGGCTGGCTGCCCTACGACCGGACGCGCTCCTACCCAAACTACTTCACCTTCGAGCGGGACCCCGCCCTCCTCAACGCAAAGTCAGTGCTCTCCCCTCTCTGCCACCCCTCTTCCGTCCGCTCGGATTCGAGAGATTGCCGTGCTTTACGCAGTTATCTGCGAGGTTTCACGGCGCGTCTCGGAGCGTGTTTTGCTTTTCGCGTAGGGTTGGGGCCCTCTAAATTTAGTAGAAGCTTAGCATTACGGTAGGTCGCGACGGTGACTCAGTAATGTCTCGTGACAGTACGACAGGTAAGGGAACGAGCGCATGCTTTGAAGGAAACAAGGGGGGGGGGGGGGGCGCGATGAAATAGCAGAGTCGAACCTAGGGTGGTACGATTCCACAGGTAGAAAGTTGTTTGTGCAGAAAGTTGTTACGAAAGCTGCCTGGTGTAGTTGGGCCTAAACGGTGCACCGACTTGAGTTTTAAACGTTTGGTGGGCGACGCTATGGTCGCCGACAGAATGAGAACAGCAGGGAGAAGTCGTCCCGCATCCGGTGCGTGCTTCCTACCTTGATGGCGCTTCGGCGTCACGTGACCCTCAAGCGCGCAAGCGTGGCCAAAGAGTACTGCGTGGTGAAAGCCAGTCATTCGAAAGAGATGCCATTGCCACCTCGTCGAAAGTCGTAACTGTAGATTGTGTCACCTCGTCGAGGACTGTAACCGTAAAATGCGAAAAAGCGCCGATGTCGCGTTCATGCTAACCGTGTTGTGCGGCATATCAGAAAGCTTGCGGCCAGGTATTTCGTAGACACGAGTGAAAGGGACGCATATACGACTCGTTCAATTTACATGTGGCAGCTTGCACCAATGCAGAAAAGCATAGCGCAGTGCATAATAGATCCTTTCTGAGATTCAGTGCCATCTGGTGGCTGAAATGCCGGTTTAACTTTTGCCATACCAATGGCGGCAGGGAATCTGTAGTTGGCAGTATTTTCTCGGGCAGTGTCACATTCGCAAGTCAACGGCAAACGAGAATGTGCTCTTCACTGTACAGCTCTTTCTCGAAGGTCTCTTTCAGTGTCGATGGCCACAAAGATGCAACCAGTCGGAACGAAGCGCCGACATAGATAGACGCCTCGATAAAGTTCTATACATTGAGGGGCTTTGAAATCGAGTGTGTGCTAGTAACTAATTGACTGGGCCCGAGTTAGAAATGAATGTTTTTTGCAGATCTTGCATTAATCCTACTTCACATTGTGCTAACGTCTTGAATGCATAGGCCTCGAATCCTCAGCTTAGGAGTATCTTCAACTTGTTCCTTCATCAGTAAACAGGAGGCCGCCATTAGTACGGCACGTACGCCATTTTTCAGATGATGGTGATAGTGATCAAAGTGGCCAGACTGAATTTCTGAAAGGGTCTAAAGTGTCGGGCAGTGCACTTCCGGTTGTGTTTCGAGATGGACCGCCGCACCGCGGCTCAATCGACTCCCGCCTGTTTTTTTCCCGAGTCTGTAATGCACCACGAGTGGAGATCTAGCGAGCTGTTCACATTGCATTCTCCCGTACGCACGCAGGAGTTCCAAAAGGCTGGCCGGCGTCTTCCAGCCAGGCGCCAAGGTCCACAGCCGCCTGTTCGTTCTGAGCTCTGACGCCAAGTTCCTCGTGTCTGGGGGGCACTGGGACAACAGCGTCCGTGCCTATAGTCTCCTGAGGGGCAAGCAGGTGGCGCAAGTCATTCTACACAAGGGTCAGTGCTCTGCGGCGTGAACAGAGGGCGCCGCTTACGACCCGATTCGTGCCTGACGGCGCATTGACCAACTGGAGGAATATGCGGACGGCCCGTAGCTCTCGGGGCACTGGGAACGCAGTAGATCCTGTCTGTGGTAGTAAAGACTAATTTTGTGAAGATACAAAGATAGCTGAGCAAAGTTGAAGAAGAGGTAGGCATGCAGTACTGATCTTTTAGGTATGATATCGTAATGGTTTTTTTCCTAAGAAATTTGGCTTTGCTATAGACAGATTCTTCTAGTAGAACTTCTCTTATAAAGACAGTTGTTTTAGAGATCTCTTGAACGGTCCATAGACTGAGCATTTATGTGCAACCCTCGTCGGGTCTTTCGCTCCCTGCCCATCAACGTGCAGATGTGGTCACAAGCCTTGCCATGGACTCCTGTGGCATGTATCTCATGAGTGGGTCACGTGACACTACCTGCATCCTCTGGGAACTTAATCAGCAGGTATGGCTGCACACTCTAAACAACTTCCTTTTTGTGGGCTCAATATTTTGCGAATTTCGCTAACTGTGGGTTTCAAGAATATTTCGCAGACTCAAAATTTTGCAATTTGGAGTCATATGCTATGTGGTATTCTTTACAGTGTATATTGAGATGTTTGCATGATCAGTTTTTCACAATATTTTTAGGTTGTGCATTTGTGAAAAATAGGTTCTCACGAAAATTAAGTAATTTACAGCATTTGATGCTTGCAAAAAGAGTGTCGGCTTTATCTGACTCTTGGAATGTTTGATATCATTTGGACTCTTTTTTGCTTTGTTTATTTCACAGTGGCTGTCTTAAAGACAGGGCAGCCTATTTAAGTTGGCCAAGGTAGTGGAGATTATAAGCTTTAGCTCCAACTTATTTCGAATTCTGAATCTATTTTTTTTGTTCTGTCCTTGTCTAGCTTGTTTTAGTCACCCCATTATAGTAAAATCATTGCAAGTTTAAATAGAATTTGTAGTAAGTTTTGTAAACTGATAAAGGCATTTGATGTTCATATATAATAATGTACTACTGGTGCAGGAGATAACGGGAAAAACGAGAGCCTTTGCTACGAGGACCTTAGACTATGTTGTAAAAATATAAATTGATACAGTAATGTAAGGTGCCAGTAAGCTTCTAATGCCAATTACTAGCAGCTGAGCTACATATATGATATGAGTATTCAAGCAGAAGAAACATGTTTCAGGGGAGCACAGTGATGGCCAATTATTCTGGAAAAGTTATTCCGGTTTGGTAGGGGGCGTGCTCCATGTAATAAGCCTAAATCCAGTTATTACATGGTATTGTTGTAGCAAAAATCTTTTGGAAAAACAGACGGGCTTTTCGTGGAGATCACTCGCTCCGCCGAAGCAGTCTGTCTTAGTAATCTAGCTCTGTATGAACGTTATATTCACTCCTACTTAGGCCACAATTTCGGCTTGCAATGCCCTTTAATGTGTCAACTTGATGGTATTTCTGTTGTGCTTTGATTTCAGGCAACGTCTGGAAGCTTCCTTCCAAACAAGCCTTTCCAGACGCTGTGCGGCCACGACGACGAAGTGACCTGCGTCGCGGTGGTGACGGAGCTTGACATGGCCCTTTCCGGATCTAAGGTTCGGGATGCATTACATTGCTGTGTGTATGTATGTATGTATGTATGTATGCTCGTGGTTGAACCCTTTAAATTGGGCGGTGGATTGTGCCAGCCACCTTCTGCATCCAAAGAGGCACTTGCTTGGTGATATCGCAGACACTGGTGCGCAAGAAGACTTTTTCAGCTGCTTGTTCAGTGTGCCATTTTGGTGTTTCTTTCCCTCAGCTTCTGAGTCGTGACCAAAATATAGCACGAGTTGGGGTTGAGAGCAGTGCTGGTTTTGTATGCATTCTTCCAAAAAATTAACTAAATACCATTACTTGCTTTCCAGTCACAAAGTAACAAAAGTGTTACGCATCCCTGTTTGCAGGGTCAGGCTCTCACTTAGCCACCATACAAAGTAATGCGCAACTCGTAACTCTCGTTGCAAGTTCCTCGTCACGTGCAACGAGTGCATGTAACGTGTTATGTGCATCTCTCGTTACAGCAGACAGCATGTAAATGCTTGGTGGTCGGTAAAGCTCTCCTACAGTTAGGCGTTCATTGTACGCATATTAGTCGCCATATTGGAGATCCTGTCTGGTTGGAACGTACGGTATACACATGCAGATCACGTCTGGTCGGGACATTTGGTGTGCAAATGCTAGATTCGTTGCACGAGCGTTGGTTGCCGTTTGCTTCCCGAGACCCTGTTTCGACAGAAGCGTGCTCCGCGTCTCTCTCCGCAGGACGGCACTGTGAACGTACACAGCGTGCGCGAGGGTCACTTCCTGCACACCCTGAGGCTTCCCGGCGACTCACCGGAGCAGGTGGCGCTGCTGACGGTGTCGCACCTCGGCTTCATCTGCATCCACGGCTGCCCCAACCCACAGGCACTCCTGGTGCGAATCCCTCGCTACAGCCAACCCAGTCTGCGCGTGGCAACACTTTGTTGGCTGACGTAGCAGTTACTCGATCGAACAAAACGAGTGATCATTTGTTCTTTGTGGTTCGTTGTAGAAAGGAGGCCACGCTCTGCATCTATACACGATCAACGGTAAATACCTGATGAAAAGGGAGGTGCCCCGGGCCATCTCCGACATGGCGGTCTACGACGATTTCCTGGTCACCGGGGACGACGACGGGCTTCTGGTCATCTGGGAGTTGTTCGGGTGAGTCAGTTAGCTTTGACGGGGATGGTTTCACCGAAGTAACGGGGCAGGGACAACTTGTAGAGCGTGCGGGCTTTACGTGCCGTCGTCACTTTTGTCGTTGCTGCTAAAGTAGTGGCTGTAGCGGAGGGCTTGAGGTCACAAAACGGAGGGGGAAAGTCGCGTTGGGAAGGAGGAAAAGTGGGAGAGCATTTGAAAGGAGGCACTGAAGGACGTAAAACAGAGTGTCTAGCGACCAGGAAAACCGAAACTTGTCAGGGAAATTTTAGTTACCGGTAATAATCAGGGAATTGTCAGGGATATTGTCAAAAGGCAAGCCCAGTCAGAAAAAATGAGCCTGAAATGCCATCGAGTGCACTGAGCAAAGACTTGAGGACTTGGGGGCAGAAAAATTGACAATACATTCTGCTTAGAGCGGAGTGCGGGCTCTGCTCACCTGATGTAGAGTGTCTACTACCCGATGCAAAGGGAACGGCCGACAAATCTAGTCGAAACCTTGGCTTGGCTTGGATTGGATTGAGGGCGCAATACTAGACTAGATCCAGATTAGAGCTACTATATTTAGTAGTAAATAGGAAATTCGCAGACCCCAATCCAATCCAAGCCTTAAGCCGAAAGTATCTGAAAGTATGCATCTGGCGGCCATGCTGCCATTCGGTTATGAACAGTTCTGGTTGAGTGTCGTGTTTTCATTGTGTTTCCGGAAGTAGTCTCTTCACTGACAGTGTTGGCGGCAAGAAAATGCTCGTTTATTCCGGACTGGACGAACCCGAATATTTTGGAACATGCAAGTTGGATCAAGCCCGTGCAAAATGATTATCACAGTGTGCAATGCTCCTTGCCTTGTGTTGTAATGGTCTTGTATATTTAACCTCCTCTAGAGTGGTCGGCGAACTTCACCTGAAATTGTTAGGGAAAACCTGGAAAAGACGGGGAATTTCAAAATAAAAATTTGCTGGACACCCTGTGGAAAGCACAAACTTGAAGTCGCAGCCGGTTGCTGTGCGGAGACCCGCGCAGTTTTCTTCGACGATAAACACGGTGCTGACGCTCCACCACAACTGGGCGAGCGTGAAGTGCCTGCTAATGCGGTGTGGTGCGATGCGTGACTTAAACAAATACATGCGCAGAGAGACGTTTGCTTGATGACTCGTTCGAAGATTTAGCGACAAATAAAAAGAACTAAGCTATTGTCTGTAGCGGGGTTATAACGCCGGGATCCTATCCCGCTTTTCTTCACCCGCAGAGACTGTAGCCGTTTTCCTTTTGACGGGCGGAGCTTTTTTATTTATTTGCATCCGTCTCTTTGTTCTAGCTTGGTCCAGCGGGCCTCCCTGCCCCTGTGCGCGCCAATCCTGACGGTGGCCCACACTCCGACGCACTCGCACATCGTCTGCAGCCTGGAGGACGGGAAGCTCGTCGTCGTGGGCGTGTCCACGTCCTCCGTGCGGCCGACGTGAAACGTCCCGCAGCGCGACCTTTCCTCCCTTCATTTTTCCACGCTCGGCTTCTAGGAGGTTTGGCGCACACACGCAGACGCCGCCCATCCGGCCCGATGCCGTTCACGTTGCAAAACGGCTTCGTTTCCGTATTTCCGGTGGCAGGACATGTGCGACCGTATTCACCAGACGCGACTAACCCGTTTAATCGCCAACCAACTACGTCGTCGATTGAAACGACCGCGTGGCAGGTGGTAACCGCAGCTTAGCAAGCGCTCGGTGTCAATCGACCGCGTTTGGGGATTAGTCATGCCGAGCGACTTAAAAGGCGACTGAAAAATCTTAGTTGGGGGTGTACCAGGAAGAATCGGACCAGCAAACGTCGCGGTAATAGACACGTTCAGAAGTCTGAGATAACGTTAAAGCGATCTCGGCAAGGCGCCGGACGACGAGAGAGCCCGCATTTACGGGCGCTTTCATATTTGCGTACGTTGCTGGCAATGGGGCTTCCGCGTTTTCTCCCTCGAGTTGTTTTTGTTTCCTTCGAAAAAAACCTGTCCCGGACAATTAGCCTCTCGTTAAACATTTTATTTTTGCTAATAGATATTTAAATATTAGTTTTTACGGTGTGAAATCCCCATTCACACAGTGGCGTCTAAGTATGTTTGTGTGCAACTTATCTCTTTAAGTCACTTGCGCTTGTTACTCCCGACTAGAAAGTCACCCGCTTGCTTCGCGCTCGTGACTACCGCAGGGTCTAGTCGCTCTTTAGACGCCAATTCTTCTCTCAGCGCGCAACTAGTTAGACGTGGTACTAACCTTAAAACGGCGCTGGTTAGTCACGACTGGTGAATATGGCTGACGTCGTTTAAGTTATAAGCTCCGGGCATGCTTAGAAGCGCTCGGTTTGAAGTTCCTCCAAGACTTACCCACTGTTCGAAGTCTGCCGAACAGTTTTTTTGTCTCTGTAATCGAGACTGCGGTTAAATCTCCCTAGTTCAAACTACCGTATTAACTTCGTAACCAACACTACGGCTTTATTTCCGTATTCCCGTTTACGGAGCTACCGTTTAAATTACGGAAGTTTTGGGCACACACAGAACTGCTCGTTTCGGGATTCCTCGAAGTTCGCGGAGGTTTGCTACCGTGGTGGGCAGTGTCCAGCTTCCTTCGGCGTCGCAGAGTTTTGACGCGTCTGCCGACACGTTTCGGCTTTGATCGACGTCACCCCCAGCGAGGCAGGGTTTGGGTCAGATTAGGGTGCCCAGTTTGCCTTCGAAGTGGCAATATAGGTCTAGTGACTCCTCCCAGCTTCCCCCGATGGTCAAGACCAGTTTGGAGTCGATGCCGCGTGCTAACCGAACCGGTTCCGGGTGCTGCTACTTCTGCGGTGCCAAGCACGCTTTAGTAGGCGTTAGCTGTAGCATACTCACAGGGTGTCGTGGAATGGACCGGGCCGCCGTGGACGCCCTTTTAGTGTCCTCCGAGACCTTTCCTGGCCAACTAGGAATCGGTCCTTCAGTAGTTTCATTTTAAGGGAACGAGGGGCGCGCGCTTCAAACGGTTGCCCGCGGAGACGAGGCGACGTAGTCATTGAGGTGGACGTGATTATAGGAGACGTATTTTCGACATTCCAGGCGAGAGTTTAGGACGACGGGGCAGTGCAGTCGATGGAGGGAGAAATCCCAGGACGCGACGGTTACGTTTTACCGTTGGCGTGAGAAGGCTATGGTGCTGTTTTGCTTAAGGATCGTTTACAGGTTGGTAGCGTGAAAGGGGCGGTGCGACTAGGACTTGTTGCCGTAACGCTCTGCCCGGAGTATGGGTTTCTGACAGTGTATGCTAAAGTAGAGGCAGGCAGATATGTATACTAAGAAATCGAGTCTCATAAAGCTAGGCATGTTCTTGGAATGGTGCTTAGGCCGTAGATAAGGGACCCTCGCACAGAAACTAACGTTTAAAAATGGAATGCATTTTTTTTTTTTTTTTTACCAAAGAGCTTAGGAGGAGACTAAGTTACTCACTCGGTTCATTCCAAGGTTGCCAACAAAAATTAACTTTTTTTTTTAAATATGAAAATTTTTTTGGTTTTGTTGCTCAAGTACAGTTGTCAACAATATGAGCCTGAACTGCTTGTCGTGCTCCTTTGGGTCACTCTCTGGTTTCGGGGGAAGCCCAGGCCGGGGCTGGAACACGAGGTTCGAGTGCCAGTCTGCGATCTACACGACAAATGGAAAGACGGCGGAACTTGCAGGGACCGCGGGAGGCGACGTGCTGCGGCTCATAATGTTTGGATGAAGCAACTGCGCGTTTTCTTTTTCCTAATTGCGACGCCTCGGACATACGTCCGGATCACACTTTCTCAGAGTCTTTTGGAGGCGGCGTACTTAAAACTAACAATGGAGCGCCACATTTCGGCAGTCGTCGTTTTGATCGACAGACGGACCGGCGAAGCGAGCCGGCCGCAGAAGTCGTCGTGCAGTCGTATTATCGTCCCTACTTTATGCAAGACTTCGTGCAGAGCGAGGAGTCGGCAGCACTAACCGACGAGGCAACCGCTCGAAAGACGGAGAGGGGTTGCGCCCGAAGTTTTACGTGTTGTGTTTTGATACTAATGGTTGTTATATATATACATATATATATATATATATACTAGTTGGAGTTTGTTGTTTTATCGAGAAGCCTTGTTTACGGTTGACTGTACATTTGTGTATATATACCTGCCAATGGCGGAGCCGGAGGCTGCAATCTATTTAATAGAGACGTATCATAAATAAAGACGTTACGATCACAGCATTGAGGGAGCGTGGTATCTTTTTACGTTTTGGTTGGGAAGGATTGAGAAGAGTTGGTCGTTCCCAAACATGAAGATGAAACTGCATAAATGCCAATTTTCTACTTGTTGGATTGACTTGGCTACTTAAAGATTGCATTGGCTGCCGCCCGACGAGGTGATTGGGAATCCTGCTCGTGCCCCGCGTGGTGGGGCTTAACGGCTCTTGGTGGGCAGCTCAAAAAGCGTAACGCTGCCGATATTCAGCGAGGGAAAAAAGGGCCTGAAAAACGGCACGAAAATATTGTAGGACCGCTACTATAGTACTAGTACCTAGCTGCTTGGAACAGCTCGACTTATGACAGAGTGATGTTACAAACAAATTGATTTTGTTACTGTGGTGCAATAGTCAGTTTTACTTGGAAGCGGACTGATAAAGTAGAGTGTCTGGGAAAAAAAAAAAAAAAAGGTTTTGTCATACGCAAAGCTATGTGGTAAGGTGCGAGTCAGTACCGGTCACAGCTGCGGATGCAGATGGTGACAAAGTTACGCAAGAATACACTTGGGGGAACAGGTGCGCATGTGCAGAAAAAGAGCCTTTTTCTTTGTGCAGTGTGCATTGGTTTCGGCACAATAAAGTGCTTTTAACACTACTAAAAACTACCAATATTTGAACGGAGCAGTCAACTACAATGGCTAAAGTTGATTTCAACACTTTTTTTTTTTCTTGGCTTAGTGAATTTTGGCTTATTCGTTGTTTCTAAGGTGCCAGGATAATTAAATTGCTGACAAAACAAAATGCTTGAACGGAAGTCTTAGATACAGTACAAGTAGCTTTTACTGGGCCTGGAGTCGTCCCAGACAACAGCTTAAAGTGCAGAAACAGAAACAAGGAAAACATGTTTCACTGAAAAAATTGATTTATTTTCTTTAAAACAACGCATTGAGAAATCCCCTGTACTGAATTGGACCCTGTTCTTTGTGTGCACAATTCAGTGAAATAGTCACTCCCAACCGGACTGCCCCTGTAGGTGCCATTGGACCCATGTATGTGTACATCCACGTATATAGTGTATATATGTATCTATAGAGTGAATACCTGGGGTTCACACAGAGTCATGGAAGACTGGTAGTTATTCACCCTCCTCTGCAAACATCTCTTTCGTCCTATAAACAAAAATACCCTTACGAGCCCGTCGCTTCTCCACGCTCTTGCGTTAGTACTAGCTCCTGGAGCGTTTCAATAAATACGGCTTAAGACTCGCGACTATATGAGAGTCCAGGTCAAGGCAGTTATAAGCTGTAGGAATGGGTAGTTGTAAACTCGGCGCGCGTGTTGTGATCACAAATGCCGAGTCGCTTTAATAAGCGCTCCGTGGTGCCCCGTTTCACTTCCAAGTCCGACCGCAGATGGCGCTACGATCCAGGTCGTCTTTGCAAGTTTGCCGTCGCCGGCTAGACCCAATCACGCAAAAAAAAGTGCAGGATCGCGGCGCGCGATTGGTTTCGTCGGCGATAGCGAATGCACAAAAGCGAAGAGGGCTGTTCGATTGGTTCCGTCGCATCGTGGCATTGGCAGCGGTCGGACGCGTGGGGCAACAACATTCGTACCCTTTTGGACCGAGGTGACGTAACAATGACTTCCAGTCGCTGATTTGCGACGTGGATTCAACACCGGTTGAGTTGCTCCTAGGGGTTCGAGGAGTCGTTAGGGGAGGCTACGCGTACGTAGAGAGCGCCCATTACGATCACATTTTCCCTCGTAGCTTGGTCCCAGAGGCGTTCGAGACAAAGCAAGAACGCTTCGCTCGAGTGTTGATCTTGCGCTCGTGTCGTAATGAGAACGACGAGCAAAATAGAACACTAAAAACATTGCACTTCATTGTTCGCGAGTCGGACTTCTCTCTGGGCGGCAACACTAAGGACCTGTTTTTCAGTCGCTGCATTTCGGTTCCGCAAACTAAACGAGCACGCGTGCTGTTCTTTTCTCACAGGTGACCTTCTCCCGCTTGCAATTTGAGGATGAGTGATGGAGGGATTGCAAACATTAAGCTGAGCGAGAGTTTGTGTAAAATTTTGATTTCTTTGTGTTCGTTCGCTCCCTCGAATTAGTCTCCTCTCCGTTTTTGATCGGTTTGAGATCTCTGACGCTTCGTCTGGCAAAAAAGAGTCGCGATAAAACCTTCGCATCCTTGATTCCTTCAACACGCACAACATCACTGCAGGAACACCGTGGCTCACATCGACGCCTCGCACAGTTCACATTCGCACACAAGCATACACACACACGCACATACACAATCCTCCGTATCCAGCGGAGTTGTCTTCCAGAGCAGCAGTTTGTTCGGCACCACATAGATCAACACGGCGTGAAACGCGACGAAACAAAAGCGCCGTTCAAAGGGTCCCAAACGAAGCAGCTCCGCCAAATCCCGCGGTGGACGCAGTTCCCTCATTGGCCACTTCATCGTAGCTCGGGGGCGGAGTCGCTCCGACAAGGATGTCGTCGTCGTCTGCATCACTCGCATCTCCTTCAACGGCGAGCAGAAAATCTGTATCGTTCCCAGACGGCGACACATTGACGCTGGAAGACGCAGTCGTCTCGCTCTGATCACGATCTGCCATCTCCACGTCGGCAAGCGCGTCGCTTTCCGGGTCGATTATGATCAGCGGGAGTTGATCGCTGATGGCGACGTCGTTCTCCGACACTCCTGGGTTCTCGCCGGCGCCAGAGTCGCTTGGATCTGGATCGCCATTTTCGACGTCGTCTATCACATCGTGACGATCTTCAGATGTCATTGAAACGGTGTTCGAGATCAAGGCACGTGATTGGTCGTTCACAGTGGAGATGTTTGTCGTCGGCATGGTAGACGTGGTGTCGTCGGAGACTGACGATTCGCACAAGAGGTCGCGGGTCATCTGCGGCGTCGGAGGGACGGCCGGATTTTCCGAGATCCGGTGGCTTGCCTCATCGGCTTGGCTTGGCTCGGCTTGGCGTTCTTGCTTGGAAGGCAGCTCGACTTGCAGGCAGGACAACCCCGTGACGGGGAAACGGTGGTTTGGCACTTCCGGGGCATTGCTGAGAAGGCAGAAATAAACACTGTGATAATCATCCAATGTCTTTAACAACATTTTTTTTTTTTTTTTACAGCTTGATTTTTTGCATGTGTATGCAGACGGATGATGAAAAAAATGGGCTGTAAAGATTGGTGCCTGCACGTAGCAATCTAAACTTTTTGTCAAAAATGTATTTCACAGGTCGGTTTTATCTTGTAAAGTTACAAAGCGTAGCTCCATTTCTCTAAACAACAGGGCCCAAAAACTTGCCAGGGTCTAGTGGCAGGGTGTGTCTGATGCACATATTGATAGATGGCGCTGGGAGCAGCATCAGACAGCATAGCCGGTTGGCGAAAGAAAGCAGACGACACACGGACAAAATCTATTGGCAGCAAAACCACCGTCGTTATGCAACCACATTTCTTTTCTTTTTACTTCAAGTTTTGCTTTTATTGTCAGCATTTATTTTTAAACCAAAGGTACAATACATAAAGATTATATCAATTCTAACAGACCCCGGTCATCGTGAGCAGTCTCAATAAGGAGGTAGCGTCACCTATCAATGTGTGGGCCAAACGCGTCCCACCACTTGACTGTTGTCTGCGTCGCCGTCTACCCTGGCCAGTTTATTTACCCTATTTCTTACAGAAGGGGAGCTACGCTTAGTAATTTTACAAGATAAAGTCGACCTGTGAAATACACTTCAGACAAAAAGTTTAGACTGCTACGAGCAGGCGCCGATTTTTGCGGCCCATTTTAGATTGAGCCTGGTTACTTCAGACACCCTATATTTGAGACGTTCACCTCTCCTGCGTTACAAATAAAGTAATTACTTTTTGCTTGTTGTCCCAACTGACCTTGCACATAAGGCTATTTATCTCTGGATAGTTCCACCAACATACGTACTTGCTTTGAGAAGCAGACGCAGATATATTTGAGGACATGTATTCATCCTTCGAGTGACTCAATCCCTACACTGCTTCTCCAGCCTCCTGTATGAATTATATCTACTGTAAGCAACTTAGTTTTAGCAAGAACTTAATTGAAGGCAGAAAGCTTTCCCTAGAGGAAGAGCATCTGCTGAATTCTTAACCTGTCGCCAACTACACACCACTCCGTGGGCTACAGAAATGATCAAGGGTTTCACGAACCTTGGGCTGGACTGTGTTGTGGGCGACACAATGGGCAGCAGCAGGTAGCTCTGGCCGTTGATGTTCATGATGTGGTTCACGTGAACACCGTTGGGAGGACTGCTCTCGGGAGTTGGGGGCAGTTCATTGCAGCCAGGGTACAAGGGAGGCAGGATGTTTAGCGACAGCTGACTCACAGAGTAACTTGCGCTCAGGGGTGGCGCAGAAGGCAGCGTCTCATTCTCGGACTGCGAGAGAAAAGAAGCAGACGGTCTGAACTGCTAGAAGATGTCCGCCCGGACAGGACTTCCAGACAGGTATTCTAGATAGATCTTGAGAACTTCATCAGAAAAGCTAGAACACTTCTGTAAGAGGCTAAGTCTGAAATTAATACGAAGATGACAGTTTAACTGTGAGAGAAATTAAGCTGATGGTCTACAGTGTTGGAAGATGTCCGCCTGGACTTGTTTCCAAACAGGATTTCTAGACGGATCTTCTTCACTATCTCATCACAGAAGCTAGAACACTTTTGTAAGAGGCTAAGTCTGAAATTAACATGAAGCTGACAGTTAGCGACAGATTTGAAGCAGGTGGCCTTGACTGTCGGAAGATGCGCGCCTAGACTGGACTTCCAGACATATCTTCAGAACTTTGTTTGAAAACTAGAACACTTTCGTAAGAGGCTAAGTCTGATACTAACATGAAGCTGACAGACCGCGACAGAAATGAAGCAGGTGATCTACACTGTCGGAAGACGTCTGCTTGAAGAGGACTTCCAGAAAGATCATCTTTGAAATTTCATTATAGAAGCTAGGACATTTCCGTAATAGGCTGTGCTTGAAGTTAATATCAAGCTGCGAGTCTGAGGCAAAGTTAGGCAAAGGAATTAGACTGGAATGTTTTATGTGCAGTAAATAAAGCAGGGACTTCCTGTACTGCCATTATCATACAGCAGTAAAGGTGAAATGTTGAAAACTAATGCATTAAAAAAATCTGACTGGATATTAAAGAAAGGCATGCCAGACTTCTAAAAAAAAATAAAAAAGTCTGGATGTTACTGGACCAGTGAATAATTGTTTGGACTAATAAAAGATTAAACAAGTATAGTGCTGGATTTTCTTTGTCACCTATTGGAGGCTAGCAGAGGGCACAATCCATGCTAGCACAAGGTGAAAATACTTTCCAGAAGTCCTTCCTAGGACTTGCCATCCTACTAGACTCACTGCATGCCACACCTTCTGCGAGAGGAGAAACCCATGCGCACCATGCGAATGCCATGAGCGCCACGCTTGCCGTGAGTGCCCTGGCTTCTGTCTTGGCTACAGAACGGAACAGCGGCCGCAATGAGGACCAGGAGCGATCCGATGGCCGTTACGAGGAGCCAATTGTAGTCCCAGTTGTGGAAGGCCAGGAAGATGCCGCCAATGACTAGGACCGAAGCCACCGCCCCCAGAAGCAGACCGGTGCAGTTTGGGCTGTTGCAGGCAAAAGATCCACCGCTCTTCCTGGACTGGCGCTGCTGGCTGTCCCTCGGCTCCATGTTGGCAGGCACCTGGATAGTTTTGTCGCTCTCAGTTCTGTGTGTTTTTTTTTGCTTTTTTCTACACAGACTGTGTTATAGGGCTGGGCTTCATGAGAAAAGTCGCATGGTATCCTCAGCCGACACACAGGTCAAGGCCATCGGGGCTATACTGCTTATATGACCCTGACGTGTGACACCCTGCCATTACATGACACCGTGACTTGTCATTTCATGTGACATCGGTATTACATGATCTCCTGATGGCGTCACATGATGTCCACACATACAGAATGTGTGCCAGTAATGCACACATTAAGAGGATTTCAGTGTAACCAGCCCGCTGGATGCCAGGTCCCGCATACAAGCACACCAGTGCTTTCGCGGGCCTGCATATGTAACATGTTTACGATCTGAATAAAATTATTATTATTAATATTATGTGTCCAGCTTATTTGCAACATACCCTGCACATATTAGAGTTTATAAAAAATTATCAAAACATGCTTCAAGTTTGTTTTGAATAGGACCGAAAGAGTTATGAAATTGCTTGCCAGTGAAATTTTAGCTAAATCTGGCCTTATGTGTAAACCTCCAATATTCGAGATCCATGAAAAAAAGGTTTGGGACATTTTTGAATTAGTCAAGGCAGAGGCCCTGGGGGGAGGTCACTCCAGTCTCCGTGTCAACCTTGAATGATTAATAAAACAGTCGTTCACATCAGCATACGGGTCAATGCCGCTGTATTCGTTGTCACGATAGAACCCAATTAAGTTATGCGATTGTGCTAGCCACTATAAACTGCCAGATTCAAACTTCACTGGGGGAGGATCGAGGCAGTGTTTTTGTATTACAGTTGAGGAAGCCATATTGTAGCAATTTTGCAGCTTTAGATGAATTGGTATGTGGATAATATTTAAGGAAATACACCGATAAATGTCAAACTTATGACAATTGAAAAATTAGCAAAAAGACACTCGATCCAATATGTGACAAGGTTGCAATAAAATTCCTACAAGTTGCATGCTGTGCTGAGCCTGGCCGGCTGCTCTGCACAGCCCGGCCACCCTCTCCCTCTTACCGGCGTTTAAGCAGTAGCGCCAGGAAGAGGGCTTCTCGGTGAGGTGGCGTTCCCTGGAACTACGCGCCTGCTGGCGGTGTAGGTGTCACAGCCATTTTAACTGCCAGTTTGAGAGAGAATTTAGCTCTAATTTCAAAGAAGACCCCCTCAATTTCTCCAAAACTAATGTGCTGCTGGGTGTGAGCAAAAAGCGAGCCCCCTCAGCGTTTCCAATGTGCCACAGCTAACATGTTGGAGAGATGTAGCCTGAAGGCAACATATAATTTTGCATTATATCATCTTTTTTTTTATTTAAAATTTTGCATGCTGTGGACACTGATAAACTATAATTACCGGGAAGCATTCCTGTTTTTGCTGCCCACAGTTTTGCTGCATGTAATTGAACATCAATGTTCAATTGCATGCAACAAAACAAGGAACTACAGAATTTCACTCCACCATTTTCTTGTTTCATAACTTACCAGGAAATCTAACTTTTATTACACCAAATAAATCTTCTTGTTTTAGTACTTATATAATCTTACCAAAACTAAAGTTCAATGCTTGGGACGCTATGCAGAGCGCAAGTTCGTCTGCTTCTTGCACAGGGGTTGCGGTGATGTTAGGACACCAAACTCTTATTGGTTGATTAAAAAAAAAATAGTGGGTAGGCCTCAAGGCATCTTGCACTGAGGTCTACCCACCATCCTTCCAATCAAAGCCAATCGAAACTCGGCGTCCTTCTAACGTCACCAACCCCTGCACAAGTAGCAGACGACTTACTCTCCACATTATGATCTATGTGATTAATCCTTGGATTTATCCCACAGCATCAACAATTTGAGCAATCTAGCTAGAAATGTAGAAGTACTTCTGTCCTAGACTCTTGCCACACTCCTACCCATTTAATCTTTTCCGAGAAAGTCATTCAACCCAATCAAGCCCTTCTTTGGGGATCTAAAAATAACCGTCTCAACACATGTGTATCCAGCAACTCCGTGTGAAACGCGCGGACATCTGTTTTAGTTTGCACGTGTTTTTTGTTGTTGTTTTTTTTCTTCTTTTTCTAGGTCGTGTTCTTCGCCGATTTTTCATGCAGACTTATGAACAAGGAAGCTTTTTGTCTTTCCTGTTCCGTTTAGGGAAACGAATTTGTCGTCACGACACACCAGGAACTCGTACAACGCGCACACTTGGCACGCCTGTCACGTTTGACGAATTAGGGCCATTGAAAATAGTCCCTCCTGTCGACTCCGTGCATGGGTGCTGCGACGGAACGCATTACTCACTCGATAACATCTCCCTCTTTCTCACTTCTACACCTTCGACGGTGTCTTCTTCCTACAAAAGTTTGCACTCTCGCCAAAAATAAACAAGTATAAACACGCACAAAATTCTTGGGAACTACCAGCGTCAAGTTACACGCGAACTAGCAGCTAGGCACGGCACCACGGGCTTCAGATTCGGGGCGCTGGGTTCATGGCCCCCGCCGAACTAAGAATACAACAAGCAGTTTATGCATTCTGAAGCTCTGGAGATAATGTTTAGTGGTCTTTATTTTTGTCAGTTTGTACCTTGAAAGCAGTTTGCTGCTGTAAACTTTCCCTGGGGCCTTCTGAAGAACTGAAAATCGATTCATCACTGTGCGCATGCATGTGCCGACGTGGTTTTTGCGCTATGCGCGTTCTCGTGTTGTGATCCTTCTGAGTTGACAAAAAAAAAAAAAAAGCAATTGAGGAGTTTCAGCGAATATAGGGGGCGCTCCGATAGATCCAACATGGCGGACAAGAGGGGGATAGATGTGCGACGCCCGTAGACCGGTAGCGTATAAATAGAACAAAGCGTGTCGTTCTCTGTTTGTTGCCGTGTGCGAGACGATCATCATTTCAACCAAGACCTACCGTGATGCTACAGATGAAGTGTTCAAGCCAGTCGAAGGCAAGAAATCTTGCCATAGTCAAGATACGTGTGCAAGTGTTCGACGTGAGCTCTCACGCTGGTGCAGCTGTCATCAAGTTGAACCGAATGTACGCGGGTCCAAAGAAAGGTACATATCAACAATGTTCGCGCGTTCAAACTATGACGCGTACTTTATCTCAAACTAAACTTATCGGTCTGCGGCTACGAACATTTTCGTTGTCGTGGCTTAGATGATGTAACCATTCGTTGCGAACTTTTCGGTTGTTCTAGTTAATTGTGCTAAAAAGCGGTTGGATGGAAAGTATGACAACTACAGCATACAAGGGACGATTGAGGTCTTTATCCTGCGTTCTATGTATCGAAACATCGGTATCCTTGGTGTTATATTGCGATCAGCTGGTCGCCGATCGTCCTGTTTTTACGCATAATGTAAACAAGCCCCGGAAGCGCCAATCTCATTTCCATGTGCTTGTGCACCCCTACAAGCCTCATTTTGGCTCTTGTGGAAAGCTTTATTGTAATAGCAATAGTCTCATCGGTCATTCGAGTTGTATGCGCCACGGTGATATCTGCTGTGTGTGATCTGCTGACAAACAAGTCTGTATTAAATGCGAGGAGGAGAACGAAGGTAAAGCTTTTTTAACTGTTTTCTTTTTACAGAACAGGGCAAAGCTTCTAAAACAAGAGCAACCTTAGCTGATATTTGAGTGTGCTCAAGAATGAATTGCAAAAGGTGCTTATGCCAAGTGGTAGATGTATGCAGTTGATTTTCTGTTTGCTTCTGCATTGTAAATTGGAAGATATGTATCAGCAGAAGACATGTGTCCTTTTCAAAATGTCTTTTATTAGAGCAAATAGGTTTTCATACACAACCGAAGAGTTCGAAACACCATTTAATTTGAGGCCTGAATGGTTACATGATCTAAGCAACGTCAACGAAAATGTTTGTAGCCACAGACCGATAAATTTAGGTTTAGATAAGTATGCGTCATAGTTTCAGCCTCGAACACTCAACACTGTTATGTACCTTTCTTGATGACAACTGCACCAACGTGAGAGAGCCCACGTCGTTGAACACTTGCACACATATCTTGACTATGGTATGGCAAGATTTCTTGCTTGAAGTGAAGATCATCTCGCTACGACTAGCTACGACCACCCACCGCAGCGATGCAGGCACCGAAGGGGCGCAACGCAGTCAGTCGCCGTCACCGGACGCTGCTCGTTTGGCATTCACGGCTTTCCGCCCAGGTGCTTCGTTTGTACTTGGCACAGAGTGTTATTTTCTGTGCTTGTGTGTGTGCCGAGTGGCTAGATATGGGCCTCAAGAGCAGTTCTTCAGGCTCAATAGCGTTCGCCGAAGAACTTCTGAAGAAAATGCCACCCAGGAAAAAAAGCACAAAGACGCAACGCACCAGCTTGGCGGACTATGCACTGGGCGCGGAAATCGGGCCCTGCGAATTATACACCAAATGCAAACTATCTAAACAAAACAAAAACATTTTTAGGCTCAAATTGGCTTCTGCGGACTATACGCCTGGACACTGGTGCCCGTTATTATGCATTGTATATTCACTGCTGTTTGTTGTGGCTTGAGAGTGCCTTCCTGTAATGATGCAGAGGGGTCCACTGAACCTTGAAATAAAGATATTTAAGCACATCTAGATGCAATGTCCCTTTAATTTGCCAACAGCACGCCAATGGTCACGATCAAAACTCACCGAGTCAATGGGCAGTTTTCCACAATATTTATTGCCATGTAATCACCAATTTGGTCTATTAAAAGTCTTGAGCCTGTAGCACATCCATACTGGATCTGCAAAGCTTATGCTGTAGACGTGTGTCATCACATGAGCATGTTTCTTATCAATCTTAAACGTAAAACGCTAGTTATGCAACGACATTCCCATATCACATTTTTAGCAAATTGAATGGTCCCACCTGTCATACTGTTAGCTTTGGAAGTAAACCAATTCACAATACCACCAGTAGAATACATCGTACCAAGCGTTAGTGCCGCATGTGGCACAAAAAATGTCCTAACTAGGGAAGCAAACTTCATCGATCGTGTTGATTAAAGCACTCAAGTACGGGCGAAATCATCAATCAAAGAAGGTCACTCGAAAGGGAAGTTTGCTCGCTGAACGAATATGACTTTTTATTGGGCGTTCCGCAATCATTCACTCCGTGATTGGTACAGAAGCATTTTCAATCGGTCGTGCGAGCGCAAAAACAACAAAAACAAAGGTGGATTAGAGACGCGATAGATTCGCCTTTGCACGGAGTACTTTACACTCAAAATCGTGTCAACATACAGCGACTATGGCCCACCTTGCTAGCAGCAATCTTAAAATTTATCCGTGTAGTCGTCGCACCCGTGCACCAACCGAAAGCGTTGCTGCAAGCCCCTCCGCCGTCAACTTTGAGTCGCTGTCGAGTCTGAAGAACTCTGCTCTATGAGGTCCACATCCAGCCACTGAGCACATACAGAAGCACAGGGAATAATACTCGGTTCCAAGTGCAAGCGAAGAACCCGGGACGGAAAGTCCTGAATGCCAAACGACCTGCGTCGGGCGACGGCGACTGACTGCGTAGTGCACAGGTTGCGCTCCTTCGACGCCTGCATCGCTGCGGCGGGTGGTCGCAGCTCGTCGTAGCAGTTCGTGTCATCTCTGTTGCTCGTACCGGAACACTAGAGCCGCGTAATATTCTTGCTGCCGAAGTTTATAAGCCTACGTTCGCGGCCAACGCATTTACACAAAGCCAACGCCCAGCGAACCTATCCCCCTCGTTCTCTTTCGGCGACCGGCCGCCAGGGCGGTGACACCGTCGCTGAAACTCCTCAATTTGTCCACCATTTTGTTGTTGTGAGCTGTACGGCAAGTGTAGGGTAGAAAACGGCACATCCCAGCGGAAGAGGGGGGGCGGGGGGAGGAGGGGGGGGGGGGGATTGTACTAGATATTGAGAGGGAGAAAAAGCTTATTGAAATAACTGCCGTTATTTCAAAACGTCATCATGTTGCACTAAATTTTACTTTCTGGGAAAATATCCCCCGCCTGCGTTCACGCCGCTTCTTGGCGACAGTATGCGGCTGCTCATTACAAAACTATTAACCCACTTCGCCCCACCGTACAACCAGCAACCCAAACCGCCGTAAAGGGAGTCCCATACTATTTAGTTCAACGAAGTTTCGTCAACATCATTTTTTTTAGTGTTAATTGTCAAAAAAAAAAAAAATGTAAATATCGCCAAATGCTCGACAAAAAAAAAAAAAATGTTCGAGAAAAAAAAAAAAAAAAGAAAGTAAGCACACATTCTGGATTGAACCCGAGTCCGCTGCGTAAACTACGCTACTTTTTTTTATTTCAGTTTGAAGCTCTTTGTAACCATTCATTTTATACGATATTATACGATATTTATATTGGGATTTTACTAATAGCACATCGTTTCAGTGGGCCAAAAGAAAAAAAAAGGTAGAAAGTCAAAAGCCCGACTCTCGGTAAGAAAATGTGAAAACACAGCGGACTATTTCGTACTCCATCCCTTCGCAAGCTCTCTGCCTTTTCACTGTGATACATCTGCGGTCCCCGCAGCGCGTCACCGGCCCAAACGCACGTCACACGACACCGGACCTCAGTTATTCCAACTGTGGTTATTCCACGGGTTATTCATACCCCTAAGCTGACATTGTGGTCGAAGCTACGGGCTTGCTGGCCCAACGAGCACGTAGCTTCCACAGCACTGTCAGCTTCGGGGTGAACGGGGTGGGGAAAGCAACTTTTGTCTGAATTTTGAGCGACGGGCTAATCTAGGGGGAGAACGGCTGTGTCCTGGTACACAAACCAGATTCCGAGCAAGAGGGGACTCTCCCCTTTCCGTCTTCTTGAACTGTTTGGTAGAATGCGCGATTTATGAGTTGAGGAAAAAAGCTAAACACTGTAAACAAGAAAAAGTTGGAAAAGCGTTTCATGACTACCGTTATTTCTGTAAAATATACTTGTAACGAGTAGGCATAGTTTAGGTTTGAATCAACTCGCTTGGTGCCAATTTCGAAACTATGCACTCCTGCGAAACGGAACATGATTCTTTATTGGGACAAAAATACGGGACAGCAGAAGCGGATTTCAAAAACAGGACTGTCCCGGCCAAAACGGGACGTTTGGTCATCCTAGACATATGCCGAAGGGGAGCATTCCAAAGATTTATTTGTTTGAAAAAAAAAAAAAGAAAAAACGAACAACAAAATGGCGGATTGACGTCATGTGAAAACGACGCTTGAAACCCACTTTAGATGGTTCAGAAAATTTTCTCAACGTATCGCACTGAAAGTTACTAGATGGTGGATGCTTGGAGTGACATATACCAGCAGACGAACTTTTCTTGCCCAAAAAAGAAAAACCTGCCGCGACATCCGCAGACGACGTCCTCTGACCGGGCTCACCTAGTTGTGCCTGCCGCCGACAGATGTCAGAAGCGTCGAGCGCGCCACAAGTCTCAGTTAAGAAGAAAGTTAAGGCCACACACTAGGCCACAGAAAGAGATCGGTGGCTAGAGGGAATGCAGACAAAGACGGCTCTGGAAAACTATAGATTAAACAAACCAGTTATTGCCAAAGAAAGCATTTATGACAATTCTAGGGGAAGCTCATTGCTGTTTAAAGCGAGGACGGGTGTTCTGCGAACCAGAACATACAGAGTGAAGTACCAGGAAATTGATACAGTGTGCACTGCTTGTGGAGAGGAGGACGAGACGGCTGAGCACTTGATACTCTACTGTAAAGGGCTTCACCCTATGCCTACCGAAGACAACATAGATTTAATAAAGCCATTGGGTTTTAGAGACAGCGAAGGGAGAGCGGATTTCAAGACTAGAGATTACCAAGCAAAGATTAAGTGAATGGTGGCAGAAATCGAGAGAAAACTAGGTATTTTCTTATTCACTGATGGCAAGGGGGTTTCATAGCCTCACTTTCTTTGCACTGCGGAGTGAATATAGATTTCACATTTAAATATTCTAAGCTTAAATGGTAAAACAAAATGGCTAGTCCAAAGGACTCAGCCATCCATCGATCCATCCATCCGCAAGTGCAGGTAGGCGAGCACTGTCATGACTTCGTCTGCGAATGCCGCGGCAAGCAGTTCGAAACAGGATTTTTCTTTACTTTTCTGAACAAAGTAAGCTCGTCCGTTGATAGTTTCACTCCATGCTTCCACCACCTTGCCGCCCCTCTGTAGCAAATCTCAGCGCGATACGTTGAGAAACCGATATTTCCGGACCATCTAAAAGGGTAAGAAGCGTTGGTGTACATACATGCTGTAGATTCTGCGTTCCGTTTCACATAAATTCATTCATCTTTTCACAAACCCCGAGCGTGTGAAAACCGATCTGAATACTAACTACAGTAATCACGCTAAGCACCAGTTGGGCCTTTTGGGTTCTTGAACGCACATCTTTTATGTGTGCTATGCAGGAGATAAACTTGCCAAGCCCTTTGGGCCCCTAATTTTCGCGGATTTCGCGACTTGTAAATGATTTGCAAACTTTCGTGGGCTTTAAAAGGCGATTTCCAGCCTTTAGCACTCGTGATATTTAATGGTCGCGAATATGACCCCCCTGCCCAATTCGCGAAAATAAAGTTTTAGAATATATATATATATGTGCGAAGTAGTTCCATGTCAGTAAGATGTGCAAAAATTTCGATTAATTCCTGCAAAAACGAGTGACCGCCTTTCTTTTTATTTACTACACGCAACATCCAAATAAAAAAAAAAGAAAAAAAAATCTGGCCATGTCACTGATTGTTTACGATTCAGCCGTTTTATTAACAGAGTTCAGCCGCATAGGCTGAACCGGCATATATTTAGGGAGACCGTGAATAGACATTATTTGGACCCCCTGTCTAATAGTAGAACGTTCAAACGCCCTAAACGTCGGTAATGATAGCTACTTATTAACGAGACCAGGAACTAGTCGGAGACGGCGACGACAGAAGAAGCAAATAAAAGAAGAAAAAAAAACACAAAAACGCTTCCCGAGTTTGGGGTCAGGCTTGAGTTAACTTCCTCCGATGATGCGTGAAGCATTGAGCCGGCCTGGGTCAAGTGCCGTTCCTTTGGCGAGTCGCCCAGAACTCTGACGTGAGTCACGATAGCTCTGGCTCCTGGTTGCAAAGATCTGAGCCAGCCCAGCGCTTTTGAACACCACTCGAGACCAATCGTTCGGCACTTCCATGATCATTTTCTTTTTTTTATCATCACGTACTTAGTTCTTACATTTTATAAAGGAGACTAGATTCTTATTCGCAGCGCGTTATCCGAAGCAATAGAAAAGCTAGATAACTGATGAGACACCTCAACTTTCGCCGAGTTTTGACAACTTTGAGAACGTCGACACGCGAGCTGCTACTAAAAATGAAGCACCTAATTTCTTTCTCCTTATTCATTACGCAAGGGCAAACAGTAATGAAAACAATATGCCGCATTAACTGCACAAAAGATCGATTGATCTAATGCGTTCCACTTCTTGAAAGTTCAAACAAACGAATTCTTGCACAGCTCCGTCCCGGTGCTGTATTCTCCCATTTCATGGGCGTGAACCTTTCGACAAGAAACATATAGTTATTATAACGAACGCAAAACAGGAACACTCGAAAAGCGGAAGCAAGCAACGCGATCGCAGAAACGACAACGAACGGAGAGAGCCACAACGAAAAAAAAACTTACCGAACGTCAACAAACGTGGCAGCCCACACCAGCAGCGGCAGCAGCAGAAGTCGCACTCGCGCACAAGTCGCACTCCACGCCACGATGGCCACTTTTTTCAAACTTTGGTCCTTGCTCGAGATTCTTCAGTCCGTCGTCCCATGGTCGTCACCTGAAGCCCTCCCGAGCTTCGGAATGGAGAATAATGCGAGCCAAAGAAAAAAACAAAAAAACAAAATGCCCCACAAGCGTTCTGTCTGGAGCGTTTCGGGTTGCTTGTGACCGTCCGAAGTCGAGAGGGACTACGCTCTCAACTCCCTGAGCTCCGTTGTTCGGTACCTCCGTGCCTCCGTCGCCGTCGAAACTGGTTTTTGCGCTGGCGCTGTCTTTCTTTTTGTTTTTTCGCGAGTCGCGGGAGATCGTGAGCTGCTTGGCTCTCCGTCGCCGACCGGCGCAGCGTCCCTCAGGGCCCCAGCGACGTTCGAGAGAAAGAACCAAAATTAACTGAAAGGGACGCCAGAATAAAATAATGATACAATCAGCTCGAACATCAAAAGCGCGCCAGATGTCGGACAAGTGCTGCCACCTATTTGTATACGATGCAACCACGGGTAACCGCGCGGCGGGCGCGGCGCGAACGTCGGGCGGTTGGTTGCCTGTTGTTTTTCCCACACTGGCTGGGGGTTGTGGCTTTTTAATCTTTTTTTTTTTATCGGGGTTTGTGGGAGGCGGCTGGCGACTCGCGATTCGTGACGTAGTGTGACGGATTGTGACAGATTACAGGTTTTGTGCAGAGCGGCGAGACTGGCGCTTTTCTTATTATTTTCTGTTCTGTCCGTATCACTTCGGGGTCGTGATACGGATAGATGATATGGATAGTGATCTGGATATGGATGGTGATATGAAACGCGAGCGCGCGCAACCTAACAACGACCGAAGGCTTTGAGCGCGGGCTGGAGCTTCTTGTGAAAATTGGAGTCAAAATTTTATTATGGTGACTTTAATAACCGGAGGAGGAAAATGTTTTACTGCGGCAGAAAAAAAAAGAAAAAAAAAATCTCGAAAACAGACACGTTTTTTTTTTTTTATGTTTGTTATTCCGAACATGTTATTCGTTTGATGTTTGCTAATATGAACATGATATTCGTAAGGTAAAATGTAAAAATACGCAGGCAATGCGGTAAGTTGTTTTTTTTCCTTTCATTTATTTACTAACAGGGCCCGAAAGCATTACAAAGATGAGTTAGGTTGGTTATTAAAAAATACAAGCATACAACGCGAACAAGGCAAAACTACATTCATATCAATGAACATTGCAAGAAATACGTCAATACAAGAATAAACAAAGCAACAAAAAATAATAATAAAAAAAAAACATTAATCTGCCAAAAAAAAATCGAACATCGCTAAGGAACATTATTTACAAAAAAAAAGTAATTGCAGTATTAAAATCAGCATCGTCAGTTATTGAGACTATTGATGCGGGAAGGCGATTCCAACCAATGAATGTCTGCGGAAGAAAAGAAGCATTGAAAATAGGGGTGCTACAATGAGGGATGCCTTCTTTTAGTTGGTGATCTACGCACGATGATATATGTAAGATGGTTCTACAATTACATTAATACAGATGCTTTCATATACAGATGACAGTGACTGTGCGGTGATAGTTTGAAACAACAAAACGAGCAGAACGATTTTGAATTGACTCAAATGCAGATGCAAGGGTGATTTCAGGATCCCAGATAGAGGCCGCATATTCAAGTTTAATACGGTCTAGAATTTTATATAAAAAAAAAAAAATTAGCTTTAACGAAACAGGAGTGGGCAAAACATGCTCTGACAGGCAGAGTATAAAAAAAGGGGGTGACAAAATTACAGGAAGGTCCATCTCTGGATTCTTGGAAAATGCGTCATCATGACCCTTGGGAAACGCCACACACGTCCAGGGGCGGATGCAGGAATTTCCTTAGGGGGGGGGGGGGGGGGGGGGGGAGTCAGGTGTTGGTCAGCGTACCATATGTTTAGGAACCCCCTACCCCTCTCCCTCGTTTCACGCCTAAATTTTACAGATGCAGAAATCAAGAGGGGGTCAGGACATCTGGACCCCCCTTCTGAATCCGCCCCTGCACACGTCCCCCTTCGGGAGACGCTAAAACTGACCCCGTAAGAAGGCCAAAAAGGGGCAGCGAAAAATAGAGGAAACAGAAAAGAAAGTAAAAAGGAAAAAGAGAAGGAGTCAGCATTATTGTTTCCCAAAGAAGGACGTGTATGGCGTTTCCAAGGGTCATGCTGACGCATTCCCAAAGAATTGACCAATGGATCTTTCTGTAATATTTTATTTGCCAAACCCTTCATGGTTATGCTATACCCTGGTGAGTCAGGTAATGATGAGACGGTGCAGAAGGAAACATGATCACCCATATAAGTGACGCTACTTTTTCTTTAAATAAGCACCAACTACTTTCTACTGAACACTCTTCAAAGCATTGCATGTAGTCATCCAGAAAGTTGCTAAGCTCAATATTTATAGCGAAGTCAGCCTTCGCAATGGTCACTCAGACAGGCATGTGTTTTAATGAATAGATAATATCGGGCGATGTTGGTAATATAAAGTCTAACAAAGAAGCTGAAGGTGTAGAAACTCTTGTATAGGTTGCGTTACCACTCGGGACACATTGAAATCGAAACACGCATTAACAAATTCACTGCACTCTGAACAGAAATGACTAACAGAGGTACGCACATGAAACCAATCTATGGAAGTATAGTTGAAATTACCTAACAAAATTATTGGTGCGATAGGAAAACGTACAATGACAACGTCGATCACATCGTGAATCTTTGAGAGAAAAGTGGTGCTTGCAGCGGGGGGGTCGGTAACGCTAAAGTATAAGAGCGTCCTACAAGTAACGTCATTGAAGCGCCGACTGCGTGACGGTGCAGGTTTTAGGAAGCGAATTGCGGCGCACAAAAGAACACTGAAATGAATGACGCAATTTTGATCCAGCGGAATGTGCTGTGTCATTTGTATTTGTTGTCGCTGCTTTTAAAGAGAAGTATCAAGGGACTTTAGGTAACGCGCTTCTAAAACGTATGTTTTTTTTTGTTTTTTTAATTGAAGTTTAACTTACATTAACTAAATCTCAGAGGCGATGTCGATGTGAAATGATTGTATAGTATTTGCCACTGCAATCAACACACCGCCACCGTTCCTTTCCTCCTTGTCGTTACGGTATAGATTAAAACGCGTCTGACAGTCTAAACTTTCACTACTACGTACTTTACTTGACAACCGGGTCTTGGTGAGAAAAATTCACAAAGTCTCTTCTGTTATCCCTAAGACGACTTGACTTCGTAGCAAGCGCCGATCCCTGCGATAGCGAACCTCCCAAGACAGCGCGCTCTCTGAAGATAGACTTCTGGCGCCGTTCATCTCATGGCATGTCGCACGCCCGCTCTTCACCGCTGCCCGAGCGAGAGTGTCCTCCTCTCCCGCTGGGTTTGCGCCGCGCGCGCGCCTCCGCCGATTCTGGCACAAGTAACGCCATCTCGTGGTCCAGTGGCGAATCGTGGGTTTTGGTACCTTTCGTGTCGTCGACGTGTTTTCGCTCAAGGACTTTGAAGGTCGACTGAACGATGAGACATAGAAGGCTTTCGCCTTAATAACAATGTCCGCCCTCGAGGAGTCCACAGCGGACGATAGTTCATTGCGCTTATGCATAATCCGGCAAGCCGCGCTTGCCGGATACCCGCCTCCCTTTGATCACGTGACCCCACTCGCTGTGCGTGGATTTGGGCGGGAGTGTGATCACGTGACGAAACAGGCGTAGGACTTGTGAAACGAGCACATTGCTTCCGCCGCACTGTCAGCCTGAGGGTGAACGGATTATGCCTCCGTGCTATTCATATATTGTGACTATATCTTAATTTTAAACAAGGAAAACTTCCGAATCAGGTGGTACGCAACCACTATGCCCTCTGGAAGCCCTGCTGAGTCAACACAACTTTGTTGGCTGGGCTAAAATTTTAATTCTCGAAAAAAAAAAAGATGATACTAATTAAATGGTGTTTTATATAATCATATGGTAACCGATAAAGCTGCACATCTTTTGTCCAGTCATTTTATGTCTCTCTGGGGCGTAATATTTCTAGGAAGGTTTCTGTGCATAGCAATAAAACGCCGTCTATTTTCTTTTTTCTCCCGTAAACAAGTCGCCAGGGAGTGGAATAGCCTTCCGGAGCAGATCGTGTCCATCGAAGACTGACGTCCCTCGCTCCCTCATTACTATAATGCCCACGCGGCGGTGCAGTAGCATTGTTGAAGAAACAAACAATAAATAAATAATGCTCCATTTCCGACGTACACCGTGGTCCGACCGCAACCGACGACCCGACGAGGGCAATCGCGCAGTACCAAAAAGTGCAACGTCACGACTTTGTGCGTTTGGTGTCCCCGGCTACTCCAGTGACGCGCAGCCCCATAATCTCGCGCTCTCTCTCTCGTTTTTTTTTTTTTTTTTTTTGTGAGTGATTGATTTAGCTCAAAAGTCATCCTGGTGATATCCCACAGTGCCTGGTGATAGTTACTAGGGGGCAAAAATGGGTTAGTAGGGAGGGAGGAATCATATGTTTGTCTTTTTGGACTTGGACTAGGTGGTGCGAGCTACCGCACGTTACAAAGGGTATAGCCATGAACATCCATCCAGTAAACGCGCAAAGATCATGATGTTGCACTTTTGGCGCTGCTAGATTGACTCCGTCGAATCGTAGCGACGGCTGCATCACGTGATTTTCATCCAAATCGAAAAGGGGCAGGGTCGATCCTGCAGGGAGCGTCCTCGGTGGCTGTATGCGCGAGGTTTCGCTCCACGTTCTCGGTAAGGTCCTGAGCCACATCACACGGGCCTGCCCCAACGTACGGGTAACCCTCGAAATCCCCGACTCAACCGTTGAGAGGCGGGAGGCCGCGTTGTCCAGCTCGAACCGAGCGGACCAGCGGCAGGAGTGCAGCGTTTTTATAGCCACAGGGGCCCTGGACCAAGGGCTCTTTCCCTCTCAAGATGAAGCCCACGTGGAGAGCAAGTCGTCTGCTTTTTTTTGCAGGGGTTCCGGTGACGTATAGAACGACACCGATTTCTGATTGGCTTTGATTAAAGGATAGCGGGTAGATCCCAAAGCAAGCTTCCTTGAGGTCTACCCCCTATCCTTCAATCAGAGCCAATCAGAGATCGCCGTTCTGACGTCACCACAACCCCTTGCAACAGAAGCAGACGAACTTGCGCTCCGCCATTGATATGAATGAATAAACGTTATTGATCTCTCTCTCTCGGTAAAGCAGCTTAAATTAGCACGCATGCGTCATTGTTGAAGTACTCCCAAAACAAGACTGTTAAAGGCCAATCTCGTCTACAGCTGGGAGACTCGTCGCCCGTTGAAGCAGACCAAGTTCTAGGCTGTATAAACATTCACACAACCCAATTTTCTTTTCTTTTTTTAATTGCCAACCTCGGCGAATTTTATTTTCAAGACAAACACTATGACAATATGGCAAATGCACGAAACTCTTCCTTTCGTTTAAAGTAAAAAGACAAGGGCCATTATGTCAAAGTTTATGCCCCCCCCCCCCCCCCCTGTAATTTGTATTATTCCATGCCACTACTATTGGCGCGATGTATACACATTGACATCACTGATTCCCACAATCAACTCGCCGCCTTAAATTACCATTCACTCACAGTCACATAAATCAGGATCACGACAGCAGCCTTACTCGCAGTTCAACAAAATAAATAGAAGCGTGTTCTTTTTTTTTTTTTTTTTTTTTGAGTATCGCCGCCTGGTGGAATTTTTCTCACAACCCAGAGTGAGGATACTTCACCTTCCTCTGCTGGTGCAAGCACCTGCCATGCCAAGCTTCTGCGCTCTATGAAAATGAAAACCTAACCATAAAGGTACCACGTGCACTACCCATATAGTGAGGACTACAGAAGCGTCTCTAGCGAGCTTCTCACCGCAAATACACTATCACGCTGTCTACCAATAAGCGCGCGTTTGTTCACACCAGGTGGGGGTGCTGCGCGTGGGCAGAAATCGGATTCGCGTGAGATCTGCGCATGCGCAATGGCGACAGCAGCACCACCGCAGTGGTGCGACGTCAAAGGGTTGAGTTGGTGTGCACTTCTTGTCAGTCAGAGCGTAGCCGACGAGCAAATAACACCGACCAAGCAACGTTAAAAGAGCTCTGTCACGGCGTTCGTCTCCTTTCTGCGAGTGTTCCTTTCCCTGGCCGCTCAACCATTCAAGCGCAGATACTGCACCGTGACCTTGCATTTTCAGCCTGCAGGTCTGTGCTTGCGTTGTCTTCTAGTATTTGGCAAACAAAGTCCTACTATAGCGAGGCAGTGGTTGAGTAGCCCTCGCAGGGGTACCTTGACACGCAACCCCGCGGACGACGTGAGCTGCAAGAGCCGATTAGACCTTTTTTCTTTGCGGTCTCAACAAGCTGCAATGATCTTTTGATTTGTCAAAGAGAGGAAAGAATGAGACCGACACTTCGTGTTTCAGCCCTATGGTTTGGATTAAAGCTTCTTAAAATGCTGGCAGGTACGTTCGCCAAACAACCACGTCCGCGATGAAGTACGCTCACAGCTCCTCATTATGCTAGAAATTGCGAAAGTCTAACCCTGAACAACACACAATGTCCTGCAGACGTCTTGAGGACGTTGTAACGTCTCACAGATGTCCTGCAGACGTCCCGAGGACGTTGTAACGTCTAACAGATGTCCTATGGGCATCCCTAGAGGACCACATATGGCGTCTGGAATGGGTGAGACTTTGATATGCGTGAATCGGAGTCTCCGATGCGGAGCGATTGGGGTTGGAGCTGCATAATGCGCTCAGACGTTCGCTTCCCCGAAGTGGTTCGCCTTGTATCTAGTGGCACCAGGAGTGCTGACACTTCGTCGGATATTGGGGCCTTCGGTCCGAGCCTCTTCCATGGACAGCACCGATCTTAGCTGGGGTCGTTCGGGTCGGTTTTTCCCCCTGGACGTTGTTCGTTGCGCGGCTGAGCGGGAGGACTTGCTGGAAGACCTCCGGCTTTGATTATCGCGCCGGGCAGAGTTTGTCCTCTGGACCAGGACAGTCGCTATGTCGTAAGGGCCGAGTGGTCGGGAACTTGTACTTATCGAGTCTTGCTCTGCAAAAAGGGGAAAAAAAAAAGATATAGGCAGCGATTTTTATTTTTGGAGTGCCATTTATTTAATATTTATTTATGTACTGGATACTGCAACCTCTTTGAGGTCTTAGCAAGGTAAACATCTTGGTGAAAAAAAAGAAAAAAAAAAAAAACAGACTTCACGAAATGATAACAGGGAAAAGGGACATACATGCGTGAAATACACCATTTAAGGAGCCATGGAATTTAAATTTGTTTGGATGGAATCGAACAGTTGTTTTAGGAAGTGAGGAATCATCTATATTGTATCAAATTTAGCGGAGAAACTGATTTGGTGCATGCCTAACGTGACGGCAACTTCCCCCTCCAAATTTAGCGGGGAAACGGAATTTGAGTATATGTCCGTGACGTCAAATTTCCTACTAAATTTAGAGTTTATAAGGTGGCGTGACATCAATTTCTCCGCCAAATTTAGGGGGGAAACTTAATTGGTGCAAAACAAATAATTCACCGCGCTTTTTCTTTTTCTTTGTCGCATTAGCGACGTCGCAACTTCGAAATCGAAAGTGAAATCGCACCATGTGCATCAGGCTTTAGTAGATCATCCCTCTACCTCGTCCGACACGGTACAAGGGCCCCTCCGGTATACGAACTGCGCATGCGCCAACACAGAAGACTCGCACATGCACAGTTTGTACCCGAGGGCCCATTGTACCGTTATTGATGTCCCAATCGCTTCCCTAAAACTCCCTAACGATACCCGATTACGATACGATGCATGCGTAAAGCTCACGGCGGAGTACCGTTCTCGGAGTCATCGAAACGATCCACAAAAACTCCCGATTATCGGTGTCCGATACCTTCAGGGAAAGGAAACGGATACACGAGGGCCTCGACCGAAGACCTCCTACGTAACAAGGCCGCAATGTTTGATTTGTAAGCGTCACATATGGGAGGCCAGCAGGGGGAACGCACAGAGGCTGGACACCAGTGCTGCGTCAGCGTACGGCTGGCACTCGTGTTCAACCGGGGAGGATGGGGATTCCAGCCGAAAGTCGACGCAGCACTCGGTGCACATTCTGCGCTCCACACCCCCTCCCTGGCCTCTGGTAGGTGACGTCATAAATCAAGCAGTGCGGCCTTGTTGCCTAGGGTGATGTTGCTCGATCGCTGTGCGACAAGAGCAGGGAGTATAGTGAGGACAAGGTCGGCTCGCTCAACATGAAGCTAAAGCATGGCACTGTAGCACGTTAAAATGGCGTCTCATGTGCATGTTCGTGGGGCTTTGGGGAAGGGACGAAGATCGTTTTAAAAGAAGCCATCTGCAGAAAGCCTGTTTTTTAAATGTAATTCATTGGCGCTAAGAAAATTAGGCTTACATAACGGCCTGCAAGGCTGAGCAGAGAGGTTTGCAACCGCTTTGTTCAGCTTCACCAAGTTTTTACTTTGATCGACCAGTAACCACGGGCCGGGAGATTTCCTGCATGCCATCGATTCGCTTTTGAGTATCTCCTTTACAACCATGAGACTTCGTATGAGCGCCCGTATTGGTCGAGTGAAGAACGATAAATAGTACGCGCCTGGAACATGTCATGAAAGTAGCGCAATCGTGAGAAATCAATTTTTTTACGATTTTTTTTTTAATTTTGCAGTTTGTTTTTTGTGCAATCGTCAACCTGCATCATGACGGACTCGTTGAGGCTATTCGGCATTCTTAACTTTTGAGTGACGGTTGGTCAAATTCAGAAGTTGGGAAAGAGGTACTAGCTTCTGCAAGCACACCGGTAGTAATGAGACGGTATAATACCCCACTTACGCCTTGAGGCGTTGTCCTCTGCAGTCTCTAGCATGTGTTTCAGTGCAGACTGCAGGTCCATCTTCCTGGTACCTTGCCTAAGGCCTCTCTTGATCAGCGTGGACGCTTCCACTTTTTTAACAGATTTCTGCCGGGCGTTGTCCCCCTGCGTCGGTCTCTCCAGATTGAAAGTATCGACGACTTGATCGTCTTGTAACGGTTTTTCGTGCGGCTTCAGCATCCGCTTCAACATGTCCACGCTGTCTTGGTCTTCTAACCGCTTCTTGTAAGGCTCCAGGAGCAACGTGGCCGCCAAGACGTGCGACAGAGTCTGGAACCTGTGAGTGAGCATCCCGCACAACTGCAGGGTGAGGATGAGCGCGAAGAAGACCAGAAACACCAGGCCGATGGGCTCCAGGCGTTGCGCCTGGTGTTCCACCGTGACGTGCCCGGTCACGTGGAAGTATCGGACGACGTAGGTTTCGCCTATGGGCCAATTGATGTACAGCCTGTTCTTGTGGTACTGGAGCAGGAGGATGGTTAAGACGTAGAGCGCGTTGCAGAGAAGCATGGTGGAGACAGTCCGGTTGCGGAGGGACTTTAGTCCCTCTTCGACTCTCTTCTTCTCTGCCTCACTGCCGGTGTCTTCGGGCTTCAGGTACTGGTTAATGAGTTGCTTCCAGAACTCTGTTTCTCTGTTGCCCATGGAGTACTGTGGGGCGTTTTTGAAGACTGCGTCGGAGCACCAGTGCGTTGGGTCCTGTGGATTCGGCGTTGTGGGATCGATGTCCGCAGGGTCTGCGTCGTAGCAAAGACAAACTGTTAGCGCGTTTTCAGTGTTTCAAGATCATATCACCCGTATAGGAAGTATTCACTGGCGGCCATATCCGTGTGCGCTGCTGCTGAGCGCGTGCTGACGGCTAGCTTCCGCAGTCCTTTTGGAGCGTGGATTTAGCACCATCAAGGTTGCCGGTCTTAGCAGACTATTAATGTGAGCTCGTTCTGAGCATGCGCTCTAAACAGCACCCACAAATATGGCGTCCAGTGAATACCTCCTATATATATATCTAAAGGGAACTCAGTGTCTTTAAAAAAAATCACAATAATTAAAAAAAAAAGATAAAAGAAGGCGTGAAAGCTACGCTTATGCGGTTAGTCCAGGTGAGCTATACGTCCAGGGGGACATAGTATATGGGGCTAAGCACAGCAATCAGTTGGCAAATTAAATGAAATTAATTAAATAATAGATTAATTAGCGAAAATGAACATTTGGTTCCAATTACAAATTTTTTGGGCGTCGTCGAAAACCAATAAATCAATCATTTTTAGAAACATTTTGAGCGTGTGGGAAGCATAGTAATGCCCTTAAGGTAGCACTGGTGCAACATGTACAAAACGTGCTATGATAAGAGACAAAAAATCGCGCTGGCACCTTATCACACCGGTAGCCCCGCTCGTGCTGCACGTGAGGTTACTTTAGCGCAGTAGTGCGCTCTTCACGCGCTCAAAGACATTCTGAAAAATGACTGACTTAGTGGCTTTCGATGACGCTCCGCAAGTTTTTAATTAAAACTATAAGTATATTCTCACTAATTAAAAAGTTTCCATGAGTAGCCGACTGATCGTTACGATGAGCCCCCTTGTACTATGTCCCGGCCCCTGGCCGTATCCCCTATAAAAATGATTTTTGATTCTTTATTGAAAACGTGTTGGCTCCTTGTTGACTCTGATTACTTTCTTTTGATATTGACTGCCTGCTGACACGGTCAACAGAAAGTTTGTTGATTTTCTGTTGAAATTGTTCTCATGATTTTATTCAACCTGAGTCAAAAGAAAATCTGTTGGCATTTAATTAACTTCACGTTGATTTGTTTCTGCTGACTTCTTGTTCACAGTGTCATCAGAACGACTGCAGACGTTCTGTTTACTTCGTGTTGAAAATATTCAGTTGACTCTCTGGAGCCACTGTCAATAGAAGAGATGCACACTTTCTGTTGACTTTTTATTGACTTTAGACATCTTGGCTAGATGTCAAAAGTCAGCAAGTTTCTCAATAGTCTCTGACCAGGTGAGAAGGGTAGGGAGGACCTTCAGTTGTTTTGCCTCAAGCGCGAGTCTTCTACCCTTGACATCTCTTCGGCGTCTTGCGCACCTCGAGCGCGCGCGCGCAGTCAAAGCACGACGGAAGGCATAGGGCACGTGTTGGAGGCCAGGCGTTCAAAACACACGCCCTGCCGTTCTCTTTGTAAGTTACTATAGTGACTTTATTGACCTTATTAAACTTATCCACTAGTAAAAAAAAAGCGAAAGAACTATTTTAAAGTGGAGCAACTGCCCTGACTCGCTTAGTCCTCAGCGGTGATCTCCAGAGAAGCGACAGCATTTATTCTTGGAGCCATTTTCTTGTGGATGTTGTTTTAGCGACTTCGGCGAATTATTGTCAATTGTACCAATGCTTTTTAATAAGAGATGGAGTCCACGAACTTCGAAACACTGTTTTCCCTTTGACAGACTCCTGATAAGGAGATCGGATATTTCGGACTTTAATAAGTGCTGAGGAAGTCACCGGCCAAATGATTACCTTCAAAATGTAGGCTACCTAAGGCTCTGGAGGAGTCAGCGGAACTGATTCAGGTGTTGAGTGCTTCATGGTGTTTGTTTTTTGTGTTTGTTTCTAATGTGTATTTGCGGGATGTATGTAGTGCGTTCAAATACGACAGGGACACAATTTTCTAACAAAATTTATAATGTAAAAAAAAATCGCGTGTATTTTTTACGTTATTTTACGGCAGCCAATTTGGAGCAGAGTGGAAATCCCTAGTAAGCCTCCAAAAATTGTTGAATCAATAGCTAAGGTGTAAAGCATTTTTCCTTCCTTTTAAAGGGCTGTAGTTTTTCAATTGAAAATCTGCAGATTTTCAGGTGAAAAGCTACAGATATCTTGGTATCTTGAAGTATCTTGGGTATCTTGAAGCCTACAAAAAGTCTGTTGACTTTTTTTTTATTAAAAAGTGGGCCAATATGAATAAAAAGTAAACTGAAAAGCTAGAGAAAGTCTGATGAAAAGCTATAGACATTTTATATCCCCTCATGACTTTTTTCAACAACCTTTCAACAGAAAGACACCAGATTTTTATTTTTTTGTAAGGGATAACTCACCGGGGCAAACCGCATAACTAGATTTCACGTTTTTTTAAATGAATGTCACTATATATATACATATATATATATATATATATATATATATATATATATATATACAACGGGCATGGTGGCGGAGGGGCCGAAGGCGTGGGTACAGAAGACGAAAAGAACCCTTGGTGAAAACAGCAACAACGGACGATTTAATCTTCGACGTTTCGGCCGGAGTCCGGCCTTCGTCAGGAAGCCTTCTGACGAAAGCCGGACTCCGGCCGAAACGTCGAAGATTAAATCGTCCGTTGTTGCTGTTTTCACCAAGGGTTCTTTTCGTCTTATATATATATATATATATATATATATATATATATATATATATATATATATATATATATATATATATATATATATATATATATATATATATATATATATATATATATATATATATATATATATATATATATATATATGTATATATATATATATATAGATGACATCTTCAAGTTGTGGGGAGCCGAGGCGTTCGCATATAAGTAAAAAAGCCACCGAGGTTCAAACAAACTTGGATAGTTTAATCGGACGTTTCGGAGGGGGACCCCCTTTCTTCAAGCGTGACATAAAAGTGAATAGGGTTACATGATGGCCGAGATTCTCACTCGGAGAGGGAGAGGAGAAAGCAGTAGATGAGAGGGGACGACAGAAGGCACAACATAACAACACAAATGCCCCCAAAAGTGACTGCAACAGCAATTATATTTGAAGTTAAGATTTACGACAGGCGGAACACAACGGTGTGCCCAGCCCCGAAAGACCTCCCCGATGACGGAACTGCGATGGCAGGGCCCCAAGGGCAAGAAGCCATGCACACGCGGCCGGCAGAGCGAGGCATCTAGGGTCGACACCCGCCCGCCCCGCCACAGGCGAGTCCCGCACACTTGTTCCCATGCCCATCCGACACCGGACCAGAAGCGCCAAAGGGCGCCGCTCACAATACATCTGCTAGACAAAGAGCGAGAGGGGGGCAGAGAGAGGGAGGATCGGAAGAGGCGACAATTTGGCCGTTCACACGAGCTGTGGACAACTCGGTCTCCCCGGGCTCTCATTAATGCCACACTTGACCGCGTCAAGTTTGTATATGAGATGGGCTTTCTTGAGCTCCCGTTCTAGGTTTGATCTAAAGCCGGATTGAAGTAGAATGACAGCGAGTTTGTCGAATGAGTGGTCAGTTTGTGCCAAGTGTTTAGAGAGTGGAAGACGGGGTAATTTGGTCGAATGGGGTCGGTGGTTGTTAAATCTTTTGTTGAAGGCTGTCATGGTTTGTCCCACATACTGCATCTGACACACCCGACACTCAAGGAGGTAGACAACGTGGGGAGCGCAGCACGTAAGGTCCCCGTCGATCCTCATGGTGAAATTTGATTTCGTGCTTCTGGCAGTATCGGTTGTGACGATGTGGGCGCGCACCTTGCACCCAGGCTTCCCGCAAGGTCTGCAAGGTCTGCATCCCCTCGGGATGCAGACCTTGCAGACTTCTCGTCACGTGTACAAGTTTTGTTTATGAGTTGTAGATACAACGATATCATCATGTGCGCGAATCAAGAACTTCGGTTTACCTTGATTAGCGTTATGCGGGGGCAAGGAGTCGGCCTCGTCCACGGGTGATTCCTCCTCATCTTGCTCGTCTACAGGTGGCATTCGCCTTCCGGGCCACCTCTGCAAACTGCTCGCCGGGTAGTCGCGCTGGCTGCGCCTCCTGAACGAGCCTCCCGGACTCTCCTTCTTCGGCGAGGTGCACCAGAAGCAGGTGACGATGTTTCCCAGGCTGCAGGTGGTGACAGAATCGATGGCAGCTGCCATCTGGGACGTGCCCTGTACCTTCTGGTCGGTCGCCGCAGTCTCGGTCTGCGTTCCTTCTCGCGTGCCCCACGAGACGACGTTAAGGTTGACGATCGAGTAGAGGATGAGGAGGAGGTACATGGAAGGTACCAGGACGAAGTAGAGGAGGCCGTGGATGATGCAACCGAACTCTCGTGGATGGAACAAGGCGGCCAGGAGGAAGCTACACACCGTGGCCACGAGGAAGATGGAGGAGGGGGAGGCTATGCCGTCCTCTTGGATCTGGAGCGCTATGCCTACCACGACGGCCGTCATGAGGAGTGCGTACGCCGCCGATAGGATTTGGGCCACGAAGATCTGCGACAGAAAGAGATAGACATGGATGTCGGCGAGCTGTCATTTGCTCGAAGATGTTCAATCTAATCCTATGACTTGGAAGGAAGGTTCCTGAAAGCATTTGTGTGGCTGCCGACGGATCGCTGCCGCTATTGAAACTTCCAGTAGGCTCCTTTTCAAATTCTTTCTATCAACTTCGATCAACTTCATGTGCTGTGGTGATTGTGTTTGTGGTAAAGTGATCATAGTGTCGAAGTTTGGGCTATTTTTTCTGTCCATGAACATGAACATATGGGAACTTCAATTATTTCTTTGAAAATTATATCGACCTTGTCCTGACGGTTATTAGAGTGTTTGGGGGGGGGGGGGGGGGGGTTGTTAGATCGTATACAACCAAACAAAGAGTAAAAAAAAACTCACACAACTCTATGTTTGAACTTACGCAGTCAAATCACCGGTGATGTGATTAACTGCGCCATAGCTGCTACATTTAAGCAGATAGTGAGGAATTTGCGCCAACATTGCGCCAAAACGTAATTTCATTTTAATAATACTGCACATATAAATAGCTCAGGCCTCGCTACCCGGCCGAATCGCTACGAAATGCTTATGCGAGTTTTAAGAGCTTTTGATTATCGCCTCAATTAACGTACTATTCGATTGCAGTTCGTACGAAGACTCACAGCACACCTGAGTTAAGCAATAACTCTCATGTTCGTGGTCTGTACTGGAGGGGTTACTTAGTTTCGCTGAGTGCGCTTCTTGCACTGGTATACTGCAGAGAAATGGCAACCGCGGAGTAGGCATCGCGATCTTGCGTGTCTTGTTTCGCCACAGAGCACCCGCATGCTAAGGTGAAAGCACACCTCCAGAGCGAGACGCGACACAATTTCTGAATAAAACTTCGGAATGTATATATGATTGACTGCAATATCCTGGTGCTACCTTTTTCTAATTTGAGATTTAGCAAGGACACTTCGGTATTGCAAGAAGGTTTATATGCACTCTTTTTTGTAGGTTTATTTTTTAATGCCAACTATTTTCTCTAGTTTTCACTTTTATATGGGTGTGCGTAAATGAGAACTAAATTGGCAGGAGCAATGGAAGACATATTAACCTTTCGCATGCCAATTTTAGTTATGAAGTACTAAATATAGTCGATGTTCATAATCAAGTGACAATTGCTTTTTTTTAATCTGAATTATAAATTGCAGTAACTTGCACCTCTAGAACTTGAAGGAAACATTAATTTAGATGCTTTTATTAATATTATTACTATTATTCTTATTGTATGCTAAAATATTTTTTTCAGTGGGATTCAGTATTTCAAATAACCATTCACAGCCACTCGTGCTGTTCTTCATCAGTCATCTTGTTACCGTGTCTGATGCTTTCCCACGGAATTAAACGCCAGTTCTTTTTTTGAGGGAATCGCTCCTGCTGTGCAATTGATGCTAAAAATGGGTTGCACGCAAGTGAGAGGGCAAAGTGAAAATTGCCTTTTTGGTTGGACATAATATTTGTAGTGGTATGAATGAAAATGCAGTGTGCGCGCTCGTTCTCCAAAAAAGTTATTTTTGCTGCCCCAAAATTAACATTTGGCTGCTCCAAGAGCTGCTCCAAAATAACTAAATCACAAGCAGAAAATTGACAAAAACGAAGAAAAAAAAAAACAAGACAAAACGAGCAATGAATATTTTGGTTTTCTTAAAAAAGTGTTGCAACAATAAATTTTGCCAAAGTTTCTGTTATATGCATCGTACACGCGAACTCGGAAAACAGGGCAAACAACACTAGCTTTCGAGACTTGTCATTCCTTTCTTCCGAAGAGATTGGTGGTCCTTCACTGCGTACAATGAGGCTTATTGAATTGCCAATGATTGTACACACAGTCAACCTAGACTGTTTTTTTTCTCTCTTTATTATATGCGGACATTCTGGTTCTCGGAGTTTATTGTGCACTGTTTGGTGTTCATCAGCGGTTATCCTGTACTCTGTTTCATTTGCGCTCTAGGAATTGACAAAAGCAAGAAAAGAACTTTCAGCCTTTTCACTCTTGTGAAGAAGGAAGACCAGCGGATCTGTACAATGGACAGTAATGGCCGGCCTCAAGTCGGCAAGACAGAGTGGAAAGGCTGCCGCCATCTATGAGCGACGGAGGCAACCAGATACGTGGCTTACCGCCGTCGCTCATAGATGGCGGTAGGTGTCCAGAGTTCGGTGTCTTCATTTCTTTTCGGGGGACACGATTCTGGGGAAACATAGCCCTTAAGAGCTCCGCTGTAAAAGCCATTAGGAAATTATGTATTTTCGAGCATATTCTGCAAAATGCTTATTCTCCAGACTGTGTGTTTCATAATCACTACAGAGGTGTAGTAATTAAACAAGTAACCTCAGAATGTCTCACCTAGAGTTTTAGGCCGCAAGACGTCGACGACAAAACTCTCTTTGACTGTCCTGAAGCCGCGGCAACACAGCAAAGACATCATACGAAGGACAGTTTGCAGACACCATTCTTTGCAGGACGGTTACGTCACATTGGTTGCACAAAAACTGTCCTGCTCTTTACCTGTACTTTCTGGGAACAGGTGAAACAGACGATGGTGAAGCCCATCACGGGCACGATGTTGTAGAGGAGAGCCGTAACGTTGCTCACGCGGAAGCAGCTCACGAAGGAGCCCAGAAGCATCAGAAAGATGGTACCGGGCCCCAGGATGGTCCCGATCATGAGCATGGTCTGGTAAGTCATGTACAACATGGAGATGCCCTGGTTCTTGTTGGCTATCTGCTTGGCGTCCATCAAGAGGTCCAGAATGTTGGCCATGGTCGACGGGGTCCATCGACGTCGCTGCGTGAAGAACTCCTCGAAGGACTCGGGGCAACGGGTGTAGGCGTCCGACGCGGCCGAGTACTCCACTTGGTAGCCTTGCTTGAGGAGCAGCGTGCAGAGCCAGCGGTCTTCGCCTGTGGCGACGGTCATCGTTAGTCATTGTCAACGGTACTTTAGTTGAATTATACTTCTAGTTTTTTTTTTTTCAAGTTGACTTCATACGCGGGCAGCGGAAACACCCGTTCCGGCCTCTTCCTACGTATGTGGTCCCTCCAAGATACTATTATCTTTTAATCTGTCAAACAGTTCGAAGTATAAGGCCTCAACTTTCCATTGCATTTCTAGTTCGGATCACACCTGACAGGTACGCGAAAGCATCTCGAAGGACTGTTTCAGCTCGTTTTGCACGTGATGGTACGTACCGTGGTAGATTACGATTTTGGATTTTGCTTTCGCCACGCGAAGGCAGGAAGAATACTGATGTTGCTCACTGCGTTCGCTTTTTTAGTGTAGAGGACTTTCGGAGAGTCAGTGTTGACTGATTCATGCTTCAACCATGGCGTTGAAGGGTCGTTGGAAAATCAGTGGTCTATTCTGGTTGTCTTACTATCTAGCGGTTTGTTAACATGGAGCTCAACATGTTGCTTCCTAGGACTCGCTTATACATTTTTTTTTGTAGATTTCGGTATTGCTCTGATCGGCTATGAGATAACTTCGTAAAACAAGTGCCTCACTTTTTTTTTTTTTTTGCAACCGAAGGATTTAATTTTTAGGTCCTCCCGCAGACTCCTGATTGCTTGAACGGAAGTGGCTTATATAAGTCTTGTTTGTCCACACTTTCCTAGATGAGTATGATTTCGCTACACCTCATATGCATGGGTGTGAATCCTACACCACCACTCGGTGGACACTTTGTGCATCGGTGTACACCGGTGATAATACTTCGAACACGTTTAGTGGTTTTGGTAGGACTACAGTTAACCTCTATTGATCCTCCTAAAACAGAAGACAACAACGCCGGATTTCGTAGCATGGAGCTCCAGAAGTATCTAGGTGCTTCCACGTCGGATCGTACAATGATAGTCCGTGTCATATTTTTTATGTTCGTGTAAACTGCAGGCGTGGAGATTGCCAAGGGTTCGATATGGTACTTTGCACAGTCGTCAATATCACACCGAATCATGCACGTGGTCCTATTTTTTCATATTATTTTATGAAACGTTTACCTCGTGTATACAAAATATTATACAAAATACCGCTGTACAGCCTTCATCAGTCCTTGAAAATCTCTCTTTGGAGTCAACGTCGTGCGGCAAAGCCACTGTAATGGAGGCAAGCTAGCTCAATTTGAGTGAAGATTTGTTGTTTTTTCTCTTAAGGAGGTCATACGTTACTCAATGAGCTGCGTTTCTGCATTGATAACAGAACTGCAATTATGGCTAATCATATTTTCTTATATATTTGTGAAATGGATTTAAAGGTGATCATTTGGACATATTTTGCGTTGTTTTCTATGAAGTAGTTCGTTGGTAAATATTTTTGTGAATGTGTCTCTAAAATGTGCTTATTTAATGTCTTTCGTAAACGTTTTTGCATAAAATTTGTTATTACAATTTTTACTATTCTTTATAGATGTTGTAAACATTTTATAACATTCATTGAAAAATATATTATTACTACTTGCTTGCTTCGGTGTGAAATTGACGGCAATGCGAAGTTCCATAGCGAAACCTTGGCAATCTTCACGCCTCGAGCTTCGAAATTGTGTCTCCGGAAGAAACTTAGCTACGGCGTTCGCATATAGAACATGGCTTTAACATATATTTTTTTTTGCATAGATATAGAACATGTGACCCGGACCATCATTGCACGATCTGACGTGGAAACACCCAGCAGCAATCTGTAAGGAGGAAGCCGGCTCGTTGTGCGCGCCTTATCTCGCGTCTCGCCAAACTTGATTCCCAAAACACACACACGTTGCCACGGCCGCCTCTTCGTGAGGATGCCAGTAGTAGTCGAGTGTTCGACAATCGCGCGTTCATCTTCATACCGATCGCGAGTCTTGAGTGTCCACGGCAAGCCTGATAAAGCAGTGGCATATAGATGCCACCTGAAGGGACGTCTCAAGTTTGAAAACGGTGCGTCTTTACAGTTTTCCGTTATTCTTTCCTCATATCAAATCTGCGTCGCTGTGATTGCTACGGCGTTTAGTATTCGGAACCTTCTTCTATCATACCACAGTGTACGCCTACACCTAGGAGACAATGAAGACTGGCCGGGCCTTTTGAGAGCGATGTTTGCAGGGCAAGCGTGGACAGAAACAACGCCCCTGCGTTGCCTTCGTATACAGGTGTGGTGTCTGGAACGCGTCTCACCTACTGGGGCGTTTAGCGCGCGCCTTACAAAAGATCTCTTGATTTCCGCCTGATGACGTTATAGAAGTTTCATGATGTCGGCGACCGTGATTCTAACCGTACCACAGCAGCGGTGCCTGATGTAGCAGACGCCTGTTCTAGTGTAGGTTGCTCTTCAGCTTGAATGTCCTTGGAAGCCTTAGCAGCCAGAAGTTGAGACTCCTCGACGACAACGACACTCGTGTTCGCTCGCTCTTTTTTGCCGGGGCTTCTAGCGCCAACCGCCAGGATCGTGACATCCGACAGCGTGACACTGCGGCGTTTGTGACGTCATTTGTTGACACTTCGGGACCACTTTCGATGTACGGGTGGGATAAGACGCTAAACACACCAGTCCAAGACGCATTTTCTAGACACCGTAGTATACAAGGACGGCCTGCACGGACAACTACTACCTCCAGAAAATGGGAAGACGACAGAGTCTAGAGCCTTAGCGGTCAGGTGACGGAAACAGTGCAGCACAGGAGTCGTGAGACGCTGTGAAATAGGCTGGCCATCGGGGGTGAGATAAGTGATTTGGTGTTTCCACGGGGCTCAATGAAAAAAAATGCCCGAAAACCTTCGAGGCACTGCTAGAGTTTCTCAGGGACACGGGACTTCCTAATCGACTGTAGCCCGAAACTTACCCCAGGTTCAGCAGAACCCTAGGATGACCCAGAAATAGACCTTGTCAGGGCTCATCTCCTGCCAACGCTAGCACTACAGGCTAGCTAACCTAAGGGGCGTTAAAGCCAACACCACCACCACCATCAACAAGACGGACACCGCGACTGTGACTTTTACCTTGGTCGTATTGCACGAAGTGGCGTGCTTCTTCGGACTTGGTCGTGTACGTCCGCATGACGTTGTCGGCCATGATGGCTTCTCCCCTGAAGAGCGAGAAGCAGCCAGGGCTGCAGAGGACGCAGCCGAGGACGTGCTCCGTGGCTTTCTGGAGCCAGTGACCCACGGCGTATTCGAACTTCTGGTACCAGACCATGGCTCCTGCGACGCAAGCCAGCGGTGACGTTGCGAGAATGTTTTTAGCTCTTCTTATTTCTTAAAAGATAGAGCAGGAACATAGAGAATTTACAGCATCAACAAGATCACTGGATGGCACGTACCTTAACTCGAAAGGTTAAAAAAATAGGCGAACTGCAACAAAGCTATAAAAATAAAGAAGCGTTCAAGAGCGTTCCGGTTCCGACGTTTCGGAATTCAGCCCATTCTTTAAACCCGGATAGTCCTGGAACAGCAGCAGCTTTCCTACGTTACTGCTGTTCCGGGATGATGATAATTTTTTGATCCTGAACAAGAACGAAGTTGGATCCGAAATATTGGGAAGCCAATTCAGGGCTTAGGGTTCGCTGTTTTTTCACCTTTAGCTTTAACCCAATCAGCCAGATTTCTTTTGACACCGTTTGCATTCAAGAACGGAGACCAGTTTTACGCTACGTCAGGTATAGTGTATTTCGCAATCAGCTCGCTTTTAATTCAGGCCTTACGCACGCGTGAGAATGGCCGAGTTATTGCTTTATGATCGTGAGATGAAGGTGACATATTGGCCCTAAAATGTCGTTCAACCGATCTTCAGTCTTCCTATTTCTTCAGTGCTTAGGTGGCGGGTTCGAATCCCGACCGAGGTGCCCGCAATCCGACGTGTAACGGAGATTTCGGCTGCGCTTCGGAACATCCCCAGGTGGTCAAAATTCGTCCTCATTCCTTCGCTGGGGCGTGCCAGATACCCTTCATCTATTTGGCACACAACCCCCCCCCCCCCCCCCCCCCCCCCCCCAAATTTGACTTTTCTTTCTTCTTCAACAGTCAACCTATGAGTTTAAGAGCTATCAGTCAGTGTTGTAGGCGTCACCGAAATAACAGTAACAAAATAGCCATAGTGGAAAAAAAAAAAAGAACAACCTTGAGGCTAGGAACAGAAAAGGGGGACAAACACAACACTGTCTCAAAACTCAGAGTTTTCTGAGTTTTGAGACGGCGTTGTGTCTGTCCTCATTTTTTGTTCCTAGTCTCAAGGTTTTCTTTGCTATGATCGTTGACCAGCTCGCCTCTGCAGTAACCCCTATTTCAACGAAATAGGTTACTCATTACTTGCAAATAGAAGGAACACGTTGCCGACCTACGTCAGCTTAAAATTAAAGAAACTCATTACCGTTATCGATGAAAAGTGACGCGCATTACTTTTACGTTACTGTTACTTGCGTTACCTGCCATTGATGGCGACAGTGTTGTCGACACTGAGACAAAGCTCGTGGGCGTTGGGGTGTTTATAACATGGAAGTGTTTGCGCGGTAAAAAGGAGACCACGAAATTTAAAGGTTTGTGGGATAACAGCAAGGATTCGATCATCACTTGAAAAAAAAATATGAAGTGTAATGTTTTTAAAGTTTCCGTTGGAAAGAAGATGTAATTAGTAACGTCTATAGCTACGTTACCTTTTACTCGATATAACCAACGCAAGTACGTTATAGATTTGCTGCCTTGAAAATGTATCGAGTACGTGCATCGCATCAGGATTAAATATTAGAAAGTTTTAGTAGATCGTTCCGGTACATCAGATACCCCCGATAACGATACCCTTTAACGATACGATGCATTCCCAAAGGCGGCGGCGGAGTATAGGGTATCGTTGCCGGAGTCATCGGAGCGGTCCCCGAAAACTCTCCATTGTTATAGGAAACATCGGAGCGGTCTACTAAAAGTCCCTGTTTCGTAGAGAGTTTAAGAGAACCGTTTTTGCACATTCGCATGCGCATGCGCATGCGCATGCACACGCGCTACAGCAGGAGGCTCGCACATGTGCAGTTCGTATACCGTTTCGAATGTGCAAAGACGGTTCCCTAAAACTCTCTAATGACAATTATCTGCGCACGTTGGAAGGCGTTATGCGTGTTTAGAACACGTCTAAAAACGGTTTTTGTTCTACCGGTTTTGTCTGAACCGTCCTGCATGGAAGAGACACGCTTCGGATAGCCTGAAGACTCTCGTTTGTGTTACGTATACGTCGGTGGGACCGTGGCCTGAAGGGCAACTGCGGCCAATATTTTCGGACTTGGGATTACGACTGTTTTTAGCTCAGTCAGTGTACCTGAGGCCTACTCGGGTAGTAATTAAAATACTGTAATTGAATTACTGTAATTTTATCACATTTCTTGGTAATTTGTAATTGTACTTAATTACTAAACGGAATTGTAAATGTAATTGAATTACTTTCTGGCGTCAGTAATTGCAATATGTCAGACACAGTGACAATTACTTTTGCGAAACTTTGCGGCGCCGACGGAACCTCTCTGAAAGCCTCAACGCCCGCACAAGCAGCCTAGCTCTGGTGAAACACTCACACACAGACACAACTTTAAATGGCGTCGCATTGTTTGCTGTTTTGTTGCTTACACTGCGGGCTGAGAGACGATCCTCTTTGGAGCCTACCTCAACGGCGCCGTGTAGCGCCATCTTCTGTGCGAGCAGAAAACAATAGTGTAAACATGCCAAATATATTAATATAAAAATAAAAATTGAGCTTCAGCGTTTAGCCGAGATTGGGAGTTTTAATTGTCTACGAAGTTATTTTTCTTTATTTTTTGCCAGTTTCTTTACGTCCCTTTTTCAGCAATGTCGCATATGTGTATCTTTGTATTATTTTCAAGTTTATTTCCTGTTGGTTCTACTTTGGATAATATTTGCATAAGCACTTTGGAGACTGACCTCGCACCTGTGAATATTATCACCAATGATTCGGGAGCCCCGATTCGGTACTTATATATATCTGAGTTATTATAATTTCAACTGAATGTAAATAATTTACGATATCATGGTGAAGGTGGTCGTATTAGCGCGTGTAGGTTTTTTTCTTTTATATTAGCACTTGTAAAATATTCCTATATGACTAACTGTCAGATTTTTATTTGCCTGGCTAACTAAAGTCTGTCAACCCAATTTTTTCTTCAGCAATCTGGCGTCTTTCAGCATATGAACTAATATATTATTATTTACAAGAAATATAAGAATCTAGTACTTCATTGCCCCATACTGACAAGTTCTATCCTGAATTTAATAGAATTCATGAAAAAAAACACAATACGTGAACATTGGAGTAAAGAATGAACAAATACGTTGCATTCTACACAACTCGCTTAAAGTTATATGGCCCAAGTCAGGTCGCTCTCAGAAATGAGTGATTTTAAGGTAATTTCATTACTTTTTAAAAGTAATTTGTAATTGGAATTAATTACTTTTCACGTAGTCATATTTGTAATTGTAGTTAAACTACTTCTGAAGCAAAGTAATTGCAATTGTAGTTAAATGACATTTTGGAAGTATTTACCCATGTATGCCCTGAATTACGAGGTGTAATGTTTTCTTTCCTTCAATATTGTATGTAGTTTTACAAAAAGGTACGGGTCAAAGTCTGGTTTTGAGCGCCTATACGGCAAAACCAAAAACTACCTGCTAGACAGAGATGGCAACACTGATATCAGCTGTACGGCCGCGACGAGACGTCACAGTGGTGCTGCAGTACGCGTCGCCCAGTGTTGCTCGATTAAAAGCTAACTCGCTCGCCACCTGCTAAAGAGCAGCTGGTCGCATAAAATTGGTTTTAGGCGGCTTCACTTTGACGTCCCATTTCGGCAGTGATCATACTTGGGCCACTAAACCGATACTAGTAATTTCTTATGGTTTCGTTTTCGATCCGAGTTGCCCTTTAAGTGCTATCAGCGTACCTGAGCCGACCGGATGAATCCGGCCGCAAACTGCCCCGAGCTGCGAGTTGTTCTTCATGAGGTCCAAAAGGTAGAAGATTGCCTCCGGCTTGAAGTTGATGTCCCCGTCCAGAGCCAGAATGTAGGTGTTCTGCTTGCGGATGTCCTTCCTCTCGACGCTGATGTCCATTTCCATTAGTCTGTGGCCCAGCAGGTAATACATGTACATGACCTGGGACCAGCGCTTCTTGTGCCTGATCTTGGTCTTGTCCTTGAAGTGGGCCACCAGCTTGTTGTGGCCGGGCATGATCCACTCCACCCGACCGCCGTACGGCGTGTCGAAAAGCAGCGGATCGTCGAGTACCAGGGAATCGTCGCGGTAGACGATGCTGTTGGGAGCGATCGAAGATCGAGGTTAGCGGCATAAAGGACTCGCACTGCTCTTGCGTGCTTGTTTGAAGACACGTCTTTATTTTTATTTTGGCTCTGGAGAGCCGCGGCACCGCGAATAGGCTGCAGCCCGTACCATGGGGACACGTACCATGGAGGTCTTGCACAGTTTATAACCGGTGTGATAGAATCTGTTGCCTCGTACATGCGTAAGACTTGTCAGAGGAAAATTGTGGGACACATGTCTGATGCGAGCACCGTTTCTTTTGTATGATGGTACAGCGGTGTGACTACAGCCTCAGGAACTTTGGATGAATGGGCGGATACGACTGGACACTTTTAATCGGGTGGTGGCTTGCGCCACCTATTTTGAACTTTGCTTTTCAACAGTTAACTGATCTCTGACCTCCAAAACATGAAGGTTAAGCTTTTTAAAAGTATATTTCTAAAAATTACAATCCGTGTAACGGTGGCGCCTCTTCGCAACCTGGTGCGCGCACCTTCCTCCCTACGGATTGAAACGAAAACATAACTTCATTCGATGGATGAATGAACGCTTGCGCTGAGTTCTTTGAATCGGTTGGTAGCCTGCGCCACCTAGCCGAAACTTTTGCTATTTTTTTTTTTTTATGAGGAAGGAACCTAGCAGCTGCAGCGGGAGTAGCAAATAATTTATTTGGCTGTTCACTGTCGGCTGTGTCAGTTAGAAGACCAGCCGTCGTAAGTGTCGTCGGCTCTTAGCTAGAATTCTACAAAAGCTGGCGTGATCTCAAGGTATGTAATGAGCCAACACGAAGGAGCCAGTGTCATCTCTACAAGAGTTCATCTCTTCACAATATCTATTTCTCCTTTTCTGTCTGCAATGAGTCATCGTGTATTGTTACAAAAGATGCGGACTGTTCCAGAGACCTATAGCACCATGGTATGCTTGCTAAATATGAGATTTTTGTGCGGAACGGCTACAAACAGCTTCGTTGCTATTGTTTACTCTGACCCACTGCCATTTTCTCCAAAGCACATTTGAGCTTCTGCCGCTAGGTAGGAGGATAGCACACGCACGTGGAAAATTATTCTTAAAAAAAGGTCACAAAAAAACAAACACACACACACACACAAAAAAATGCAAAAGGACAAGGACAAGTGGTAGAACAAGACAGAACAACCGCTCGTCCTGTCTTGTTTTGTACCACTTGCCTTTTGCGCTTTTTTTTTATTCTCGTGATGTGTAGCCCACTAGTCCAAAAGTTAATTTAATTATACGGAAAAGGTCAATTGAAAAATTGTACCACGAGGATCTGCACAATGAAAGCTCACATCTGATGGCCAAGGACTTGAAACACGTCTACAACGTTTACGTGCAATCGAACAAGGGAGATAAATAACTATGATTTCTTTGCTCATTACGAATGCTCGAACTGCTCATTGAGCTGGAACAAATGCAGTGCACGTTCACAGTCACGCACGGTTAGGGCAGTAATGTGACCGATTATTGTCGGTGAATTAATAAATTCGTCGTCTAAGTATTACGTTGACTAATTTGAATGCGTTAATATCGTATAAATGTCCTACTTAGTTAAGTGACGGAAGCTTTAGCCTGGACATTGACGCTTACCGAGCTAAGTTATGGTCGGACACGCTCATTTGACTTGACGGCCTAGATGATTTTGTTTTCCTTGTGAAAAACACCCGTCATGTGGCGCTTGCCTAAAGCCGCGAGCGCGCCGCTTATACGTCATACAAAATACGGTCTGCAGACGTGTTGGAAGCATACATTTGCAGAAGGGAAGTTCGTCTGCTTCTTTTGCAGGGTTTGTGGTGACGTCAGAACTCCGATCTCTGACCGGTTCTGAAAAAAAAATACAGTAGGTAGACATCGAGGCAGCTCGCCTTGAGGACTACCTGCTATCCTTCAGTCAGAGCCAATCAGAGCTGGCCGTCGTTTTGACGTCATCACAACTCCTCGGCAAGAAGCAGACGACTTGCTCACCGCATATGTATGAAGCGAACATGGTTCGAAGATGGTTGAGGCATGTCCGCACATGGTTTTGTCATCATGTCCGCGGGGAGATACCGTGCCATTGGTATTCGATGTGCGAGAACTGTGAGTGTGGCTTTACAGTGTTCAATCGACTGCGTGCGTCGCTTGCAACCTTGCCTATCCGCCAGAATGGGTATCATCCTCATACACTCTAAGAAATGCCTGCGCGTCTACTTACTCGCAAAACACTCGAAAAGCCAATCTCTGCGATCTACGAAATCAACTCAGCGAATGATCAGGCGGAACATCCGCTTAGGCCTAAAAATGAAGTCTGCGCTGTGGAATTAGAATAGACCATTTGCAGTCCTCCCAAGCGCCCCGGCGCGCGCGCGAGGAATCTTGGGATCGGTGTTCTGTCGGCCCCCGTCGTCTGGCTGCTCTCCGTTGGAATCGCATCACCTCGCTCTAGACATACTTTTCATCTTCGTTGTTTATACTTAATAATCCTCTTTTTTATCTACTCCAGTGTATTTTTCTTGTTCATAAGTGTATCTATTTCGTTCAGCGCTTTGTATTTCTTCTGTATATTACGTGTTTTTGTGCATATTCCATCGTTTTCGACGCGGCCGTCGACGGACACCACGCCGCTTCGTTCGCCGCTCCCGGGGTGAGTACTGACTGTTGCCGTTACGCTCTATCCCGCTCCTAGGCCGTTCATTTAACTCGTGTGCGGTCGCGAGAGAGCAGTTTCGAACATCACTACAAATGTCACCGCTGTAAGCAGAGAAATAAAGTAGTCATCACGAAGCGAAGGCCGACATGCCTTCGCTTCGTGATGCGCTCGCCCTGTGAAATGTGAGCGTGGGATATCGAGTACTGCTTGCGTGCTCAACATTCGGGACGGTGCTTTGTCGTTGCGATCTTTTTGCCCTTCGGACGCTTGCGAAGCTGTACCAGCGGTCGGCGTGCCTCGGCAGCGCTCGTCAACAACCGTCCGCGCGGCGTCACTTTTCTCGCGTTCGCTGACCGTCCGCGAGCGCCGGTGATTCATCGTCGCGGCTGGTATGCGTATGTAGTACATCGCATAGCTTCACAATCGCTCTTAACAGCGGTTGTGAGTTGAGCGGGCCCTTAGCAAGCGAGTTATGTCAGCAACTGCAACTTTGAAACTGATGGTCACTTCACTTATTTATTTCACTATTCGAGATGTCAGCTGAATGTAGTATCTTCTTAGGTCACCCTCAGAAGCCACATGACGGGCGGTACAACCTGCTGTGTACCGGGCTGTGCCCACACCACTCTCACTGCCAAGCATGTGTCCTGGAATCGCTTTCCGAAGAACAGCCATCTACGCAACATTTGGGTACAGCGAATCAACAGGAAAGGTATTTACCATATTTTTTTACTTGTTATCTACACTTTCCTGACAATGATCAGGAAGGTACAGTGTGTGTACTGTCCGACGTGGCCCAAGTCATTTTACCCATATGTACAACATACCTGCGAAACACATTTTTTTTAAAAATAAAAATAGCATTCATTATTTTTGACCTATAAGTGCAACATACGACTGAAACAAAAAAGACAATCTCAAAGAATCCCAGATGTTGCATGTGCCCTTTTCACTCTCTTGGCCACTTCCACCTGCACCGACATACCAATATTTGATTGCATCGCAGGAATGTCGCTTCATCTCACTACCCTACAGCTAAAGCAAAGATACTCTCACAGTGCTTCTATCATTTTCAGCGTGCATCCACTCCAGGTTTGTTAGGCATAAACTATGTGCTTGTTCTTAGTGCCCGCTGCACAATGGTACTGGAAGTGTTTAGAAGGCGGTGGGGTGACGATGGGGGAGGAGGAGAACTGAATTCTACCCCCTTGCCCGGATAGTTTACTGACGCCCCTGTTCAGACGCCACGGCTGCTGCATCCATTCTTACCACTGAGATTGAGTTGCACTTGCTCCAAAGTTGAATGGGTGAATCTTAATATGGTGCTAACTGCTTCTTTTGCATGCAGGTACCACTGGACGGTTCTCTCTGTGGACGCCAACCTCTGACAGCAGAATATGCGGCGCTCATTTTAACGAAACTGGGAGAAAGAAGTACGAGGACAAAGCTCCCCGGTTTTTTCCAACCAGGACATTTCCGAAGTGTATGTTATTTGCCTATTTTTGTTTCTTTCTGCAATAGTTGTTTTTCCCTGCTTATATTCTTGCTTGTGATCACTGTATACATGGGTCGTTTCTCACGTGAGCTACGTCACTGCTGGTGGCGTCTGGTGATTTGTGGACAGCGGTGCTACCCAGTGAGCATGGCGAAATACGTGACCTACGGAAGCAATCATCGCTCTCATAGAAAAAGACGGAGCTTCAAGCAATCGTAATGTCAGATTTTGTAGAGCTGCAGACATAATAACAATGTTTTGTCTGAATACATGAGATCTCTCAACGGCTAGACGACGCAAATGGACTGCAATCGAAAAGAGGTTTTGCGACGTGCGGTTAAGTAGCATCAAGGATATCACTGAAACTGAAAAAGTATAACATTCTCGTCCGTCATTAAATTTGCAGTGGGAATAGGTGGCATATAAACCTACTGACTGCCTTTTTCAAGGATTTGGCTTGGCTTAGCTAGCTTGCTGCTCAAGGCACCAGGGGATGTCGCTCTGCTGCCTTCATCTCTGATGGCCCCAAATGACAGCTTTTAATCCAGCTCTCTCGTTGTGGAAAGTAGTGAAGGCTCTGCATGTTTCCTGTCGTACGTTGAAGTGCCAGCTCATCTCGACTCTAAATAACAGCAGTGTGTTTGAACGGTACCAGACGATGCTTCTTTATATTTCCGACTGCTCTATCTGACACAGTCGGTCACAATGCAAGAGGACTTCAGCGAGCTGGAAAACACTCTCTTAGCACATAGAAAAACATAGGAGAAAATGTACCAACATGAATTCTAGAAATATTTTGAGCGAAAACTGACGTCAGGTGCAAGGACTCTATAATTACTGTCCACCGTGTTTG